GCGCGGGGCGGGGCGGGGGCCCCGAGGGGCGGGCGCGACCGGCCGGAGGCTGAATGGGTGGGGCGGCGGCGGGGCTTCCTCGGGCCGCGTCGCCCGCGAGCGCCGGCGCCAGGGCTCCCACCTCCGCGGCGCCGCCCGGCCCGGAAATGCCGCAGCTCCCGGAGGCAGGTCGGCCTTGCTGCCCCGGCGGCGGTCGGGCGGCGGCTTTGCGCTTCTCCGCGCCGAGCGGGAAAGAGCGAGGCCTCGCGCGCTCGAGCCCCCGGTCCGTCGTCCGCGCCTTGGCGCTACCGAGGGCGGGCCCCGCTTTCCCCCTCCCCGGCGTGGCTGCGAAGTTAACCGGCCGTTGCTAATGCGGCCGGCGCACACACCCGCCCCTCCCCCCCCCCCCGCCCCCCCCCAGTTGCTCCAAGTCCGAAAGAGTGCAGGAGAGCCAATGTGCCTAAACATGCAGTGCACACTTCAGATTTCTGGCAGGTTCCCGGATATGCCCAAGAACCTTGGGTATCATCCCTGTCTTATTTATACTTTTTTTAAAAAAAAAATAACCATGGCAAAACCGGCGCAAGACTTTGAGATCTCTTCATCAGGCAAGATGTTTTTTCAGTGCCATTTGGCCAAAGAGGGCAATCAGCCAGAAATAGTAAAGATACTACAAGTGTCCATCCAGTTGCTTGGGGAATGAGAAGCCGGAAGCCTAGCTGACTGGGCGAAGGCTGGACTCGGGAAGGGGTTTCCCAGTTCTGCCCCCTTCCCAGCGATGTTGCCGAAGCTGTCAGGAGCCTTCCGTGTCCGTGTTGTCGCTCCCCGATGTGTTTTCCCAGTCCACTTTGTGGTATCTGCCCTTCTGCCTTCTTTTAAGGGCCTGCTTCCTGCAAGGGAAGGCCAAGTGTGTTTTTAGAGGAAGGGGTGTCCCGGCGTGCACGGCCTGGTCTAACAATGGGCAGGCATCCTCGTGCCCGGCCACTGCCGGCCAGTCGGCAGTGCCCGGACTCACGCGAGCGCCCTCCTCGGCCCGCGCCACCCTGCCTTCCCCCAGGACTGCGGACGCGAGGAGGAGCGAGCTGCCGCCGCAGGGGGATTCCTCCGTCTCTGCAAGGCACTTCCCACAGAAAGCGCATGCACAGTGCCCACCTCAGCACTGGGCAGGAATCGCCAGACTCCGCCACGGTCCCGGGCTGTGCGCTCCCCGAAGCCAGGGATGCGGAAGGCCAGGGCCAGGGCCAGGGCCAGGGCCAGGGCGGCTCGCTGGAAGTCTCCATGCGGCCTCTGAGGTTTCCCACGAGGTCTCATCCCTTTCCCCTAAATGGTGGCTTTCCGGCTTCGGCCGTTTTTCCCATTCTAAAAAGATGAACGGCCTCTCCTCCCAAGGAGGTGCTGCAAACACAGGCCGCTGTTTTGGCCACACCCCTTTTGGCTTTGGCCACACCCACTGCTGCACCGCAGCCTGAGCGCCTCTCCAAACGGGGCAGCCAGAGGCTCTGCCCTCCTGCCGTGGTAGCAGCAGGCTACAGTTCTGGGAAGCGGGTTCTGTTCCTCACTGAGCCATGGGACTCTCAGCCTAACCTACCTCACAGGGTTGTTGTTAGGAGGATAAAATGGAGAGGACCATGCAAGCTGCTTTGGGTTCCTTGCAAGAGGAAGAGAGGTGGAGATCAATATAATAATAAATGAAAATAAACAAAAATGAAAATGTTTTCCCCCTGTGTTAGTTTGGGGCTAGGGAGCCGCGTGAAGAAACTGGCCCAGGGGCGTTACCTCCGATAACGCTCAAAGCTGTCCTTCATTCGCTGGTGCCCCCTCTCCTCCGGCTCCCCACTGAGGGGCTCCCCTTCCTGGAAAAGCAAAGCAGAAGCAGACCCTCAGGACTTCCGGTGGGTGTAGCCCAAACCCTCTTGGCTAGACCGAAGCAGAGCCAACTCCCCTGAGCCCCAGAAGCTCGTCCAGCAGGGGCGCAGCAGGGTGGTTTGCCTGCCTGGTGGTCCACCCTGGCTGTGGATTGTGGGGTTTGCACCCCAGCCCATCTGGGAAGTGCCAGCTGGGGGAAAGCTGCTTTAATCCCTGCACTCAGATTTGGCATAGTCAATGAAGTAGATGTTTTTCTGGAACGCCCTAGCTTTCTCCATGATCCAGCGTATGTTGGCAATTTGATCTCTAGTTCCTCTGCCTCTTCGAAATCCTACCTGTACTTCTGGTAGTTCTCAGGTCCACATACTGCTGGAGCCTAGCTTGTAGGATTTTGAGCATCACTTCACTAGCATGTGAAATGAGTGCAGTGGTGCAGTAGTTTGAACATTCTTTGGCATTGCCCTTCTTTGGGATCGGAATGTAAACTGACCTGTTCCAATCCTGTGGCCACTGTTGAGTTTTCCAAATTTGCTGACATATTGAGTGTAGCACTTTTACTGCATCATCTTTTAAGATTTTGAATAGCTCAGCTGGAATACTGTCACCTCCACTAGCTTTGTTGTTGCTCAGACTTCCTAAGGCCCATTTGACTTCACATTCCAGGACGTCTGGCTCGAGGTCAGTGACCACCCCATCGTGGTTATCAGGGATGTTAAGCTCTTTCTTGTATAGTTCCTCTGTGTAATCTTGCCATCTCTTAATCTCTTCTGCCTCTGTTAGATCCCTGCTGTTTTGGTCCTTTATCATGCCCATCTTTGCATGAAATGTTCCCTTGGTATCTCCAATTTTCTTGAAGAGATCTCTGGTCCTCTCTATTCTATTGTTTTCTTCTATTTCTTTGCCCTGTTCATTTAAGAAGGCATTCTTATCTCTTCTAGCTATTCTTTGGAATTCTGTATTCAGTTGGGTGTATCTTTCTCCCTTGCCTTTCGCTTCCCTTCTTTCCTCAGCTATTTGTAAAGCTTCCTCAGTCAGCCATTTTGCTTTCTTGCATTTCTTTTTCTTTGGGATGGTTTTAGTTGCTGCCTCTTGTACAATGTTGCGAACCTCCGTCCATAGTTCTTCAGACACTCTGTCTATCAGATCTAATTCCTTAAATCTATTTGTCACCTCTACTGTATATTCATCAGGGATATGATTTAGGTCATACCTGAGTGGCCCAGTGCTTTCCCCTACTTTCTTCAATTTAAGCCTAAATTTTGCAACGAGAGCTCATGATCTGAGCCACAGTCAGCTCCTGGTCTAGTTTTTACTGACTATATAGAGCTTCTCCATCTTAGGCTGCAGAGCACATAGTCAGTCTGATTTCTGTGTTGACCGTCTGGTGATGTCCATGTGTAGAGTCGTCTCTTGGGTTGTTGGAAAAGAGTGTTTGCTATGACCATCATATTCTCTTGACAAAATTCTACCAGCCTGTGCCCAGCTTCATTTTGTACTCCAAGGCCAAACTTGCCTCTTATTCTGGTTCTCTTTTGGCTTCCTACTTTAGCATTTCAATCCCCCATGATGATAAGGACATCATTTTTTGGTGTGATTTCTAGAAGGTGTTGTAGGCCTTCATAGAACTGGTCAACTTCAGCCTCTTCAGCACCAGTGGTTGGGGCATAGACTTGGACTATTGTGATGTTGAATGGTTTGCCTTGGATTCGAACTGAGATCATTCTGTCATTTTGGAGATTGTATCCCAGTCCTGCATTTCCTACTCTTTTACTGACTATGAAGGCTACTCCATTTCTTCTGAGGGATTCTTGTCCGCAGTGGTATACCTGATGGTCATCCGAATTAAATTCACCCATTCCTGTCCATTTCAGTTCACTGATTCCTAAGATGTCAAAGTTCAGTCTTGTCATCTCATGTTTGACCACGTCCGGCTTGCCTTGATTCACAGATCTTACATTCCAGGTTCCTATGGAGTATAGATCTTTACAGCATCAGACTTTCCTTTCACCACCAGATTCATCCGCAACTGAGTGTCCTTTCAGCTTTGACCAGTTGCTTCATTCTTTCTGGCGCTACCAGTACTAGCCCTCTGCGCTTCCCCAGTAGCACATTGGACACCTTCCGACCTGAGGGGCTCACCTTCCGGCGTCCTATCTCTTTGCCTGTTGATAGTGTCCATGGGGTTTTCATGGCAAAGATACCGCAGTGGGTTGCCATTTCCTTCTCCAGGGGATCACGTTTTGTCAGAGCTCTCTGCTGTGACCTGTCCGTCCTGGGTGGCCTGCATGGCACAGCTCAGAGCTTCATTGCACTACACAAGCCCCTTTGCTATGACAAGGCAGTGATCCATGAAGGGGATAGAAGGTTAAAATATGCAAACAAATAAATAATACCTGTGTTGACTGAAGAAGTGGAATGTTTACCAGAGCACCGAACTGTTGGTCTTGAGCACTGGAAAAATCTTCTGAAAAAGGGAAGAACTGCCAATTAATTTACCAGTTATGACTTGCTAGCCAAAATATTATGCCCATGGTGGACCAAAGCATATGTAATAGTTTCTGGTGCATGTGAACCCAAGGCAGGACACATATCAACCAACCAACCAACCAACCTACCTATCCATCTATCCAAAAGTTCTTCGAGCAGTGCATTAAAACAATAAAATGCAAGCATCAAACAATGAACAAAAACAGCACCCAATGAACCCAGGCAGAACCTGTCACAAGGAGGAAAAATACTCCCACACATCAAAGCCTAGCATAACCAGCAGCAGTAAAAGGGAGGTTGGCCTCCCGGCCTCGTCTCCTCCTTGCCAGCTGCGAGTGGGTGGGGACGGGGGCAGTCCAGGCCATTCGATGGTTCCTCAGATGTTGTCCAGAGACCACAGAATCATTTCCTGATGCTCTTCCTGACCGGTACTATTATTAATTTGTTTATTCATTGACATTTGTATGCTGCCTTTCTTCCTCTTGCAAGGCGCTCAAGGCCACACCTGCTGCTCCTCAATATTTCTTCCTCCCAACAACAACCCAGGCAGGTGGGCCAGGCTGAGGGTATCTTATCCTGGCCTAGTGGGGATAAGAACCTGGCTCTCCTGCATCCCCGTCCGTCACTCTCACCAGGACGCCGCCCTGCCTCTCGTGGACATTGCCAAGTTTTAGGAAAGGCATCCAGCCTTTTGAAATGAGGGAAAGTGGCACCAATGCCTGGGACCACCGAGTGGGCAGTGGGCAGAGCGGAATGGGGCAGAGCCGGGGGGGGGGGGACATGGACCCTGGGGAGGAGCCCGCGGTGGACTGAGAGGGCAGTCAGGCTGGGTTTCGCCCCAGGCCCAACATTCCTCGGCTTTAAGCAGAGAAAATGCTAGTTGCCATGAAGTAACTTACTTTTTTCAGCATCTTTCACATCTTCATCCAGGTTTCCATGGGAAGTCAGCTGCATGCAAGAAAAGGCAGGGCAGGAAAGAGAATTGTCTCATTTTATGAATTAATATTAATTATTATCCTTCTGTCACTTCCCGGAAAGGAAACACATGGGGTGGGGTGGGGGCACAGAAAGCATTTTGCTGCAGGAATTCTGCAGAAGCAACCAAAATTGTGTAATTTTTTCCTAGTGCGCACAGAACAGAAGATTATTCAGGGATCTCCATCTTAATATAAGCAGAAGCATCCGTGCTTAGAATTCAGGAGGGCGGGAGAGAGACTGTGCCGGTGCCCTCGCCCTGTTTGTGGTGACTTCGCTAAACGCCGTGCCTAGTTATGCATAAAAGCAGTGCAGGAGAAACCAACGGAGGGGCAGCAGAAATCGGCTAGCATTGCCAGGGGCTCGTTCTGACATGTTAATGAAACACAACTCACTTCTTGGGAGCTTCTGGAGGAAGTTTCTTCAAGGTCTGAAGTCTGAAATTGTAAGAGGTTAAACAGAAAGCAGTTAGGAAGTGGCTGTGTGCCAGCGAAAGCGAGCACACCGTGTCCAAACGCCCTAGGAAAGCCTGCCCACGCACGAGGTGGTCCCACCGCCAGCTCACGGCAGCGGCCAGCGCCCTGCCCCAGTTGCTGAGGCAAAGGAGGGCGCAGGTAGCTAAAGCAGCATCCGCATCGCCATCCAGCGAGCAAGAGCAGGCTGAAATACAGCACCTCTCCTAAAAGCCTGAGGACCAAGTTGGGGGACCACAGCGGTGGTTAACGGAGGGCCCAGTCTGCAGCTCCTCGGGTTCCCTATGGGGTTCCAGCCTCTTCCTATGGCCCTCAGCCCTCCCTGCCCCAAACGCCGGGCTTCAGCTTCCCAGCTTTCTGGCAGTCTGAGACAAAAAGTCACCCCGAAGGCCGAGTCACCGGCAGCTGGAGCTGGAAGCTGCCAGAAGGGGCGCTTCACATGTTCACGGCCCTGCCTGCCATCAGGATGTCCCTGAAGTGGAGTTTGGTCCTCGGGCTGAAAGCAGCTCTGCTCCCCGTCCAGATGGGCCCTTTCATATTGGAGTTGCAAGAGTCTTGCGGGCAGCGGGCAGGGTTGGTGATGCGAAAGACAGGCCGGCACAGACCCCGCAGCGCCGCCCTTCCACAACAGACAAGGGCAGGCGCACGAGGGGCGCAGCTGAGGACCCACCAGGCTGGAAGGGTCCGGGTGCAGCCTCTTCAGCTTGGCTTTGGCACCCAGCAGCTGCCCCTCCTTCTGGTACAGCTGCAGCTGCAGCTCGTCACACCTCTCCCCGAGTTCTCGGATCTGCTTGCGGTAGAGGTCCTTGTCCAGCAGGCTGTTGGAGTACTGCTTGTGGAACCCCTCTTGGGTCAGGAGGGCCTAGCAAGGGCGAGAGAGGAGGGGGCACGTGAGCACCCAGAGCCCTCAGCAGCCCCCTGGGAGTGGGGAGCAACAGAGCTGCGGCCCAGAGGGGGCCTCGGGGGGTCTTCCAGCGGCCGACCCCCTTTCCCAGCTGCCAGTCTCTTGCACATTTCTTCCCTCCCTCCGGGTGGCTGAGATGCCTGCTTGGGACGGCGCCTGGCTGGCTTTGCCGCTGCCCTCTGGCCTTCGGCTTCACCCACCGGGGACATGGCCCAGGAGCTTCCCAAAACGGCTCTGGGGCCAGATGAGGCTCCCTTCTACTGAGCCAGCCCAGCGGGTTTCCAGTCAGGGTGGGAACGCCGGGCAGCCTGAGCTGTGCCAGCCAATCTGTGTGGCAAAGACTGCGGCGGCCACACACAGGGCCCCCTTTCGGCACCTGCCTGGTCCCTCTCGGCAGCCACCTCTTCCATCTGTTTCAAAATGGCCTTGATGCGGTCCTGGTAGATTTGATTGTCTTTCTGCAGGGATGCACAGCTCAGCTCCAGCATCTCCTTCTCCTCCGCAAGCTACCGAGAGAAGTACAGACAGGAGTAAAGGGGGCAGCCACGCAGGGACCGCTTCTTCCTACCCAGCAGGGTCTTCTGGGGCGGGCGGGCAGGAGGACCCTGCTGTCACCCATGTCTCCCCCTCCCTCTGGGGCTTTTATTAGAGAAACTCTCCTGTCATCTGCTTACCTGCCGTCCTCACAGGGCCCAGGGGAAGCCCAGGCTGCTTACCTGCAGCTTGAGTCCTCCCAGCCAGTGGCCCTCTGTGCTTTTATACACACGTGCCCCACGCCCGCCGGTGTGAAGCCTCAATCCGGGGGGCCTCCTGATGGGAGGCAACCGTGGGGGGAACCTCGCGCCCACCCTCGCCTGCACCCTCCATTCACTGAAGCGTCTGTGGTGCCTCCTGAACCGAAAGGGTTTTGGCACAGGCACCACCAGGCCAGGCCTGGGGCTGCTTCCCACACGGCAGCCCCGCGATGGTCCGAGAGGGGCGGGGGCCCCACCGCAACACGCAAACTCTGACAGTGCAGGGTCCTGCTGGAAAGACCTCCCAGAGAGAGGCCCCGGGAGGCACGGAGCCCATGTGTGCGATGCACGGAGACCACCAAGGGGCAGCGGCCCTTCCCCACGGCCAGCCGTGGTCGCCCTGCCTGTGGGGCTGGCGGCATCTGGCATGGGCAGTCGGAAGCCCTTAGCCAGGCAGAGGGGAAAGCACTGAATTGAGCTGGATCACTGGGCACGACCCTCCTCGGGGACCATCGTGATGAGCGCCTCCCCCTCCCGCCGGCCGGCCGGCCGCACCCCGAGCGACCCGGCCCCCCGCGGAGCATACTTTGTCCCGCACGGCCTCCGTCCGCCGGAGCGCTTGGCGCATGTCGCAGAGGTCGCCCAGCAGCCGCTGGTGCTCGCCCAGCATCCGCCTCCGCTCCGCCTCCAGGGCCTCTGGGGAGAGGCTGTCCGCACAGCCGCCTTCCTTCGCCACCTGGGAGGGAGGGCAAGGAGTTGCTCCGGTGGCCGCCCAGCGGACCAGCCCCCGGAAAGGCCGTCCCCTCGCCCCGGGCCCTCCTCCGGGGCCCGCAGCCCTCTTCCTGCCCAGTCGTGGCCTCACAGCAGCCTGGAAAGGGGGGCCAAGCTGCGTGCCCGCCACTGGCCCGAAGCCATCCGTGAGATCCGCGGCCAAGGGGGGCCTCGGAGCCAGTCCCCCACGGCTGGCCCAGTGCCCCGCTGCAGCCCCACTTTGCACAGGAAAGGGACCCCATTAGACCCGGGACCTTCAGGCAGGGCCTGCACGGATCCTGCCTGAAGACCTGGTCATCGCTGCCTGTTCGTGCTCAGTGCACCGCCACCGGTTCAGAAGCACAGAAACAGAGCGAGTCAGAAGGGTCTTCTGGGCCATCTAGTCTGGCCCCCGGCGCCTTTTGGATCTGGAGTACCTACTCCCCAGTTGTGGCCACCGCACACACTCTGGTATCATCTGCGCAGTTGTCATGGGTAAAGAGGCTGAACAGAATCAGGCGCAGGACCGAGCACTGGAGGACTGCGCTCGTCACCGGCTGCCATTCTGATGAGTCCCCACGGATAGCCACCCTCTGCTTGCACTCCATCAACCAACTTTCCTTCTGCCCCGTCGTCCCTCTCATTCTCCCACCTTTGGGCATCCTGACACTTCACAGGGCTTGTGGCTGGACGTTCTTTGTAACCTTTAAGAAGACACTGCTGTACCCTCCCGCTGCCCTCCCCCGCTCCCCATGACTTGTAGGCTGTTCTCAACCACAGGGACTAGAAACCCTCTATAAAAAACCAAACCAGGGAGCAGAAGCCTTCAGATCCCGGTTCGTGAGTTCCCTCCTGGGTGCGGACATGCCCTCCAGCACTCCCCTTCGGTCCCCCGCTTTTGGCTACAGCAGCAGTGCGGGCGACCTCATGGGTGCGTGAGGCGGGTATCCCGGGCTGGGGGCCTCAACCGTGGCGCGCTTCTCTGGATGGCAGGAAGCCCCCCCCCCCGGGCCCCCCGTGCGCGCGGCCGCCGTGCAGACCTGCAGCGTGCTTTCCAGCGCCTTGTTCTTGGCCAGCAGCAGGTCCTTCTCCCGCTGGATCTCCCAGACGGCCTCGTGGCTGGGCCGCTGCTCCATGGCGTGCCGGAGCTTCAGCGTGTGCTTGCGCTCCCACTTGCAGTCGTCCTCGGCCTTCGTCAGGCTGTGCTTCAGGCTGTCGATCTTCGCGGGACGGAGCCGCCCCGGCCCAGGCCGCGTGAACGGGAGCGAGCGGGGCGCGTTAGCGAGGGTGAGCGCTGGGCCCCGGGACCTGCCGAGGGCGCACGGCCGTCGCGGCCCGAGAAGCCGGGCTCCTCCTCGGCCTGCAGCGGCCACCCCGGGTGCCCGGGCTCCCTGCCCGCCCGGCCGGCCACCGGGAGCCACCGGGAGCCACGGGCAGCGGGAGCGAGACAGCCGTGGCCGCGGGGGCGAGGTGGGCGCGCTGAGCAATCCCGAGGGGCAGCCCTCGCCCCCGGCCCCGAAACCTGCCGCCGGCGAGGGCCGGGTCGCGCGGCCGCGGAACCCCCCCAGCGGGGACGTGACCCTTGTGAGGGGGCAGCAAAACCCCCGGAGCGTCTTGTGGCGACTGGCACGCTCCTTCTGGCTGCCCGCGCCGCGTGACGCGTCAGCCTCAAACGGGCAGACTGATCTACCCTTGCTGGGGGCCCGGGGTGGGGAGAGGCAGGCAGGCTGCATGGTCAGTGGAAACAAGCGCAGGCGACCATCTTCACCTTTTTATTATTATTATTAGTATTAGTATTAGTATTGCATCATGTTTATCTTCCCTTTTCCTCTGCAGAGGAGCCCAAAGTGACTTCCACAGACCTCCCCCTGCAAGGTGGTCAGACTGAGGGTGAGGGGCTCGCCCAAAGTCACCCAGTGAGCCTTGTGGGGAGAGGGGACTAGAGCAGGGGTCTCCCAGGACCCCGTCCACACCCTTGGGGTATAAGAGCACCTGCTGGGCAGTGCTGGGAAGCCCTGCAAATAGGAGGAGATCGAGATTCTGGTGTTTTCCAGGGATTTTGCAGAGTGGGCAGATTTAGGGAAAAGAGGTTTTTCATCCCCTGGATTTCCTCCCATCTCTAGGGATGGATTTGTGTCACAGAACCTGCAGTGGGATGTCCATGCCATGAGGTGTGGGTGGCCCGGGCCCAAGGGCAGCCCCCCCCCCGGCCCCCATGACTGCCGGTTGCTCAGTGGTTCCTGGCTTTCATGCTGTTTCCATCCCCCTCCTCAAAAGCCGAAAAGCCTCTTCCGGGCTTTCGGTTTGGCCCTGCTCAGCCTGGAAGGCCCCTCCTCCCCCCCACCAGCTTCTCCAAAACGGAATTCGGCCCCCAGGTGGAAAAGTGTCCCCACCCCTCCCTTATATGGGGTGAGAACTGTTTAGGGCCCAGCAAGGCGAAGGGCAAGGAGGCCCACGCACCTTCAGCAGCAGGTCTCGGTTCCTCATCAGCGCCACGCTCTTCTCCTCGCTCTGCCTGGCGTAGCTCATGGCCAGCTCGTAGTTCTCATCTCTGCATCGCTTCAGCTCCTTGCTGAGGCTGTCCCTCTCCTCTTTCATCTTCTGCACCCTCTCCTGGTGCTTGCGCAGGACGCTGTCCTTCACCCGCATCTCCTTGATGAGGTCCTCCTTGGTGCTGAGCAGCAGGTGCAGCTCCTGGACTTTCTTCCGCTCCTCACAGATGGTGCCCTGCAGCTTCAAGATCTCGCTCATCAGCAGCTCGGTCAGGCTGGACTCCCCGGCTGTGTCTGTGGGGCGAGAGAGTCTGCTGGGCAAGGGGGCTCTGGGGGCAGAGGCTCCCAACCTCCTCCATGCCCTGCACCCCCAGAAACTGTTCAATTTATGTTCGCACCGCTTACACATGCTGGAAGATGAAGAAATCAAATGTCTAACTTTTAAACCACATACAGGTAAACAAACTGAACTTAAAAAAGGCTTTTAAATCAGTGCATGCAGTGCTAATATAAATTGAGCAATTAGAAAAAATTGGAAATGGTAAAATCAATCCCAGTTGTGAACATAAATTTCAATGGCTTCTTTGTTCCTGCTTCTCATTCGCAATTTTGTCAAAATGTGGAGTTTTCTGGCTGATGGCAACCGTGAGTCTGCCTGTGGATTCTGGCAATTCCTACATTGTGTCTTGCTTGACAAAAGAAAATTGAATCCAAATACAAACAAAATAATAAAAAAGAATTGCATCACTGGGATAGTCTTGGGCGAATCGCAACACAGCCTGTGTCACACCCCCTGAAATGTCACCTCGCAGGGGGCAGGGACCCCAGACTGGGGGGAGAAGGCACCCAGCTGTCTGGAGAGCCCTGGAAGGGAGCTGCAAGCCAGTCTTTGCAGGAAGCAGATGCCCATGGCAGCCGGATGCTGGACCTGTTCTTACCTATGATCATGGAGAAGACCCTGGTGGGCTCGTTGCCTGTTATTTTCTTGTAAAGCTGCGGGTAGTACAGCTCCAAGCTTTCCAGGAAGGCCACAAAGCCCTTCTGGCCTGTCCGTTGGAGAATGTCCAGGAGCAGCCCTGCGGAGACATCGCAAGAGCCCGTTGGCACCCAGGACCGGGGCGCAGTGGCGATCGGCAGGGGCGTCGGAGGGAGGGCCTGCGTGGTCAGCAGCAGGACTGGAGGGCTGACCCCATCTGCCAAGGGCTCCTGCAGGGGCTATCGGCACGATCCTCCAAGCATTCCTTCCAGCCGTGCCAAACCCCCCGTGCGGCCCACTGGGGGCCCCTGGACGGTGTCCTCCCAGGCATCCTGGTGGCGGCAAAAAGGCCAGAAGTGCCCACCCGCATCACAGCCTTGGAAACCATGAAGGGAGATTCCCACAGGCCACGCTCCCACACCGTGGCCGGGATGACCGGCAGAAGGGGCTGAGATCTGAGCACTCTGGGACATGCTAGGAGCACAGAGGCAGAAACGAGTGAGGCCTGCCTCTGTGAATCCCACCCACCCCCCACGCCTCCCGTCTGCAGGATGGAATTGGATGGTCAGGCAGGAGGAGGCTCCACGCCCCTGATTTACTCAGAAAGAAACACTGAGTACACCTGAGTAAATCTGCTGCTTCTACTCAGCTTGGCGCACATAAGATTGGAACAGCCTGACGCATGGCTGCAGGGCAGAAAGGACTAGTGGGCGTCTGAACCAGTCGCAGGCCATGGACGCGGCACCAGGCATTCTTTGGGTCCTTTTCCTCCTGGACATTCGAGTGTAGCGATTAAAATGGACTTAACCAGGATCTGGGTTCAAGTCCCAGCTAAGCCAGGAAGCTCAGCTGGGCCTATCACTCCTGCTCATCTTAGCCACCCTCGCAGGGTTGCTGTGAGGCTCACGGGAGGAGGGCGAAGGACCCTGAACTTCACTGCCCCGAGTTCCTTCTTGGGTGGGAAATGGAGCCATTTCACCAGTTCTACTAAAGCTCCCACCCCATGAAAGGTCAATTGTGGTCACCGGCAACAGAAGGGGCCTCCTGGGCCATCTAGTCTGCCCCCAGCACCAGCTGGCTCCACTCATGCAATCCCCAAAAGTGTCTGAGTAGGCTGCATACCGAAGAGGGGAGGTGGTGAGCCCCCGCATCAGCCTGGCCAAAAGGCGATGTCCTTGTTTCCTTCCTTCCCACCCTCTCTCCTCGTGGCTTTCCAGACTGATCTGAAAAGGCAGGGCAGGGACTGGCCGTTTTTCTGCACCAGCCTCTTTGCCGAGGTGCAGCACCAGAACGACGCCCAATCCTCCCCTGACAGGCAACTCGCAAATACCCGTTTTCCTTTTCCTGATCACCAGGCTGGGGTCATTGAGTATTTGTTCCTCGTCATCGTGGTTTATGACTTTACACTGCCGGAGGTAAGGCGTTATCCTGGAAGGGTCGATCACGGAAATCAGCTTGACGCGGAAGTTCTCCAAATTATTCCAACAGGTTTCGCCATCGTCCTCTGGCTCAGACATGGTGGAGGAAGCCAGAGAGGCAGTGCCCGGCCACTTCTAGGGCTGGATCTGGCTGTGGGGGCAGCAGCCGGCAGCTGGAAGGCAGGCAGGACAAGAGGGGATGCCGTGAGAATAGCAGGCGACCGGGAGCGCAGCCCGGCTGAGCGGTGCCTGCCTAGGAGGCCGGCAGAAGGACGCGGAGGGTTGTGCCGCAGGTTGGCCTGACTTGTCCCGCCCGTTTCAGAGACCGACAACCCACAAAGGGGGGCAGCGGCATCCCGGCCAGCCGAGCACCGGCTTTTCACGGTTTCGCAGAGGGTACCTTCGTTCTTCCACCCTCCCTCGGGAAGCGCAGAAGCTTCCTGCAGGGCAAGAGGTTCTGGCTTGACTCGCAAGCCGTGCCGGCGACAGCGGGAGGGCTGGCCAGCCCCAGCCCTGCTTTGCAGAGGGCCGGTGCCAGTTTCCCTGCCATGTGGGGTGCCGTTTGATACCCGATGTTCGGAGCTGCCTCGTGCTGCTGGGGCTTGCCGTGCGCTGCCGGCGGAGCAAATGCCAGCAGACCTTGGCTGCCTCCAGGATCCAGAGGCCTTGGGCCCCCTCCTCAGCACTGTGGCCGCAAGCTTGGCTCCTGCTCCTCTTCCTCCCTGCGGCTTCCTCTCGTGTGCTTGATGGGAGAGAGCCAGGAGTGGGTCGGCCGGGGCATCTCCAGCCGCCTGCACCAGGGCAAGAGGCCGATGGAGCAGCAGCTTGCGACAAGCGGGAGAGACACTGGGCCCTTTCTCAGTGGACTCCACTGGGCCATGAGGTCCCGGCGAGCGCCTGGCCCTTGGTGCTGCCCCAGTTCTCTGCAACAGGCCCAGCACGCCGCCTCCCCTCCAGGCCTGCTGGCACAAGGCCGCCGGCCGCACAGGACAGGGGCTCTCGTTCCTCCACATCACCTCCTGCGGAGGCTGGTCCCTTGGGCAGGAGCTGCCCCGCGAGCAACAGGAGAGGGGCTGAACGGAGGTCGGCCTCTTGCCGCCCCATGTTGCCTAGTTGGCTGTGAGCTCACCCCACGTTGCAGCCTTCTCCAGGCTGGAGCTTTCCAGGTGTGCAAGGCAGCCACTGGAGGGCCCCAGGTTGAAGGCAGCTATCTGTCCCTGCCTTACCCACCAGCATTAGGACCGGACCCCCTCTCACAGCCTGGTCGTGGGCCCAGCGGAGGCCTGACCAGAGGCGATTGCAAAATGGATGCCACGAAAACCCAGCGACACTTCTTTTCAGAAAGTCCCTGAGTCATCGAGGAAGGGAAGAGCAGCCGAGCCTCCCATCTGCAGGACAGGAAGGTACGCATTTTCCTGGAGCATTGATTGCTGGCACCTTTCTGAGAATCTGCAACCCGTGGAAGGGCCTTGCGTAACGGGACCTACAGAGTCACGGAAACATTGCATCCTCCCATCTGCGCAAGACCAAGAAAACCCCACAGCTGCCCCCTGAAGGAGGAGCCTGGGCGTGCTGCTGGCTTCGGCTTAGCCTGTCCCTGCCATTCCAAGGAAGGGTCCGCTTTCCCCACGCTTTCCTTGCGCGCAATCTCTGGCCACTTGCAAGCAGCCCTGCTCCTTTTTTTCCTGAGTTTTTTTAAATTATTATTTAGGAGAGAATGTATAAAAGTGCTTCATAGTGAGGGATGTCAGAAGAATGCCCATCAATCAGAAACGCACCAAATTACTCTTAAAAGCAACTGGTTTGATGCAGCAGTGGCTAGAACTGAGTTGTGAGTCAGGAAATGCTCACAGGAGACATAAATCCGCAACATGCTTGTTCAGTCAGGACAGCGTTTTCAAAGGCTAGCATCTGTTGCTTTCTGGTTTTCTTTAAAGCTGCACTCTCCCTAGGACAAGATGGGATTAAAATTGTGGGTACCAAGAATAATTCTCTTGGGAAGGGAAGAAACACTCTCCATCCCTGCAGAACGCTGCCTGTGGAAGCACTGTTGTGCTGCTCCTTTCTCCATCCACTGTACAGTCCGTTTCTAGCTGACTGAGGATTTTGCGGCGAACGGAGTGACTGGATCTGGCATCTGATTTGCTCCGGGACCGGGACCTTGTGGCGCTGTGGGGCCCCAGCTGAGGGGCCAGCGGCCCTGGAGACACCCAGCGAGCCCTGCTAGTCCGGTCTGTGCCCGGGCTGCTGCAGGCCACAGCGGAACGATGAGGGCACAATTCCATCCACACTTACCTGGCTGGGGAAAGCTGGGAAGCACCGGAGGCCGTTTCTGTCCAACGGGCAGGAATGCTCCCTCAGGCCCCATTTTTAAAAGCACTTTATTGTCAGCAGGCCACTGACTGAGCATGTCAATGGTCACAACTTTTGGTTATCCTTTCTTGCCACAAAGCGGTTCCCCCCGCACCCCCCAAGTCAATGTATTTAGCATCAGGACAGCGGAAGCAGACTTCCTTTTAGGCCTTTGTGCTATTTTTCGGGTGAGCCTAAAATGCAAACCGGCACATGTTCAGTGAGCTTTTCATTTTGCATGAATGTATCGGGTATGTAGGCGCAGTTGCAGAAGTGTGGGACAGCCGCTGGAGAGGTGGGAAAGAGAACGGACGCTATTCGCTTTGGCACTGTCATCCAGAGGACTTCTAGAGTCATCTGCCGTAATCCAGCAACACCTGGGTGTTCATGCTCAGGGCGCAGGAGACGTGTTTGGCTTTGGCCCCCGCCGGAGAAGGACGCTGCCTTTGGATGGCTCCTCCTCAGAGCAGTGCCTTGAACCCCAGGTGTAATGGTTTCTCCCTGGCATCCAGGCCAGCGCTGGGGCTTTTTCACATAAGCCTCTTAACACACTGTGTCTGCCTTGGTTTTCATTGCACAGCTGAGATCCAAGAAGGACATGAAGTGTTTTTCCTACTTTTCCTTTACAGAACCACTAGGTGGCACTGTGCAACAGAGGGAATAGTACAAAAACACAAGGGGGAATTGGGATTCCTTTCACTTTCACAATTAAATGCTGCATTTTTCCTAGCTCTAAAAATAACTCACTGAAAATACTAGCTAGACACAGAAGCAAGACTGGATAAAGAACCTGCAAATAACCATGAGAAGGGAACCCCGAGCACATGATGAATGCCTCATGTGCAAAAGCTGGTCGTTTCCTTCCCAATGAAACGGCCACGGCCACGGAGAGTGGACCATGCTGGCTGCTCACATGACGGCCGGAACAGCCAGTACCCAAAAACAGCTCTTCATATGTTTGGAACAAATAGAGGAAGCAAGAAGTGGAACGGCTGTTTGTCCCATCCCATCGCCTGGACTGACATGCCCCGGGACACAAAATGGCCATTTTGTCAAGGTCCTGTGAGACAGCAAGACCCTGCAGTGGATGGTCCTGTGGGGGCACCAAGGCGGCTGGGGCGAGAATGAGATGGCTAAATCCAGGGTCTAAGATTACATAGCAGCACCATGCCCCAATTCAGTCTCCAAGATCCACCCAAAAGACCCTTCACTGTTTGCAGAGGCACCCAGAAAATCATTCCAAGTCCACCCTTTTAGAATTCCCTCCTACTGGAAATCCCCCACATCTCTCTTTCACGAAGCTGTTGAGCTAAGAACTGTTCCTGTAAAAGGAAGGACTTCTTCACACAGGGCACAGGTAACCTATGAAAGTCATGTCCACAAGTTTGGTGGCGACCCCCGATTCAGACAGCTTTCACAAGGGATGGAGAAGAAAGTCATCCATGGCACACGCCTCAACGGCTGCAGGGCCCCTCCAGCATCAGACAGGATGCCTGTGGACTTCACTGCTGGGGCACATGGGCCCTGCCCGGGTGTTTCCTGTGTGGCTGGCTACTGTGAGAACAGAACGAGAGAGCTGCAGCCTCGGTCGGCCCGGGCAGCACCTCTGGGGTGCACTTCAGCTTGCTTGAGGCCTGGGCTCTAACAGGGTGCCCACGGATTCCTCTCCTGGATCCTACCAGGTTCCTGCCCCCCTCCTGATTTTCACTGTTTTACTCACAGCCCTATTCAAATGTGGGTTTTGCACAGACTGACATGTTGCAAGATGAAACGTAGCCCTACCCGGCCCACAGCAAGGGGCAGGGCGCCCCCATCTCGCCATTCCAGGCACAAGCGCCGGCCAGAGGCCGCACCTTCCTTCGGCATCTTTAGTGGGAGTGCCCTCCGTGTGCCCGGCAGCTCTCCCCACACTCAGCTGCCGCCTCCCAGTGCCCTGAGGTGGTGCCATCCTGACGTGGGCTCAACGGGAGCTCAGTCCTCCCTCGGCCTCGGTCCTTTCCCACTCCCCTCGCCACTTCGCCCCGCGGGGAATGAGCATCCTGCAACTGGCCGTGCAAGCCCCCGCCCCCGCCCCCGCCCCCGCCGGGTTGTGGAAGCGCCCACGGGACTCCGGCCCGTCCCAAGGCTTGGAGACGCACGTCCCGGCCCTGCTCCCCGCTCCCGTGCCAGGCTTGCGGGCTGCACTGCGCAACGGGCGGGGTGGGCCAGCCGGGCCCGCAGAGGTCTTTACGGTGCCAGGGAGAGCTCCCGTGATCCAGCCCCCGCAGCCCTAAATGCAGAGCAGCCCTCTGCCTGGACGGGGAGCCGGCGTATGAGGAAGCGGACCCAAGTCAAAGACTGGGTCAAAGTCCTGGGAACTGGGCAGCGCCAGGAAGCCGAGTGGCAAAGTCCAAACAGGACCTGAACATCAGCCCCTGAAGCCCGCTGCCGGGCGCTGCCACCCCTCCATCCTCACGGAAGCCGCACCTCAGCTCGCCCAGGCACACCAGCGTCTGCGGCTGGAGCCAAGGCGCTGCGCCTCAGCCGGGGATGAGCAGCTGTAGCACTGCCACAGCATCCCAACGCGGCCAGTGGTTGGGAGGGTTTCGCTTCTCTTACTCACACACTGACTTTGGAACATCCTCCGTTTGTTGCAGAAAAGAAGAAAATGAGCATCTGTAACCAGGCAGGTGGCACCCTGAGAATCGAATGTTTTGAAAAATAAAAAGGATTCTCTGGGGACCAGTGACAGCCCTGTTAGGAGCCAGCCCGAAGGGTTAACTGGCTCATCTGGTCATTCCTTGAGCAGTGGGATCCAGAATCTGACCCCTCTGCAAAGCCACCGTTCCATCCCAATCAATCCTCATTCAGCTGAGACTTACCTACCTATGCAATTCAGATAAAGCAACACAGATGAAACACCAAGAAAGCAGCAACTCAGTGCTTTCAACATTGTTTTTGGGGGAAAGGGAGCTTATTTCCCCTTTTCCCAAGAGAAATATTCCTGGCCCCCACAACCTAAACTTGGGAAACATTTAGTGTCGCCCCACAGCAGACAGATGTGCCCAGTTTAAGGATGGGGAAAACTGCCCCGGTGGCTCTTGTTGAGCTGCAACGGAACTCCTGTAGCTCGCAGAGCTTCTGGAAAATTCCCTGAGCACAAGCATGCTGCTTAGCTAGTGGAAACTCTGAAGGGACCCGCCTCCCACTTCAGCTAGTGGCCCAGCGGCGGAGACCAAGAAGCAAGCGCGGCGACAGCGGCGCTGGGAGCCTCTCCTCTTGGGCTGCCTCCCAGTCGGAGGCTGAAGGGAGAAGCTGAGATCAGCCACCCTTCCTGCGTCCTCTCAAGAAACAAAAGTCCACCGACCTGAGCACCGGCGTCAAGGCGCAAACCCTCTGGTGGCGCGGCAGCCGTCCTCCCAAATTCCCTTGACGGGGTCTCGCACAGAGCAAGCTGCACTGCTGCAAGTCAGCCGGGACAGAAAGGAGAACTTGCCCACACACTCTCCCCGCTTCGAAAGGAAAACAGAAAAGAGGAAATCACACGGCAGGACACTCCACAGTTCAGAACTGGCTGCTAAATTAGCGCAGGCCCTGGAATCAGGCCCAGCCTGCTCCGGGATGGCCGTGGCCCCTTCCCACATCGTCCGTCACTTCTGGGTGCGTTTCTGGCTCCTGTTCAAAGGCCTCTCTATGGCAGATACTGGCAGGAAGCTCCCTAGTCCAAAAGATACTGATGGGGGGCTGGCCCCACCCAGGGCTTTTTTTGTAAAAAAAAAAAAGGTGCCGGAACTCACGTCTTGGGGTCACACTTTTACACAATGCTCGCCGCCGGCAGTTAGCACTCAGCGCGCGACCACACGACCGATCCCAAGCCGAGCAGCGTCTCAAGCCGAGCAGCGCCCTCTCAATCGGCGCCGACACACAAGCAGCCCACAGGCACTATGTTAATGATTTTTGCCACCGACCTGCTACGCCCGACAGGGCGATTCACAATCACTTGGAAAAATCTGTCAAAAAAAGGTGCCAGAACGCTGTTCCGGTGCGTTCTATGACAAAAAAAAGCCCTGGCCCCACCCCTTTTGACGTTGGCTCCTCCCAGCGCAGAACTTGGCCCCCGGAACCTCTTGGCCATGGGTCTGGCCCCCAGGCTGGAAGCATGGCCAGAACCCCGCGTTTGGCGTGTTCCGAGCCTCCTCCCGCTCCGCCCCGGAGACGTACACCATCCCTGCCTCGCGTCCCAGTCCAGTCCCAGGCACCAAGCGCTCAAGCACGGCCTTCCACTGGGAACGGGAGGGCTGCTGGGCTCGACCAGGCTGAAGGCTCTCTGCCAACCCAAATCAGCCAGGTGGCTTTGGGAAACTGCGTGCAGCAGCAGCTGATGCATCTCTGCACCCCAGTCGGAGCTTTCACTCTGTCACAGATGGAAACGGCTGAAGGCAACTCTTCCAAGAACATTTAGCATCTACATATAGTTACTGCTTTACACTTATTTCTTGCAAGGAACGCAAGGCAGCTCACATTTCTCCGCCTCTCTCTTTTATCCACTCCACGAGACTGTGAGGCAGGGTAGGCTGAGAGCTTGCAACTGGCCCCACCTTGCAACTGGGCTTCACGGCTGACTGGGGATGATGGCCAGAGCTCCCAGGTTCCCAGGCCCGCACCCGGGCTCCCTCTGTGTAGCAGCTCCAAGTGTCTGACGCACATTCTCGTGTCATAACACTTCTAAACTCACCTGATTTTTATTTCGCAGGACTTTAAAAAAAATAACAGGCTGGCTGGCAGTTCACAAAGTGAAATGTCAGTCTCCAACACCAACTTTACTCCAAGAATGTCTGTCTGCGGCCCACATCTCTGAACCTTCTCTGAACAGGTACAGGGGCAGAAAAATGTGGGCTTGGAGTAGCTTCTTTAGGGAAATCAGATCCCCACCTCTGCCCTTTATGCAGAATTTTGGCCAAGCACCTTTTTTGTTTGGCTTCTGGCAAAGAGGTTTTGTGACCAGCAGTTACACCCCGGCAACCATTTTGTGGGAGTGCCCACAACACTCTCTTGAACTTCCAAGCATCCTCACTGACTGGAAAAGGCAGAACACCCTGCATGATAGAGTCCGTAAGGTCCGTGGATGCTGTAATGGGTTTTGCTAAGCGATTCTGCGAATAAAACTTAACATGTCAGGCAGCCTTGAGGTAATACCCAGCCAGAATCTTGGCTCTGACAAAGGCATGTTGATAGCCTGGGAAGTCTTGCAGGAAATACTTGGGGGATTGGGATCCCTTTCTTCTGTGATCAGTAAGAACAAACAAATGAAGTATAAGCATATTTAATACAAAACAGAAAGCCACACTCAAGTTTGAAACAAAAAACCTTGCTCAGAACAGTTAAAAGTTCTGCTCTAAAGCCATAAACACTCACATACAGAAATGGAAAAAATTCTCTCACTTGCACACGCACGCACAGAGGGCCACAGGAGCTCACACATATTACAAACTTTATAAATACATGTTTACTACCCTTTTCCTCTGACTGCCTGACTTTGTACACATAGATGCTGGAGGACAGCAAAAAGAGGGACAGTCCGTATACGCCAAGGAACAGTTTTTACTTCTCCAAAGCAGCCCACCGGGACGGCCAGCGAGGGTAATTCTCCCTCCCCCTTTGCTGTCAGCGAGACTTAACACTCGCTCGCTGCTAGTGCCAACTGCCTGATGAGTAACTCCATCTTCCTTTTATGGTGAGATGCAGCAGGTAATTTCATTGATGCACCTGATACAAGGACAACCAAAGAGATTGTTTACATAACACGAACACCCAGAATACAACTGAGCACAGGACTGGCTCTCGCAGTTGTTGAATTGCCAGCTGTGGCACAGACTGAGCCCAGTCATGCTGCGAAAAAGCAAAAGAAAAATGGTTTTCAGCCATGAACAACCCACAAAAACACAGCCACGGTTTGCTGCTGTTATTATTATTACATTACATTTCTATATGCCTGTTGGGTGTGAACTTTGGGTTGCCTCCAGTTAACAAACTCAGGATTCAGCAACAACCCACATTCTGCGTCGCCATTTTACACGTGCCCGGAGTCTTTCCTTCGCACAAGCACGACTCCAGCAGAAGGCCATGAAAGCAAGAAACGGCCAAGAAGAAAGCCAAACTCCAGGCTGCATGAAGGCCACGCTGGCTGGGGGCTGCCAGAGACCGTCAGGATCGGGAAAGAACGGCTGGCTTGCAAAGGCCTGCCGCTTGCTGTTCCCTCATAGCTGCCGCCTCCTTTTTCGGAGGCGTGTGCTCCTCCGGAACGTGGGTGTGCTCCAAGGGACTGAGGCAGCGCGGTCCGTGTTTGTCTCCTGCAGAAGAGAGATGCACAGGGTAAGAGGCCCCAGTGAGCTCCCGCAGAAAACGAGAGTTCCTTGCTGACCTCGATGTAATGAGACTCTGCCGGACAGCGATGGCGTGGCTACGGCTGGCAGGACAGAAGGCACATGCAAGGGTAACGACATTTATTTTGGAACACGATTGAGATGAAAATATGGGCAGGGCCGTCCAGAACTGCAGCGAGGATGGCGAAGGCTCACCGGGGCGTCTGGCAGTGCCTCAGAAGAGGTGGCCTTCCCTCGCTTGACACCGTTTAGATGCTTTGGACTAGTGTGGCCATTGGCCGTACTAACTGGGATGGAAGGACTTGAAGGCCAACACACGTGGAGAGCGCCAGGCTGGTGCTGAGAGAGAAAGCCAGGCTAAGAGAGATGGGCCAGATCCACGCATGGCGGTGGACTAGCTCAGCCCCCTTGTGGCCCCCCAGGTGCTCTGCCCCACCCCATGCGCACGCTGCAGCCAGCAAAGCCAACGTGGGGGAGGGACAGCGCTGCGAGCCAAACCTTCTGGAGGGCCACAAGCTGCCTCTCCCTCCACCAAACCGTCCTGCTGTTGAAACTGGATTACCACTGGGTCTGAACGCACGCTTGCAAATGCACCATGCTCTGTGAGCAAGAGACAACAGGAAGCCAGTTTGGCGCTTGCTCCTGGTCTTGCTTGTTTAAACCATGGTTTGTCACAAAGCCTGAACCCCAAATGGCAGCGTGCTCCTCGGCACGAATGCACTGACAGCGTTAACAGCTTCGAGGACTGACAGAGTGGGCTGAAGAGAAACAGACCGGAAACAGGGAGAGCAAAGTCTCTGCTTGTCAGCCAGACAATTCATGGCCAAACTCATGGCACAAGTCATGGCTAACTTAAACCAGGGTGGGAAAGCTCAGTCACGTGTGCATGCCCTGCCTGTGAGCAGCCACTTGGACACGGTGTGAGCGGGATGCTAGAGTGAGACCTAGTCAAATGCTTGGCCTCAGACCCCTGGTGTAATCCTGCAACTTTCTTAAGGGCATTCCTGAGTCTCTCTGCTCCCCTTCTGCCACTGCGTCTCCTGCCTGTGTGGCCCAGCTCCCATCCACAAACCCGCGTGCTCGCGGAATACGGGAAAAGCCACTGCATCAGCACGACACTTGCACTCAGATGCAAAAGGCAAAACACGAGGCATCCGTCATGCACCACATGGACCCGCTCCGTTGCACGCGGGCCTTTCAAGGGAGGTGGCTGCAGCCACCCCCTTTTGCTCTTCCTTACGCTCAAAGCCTCCTTCATGGATCACTGCCTTGTCGTGGCAAAGGGGCTTGCGTAGCGCCATGAAGCTACGAGCTATGCTGTGCAGGGCCACCCAAGACAGACAGGTCACAGCAGAGAGCTCTGACAAAACGTGCTCCACTGGAGAAGGAAATGGCAACCCACTCCAGTACCTTTGCCATGAAAACCCCATGGACAGTTGTTGTTGTTGTTAGTCACGAAGTCGTGTCCGACCCATCGCGACCCCATGGACAGCTCTCCTCCAGGCCTTCCCGCCCTCCACCATCCCCCAGAGTCCACTCAAGCTCACACCAACTGCCTCAGTGACTCCATCCAGCCACCTCATCCTCTGCCGTCCCCTTCTTCTTTTGCCTTCAATCGTTCCCAGCATCAGGGTCTTCCCCAGGGAGTCCTTCCTTCTCATTAGGTGACCAAAGTATTTGAGTTTCATCTTCACTATCCGGCCTTCTAAAGAGCAGTCAGGGTTGATCTCCTCTAGGACTGACCAGTTTGATCACCTTGCAGTCCAAGGGACTCACAGGAGTCTCTGCCAGCACCACAATTCAAACGCCACAATCCTTTGGCGCTCAGCCTTCCTTATGGTCCAGCTTTCACAGCCATACGTTGCAACTGGGAAAACCATGGCCTTGACTACATGTACTTTTGTTGGCAGGTTGATGTCTCTGCTTTTTGTATGCTATCTAGATTTGCCATAGCTTTCCTCCCCAGGAGCAAGCATCTCTTAATTTCTTGGCTGCGGTCCTAATCTGAGGTGATCTTGGAGCCCAGGAAAATAAAATCTGTCACTACCTCCATTTCTTCCCCATCTATTTGTCAGGAAGTGAGAGGACCAAATGCCATGATCTTAGTTTTCTTATTGTTGAGTTTAAGGCAACTTTTGAGCTCTCCTCCTTCACCCGCATCAAGAGACTCTTTAGTTCCTCTTCATTTTCTGCTATGAGAGTGGTATCATCTGCATATCTGAGGTTGTTGATCCATGGACAGTACCAAAAGGCAAAAAGATATGACGTCAGAAGATGAGCCCCTCAGTTTGGAAGGTGTCCAATATGCTACTGGGGAAGAGAGGAGGGCTAGTACTAGTAGCGCCAGAAAGAATGAAGCGACTGGGTCAAAGCCGAAAGGACACTCAGTTGCAGATGTATCTGGTGGTGAAAGGAAAGTCCGATGCTGCAAAGATCTATACTCTATAGGAACCTGGAATGTAAGATCCATGAATCAAGGCAAGCTGGATGTGGTCAAACAAGAGATGACAAGACTGAACATCAACATCTTGGGAATCAGTGAACTAAAATGGACAGGAATGGGTGAATTTAATTCAGATGACCATCAGGTATACTACTGTGGGCAAGAATCCCTCAGAAGAAATGGAGTAGCCTTCATAGTCAATAAAAGAGTAGGAAAAGATGTACTGGGATACAATCTCCAAAATGACAGAATGATCTCAGTTCGAATCCAAGGAAAACCATTCAACATCACAGTAGTCCAAGTCTATGCCCCAACCACAGATGCTGAAGAGGCTGAAGTTGACCAGTTCTATGAAGGCCTACAACACCTACAAGAATTAGCACCAAAAAATGATGTCCTGATCATCATGGGGGATTGGAATGCTAAAGGAGGAAGCCAAAAGATAACTGGAATAATGGGCAAGTTTGGCCTTGGAGTACAAAAAGAAGCAGGGCACAGGCTGGTAGAATTTTGTCAAGAGAATAAGATGGTCATAGCAAACACTCTTTTCCAACAATCCAAGAGAAGACATGGACATCACCAGATGGTCAACACAGAAATCAGATTGACTATGTGCTCTGCAGCCAAAGATGGAGAAGCTCTATACAGTCAGTAAATCAGTCAGTATGGCAAATCTAGTCAGCACACTAAAAAAGCAGAGACATCACCCTGCCAACAAAAGTGTGTATAGTCAAGGCTATGGTTTTCCCAGTTGCAATGTATGAAAGCTGGACCATAAGGAAGGCTAAGCGCCAAAGGATTGAGGCCTTTGAATTGTGGTGCTGGAGGAGCCTCCTGCGAGTCCCTTGGACCGCAAGGTGATCAAACCAGTGAGTCCTAGAGGAGATCAACCCTGACTGCTCTTTAGAAGGCCAGATACTGAGGATGAAACTCAAATACTTTGGCCACCTAATGAGAAGGAAGGGCTCCCTGGAGAAGAGCCTAATGCTGGGAACAATAGACGGCAAAAGAAGGAGGGGACGGCAGAGGATGTGGTGGTTGGATGGAGTCACTGAGGCAGTTGGTGTGAGCTTGAGTGGACTCTGGGGGATGGTGGAGGGCGGGAAGGCCTGGAGGAATGTTGTCCATGGGGTCGCAAAGGGTTGGACGCGACTTCGCAACTAACAACAACGTTCAAAGAGGAAGAAGTGGACTGAAGTTCTGCATGAATACAAGAATCTGGACATTCCTTTTTTTAAAGAGAAATGGATAAAGAGGAAAGTGCTTCCACGGCCAACTGAGACTCGGTGTCAGAACCTCTGCAACCAGCATCTCCTTCTTCCTCTCTCCCAGACATTCACCCCCACAGAAAGAGGACCTGAGCTCTACTCATAAGAAGCCAGCGGCAGTGCTCTCTGCAGATTACTGAGCTCCCTCCAGCCCGCAAGTGTTTACCTCCTGCTCCTTGCTGGTATCTGCCGTCCTCCCGGGCTCATCCAGGGTTGTTTTCTGGGATTCCTCTGCAGCCTCATCATTGTCGTCATCTTCCTCCTCCTCCTCCTCCTCCTCCTCCTCCCCCTCCTCTGATGGGCTGGAGTCTTCCCCAGAGCTGCTCTCCCACCACCTGCCACCGGACAGTGTGGTCGTCACTCTGCAGGGAGGCAGCGCGGCGAGGGCGGCCGGGAAGGTGAAGGCCGCCAGGAACCTGCTTCTGAGCAGCTGGTAGGCCGGGTTGGCCCCGAGCTGCTGACGCACGAGCCCTCGCAGAGCACTCAGGCCGGCCTGCCCGAGCCCGTCCGGCCGCCCTCCGGGGGCGACGAGAGGCGCGGCGGTGCGCTCCAGGGCCTCCTTGTTCAGCAGCAGTGCTCCCACCGTCCTCAGGCTGCACAGGAAGGGGGGCAGGCAGGGCAGATGGGCTGCGGCCCCTGCGCTCACCCAGCCCTTCACGGCGGCCGGGTCTTCCTGGGAGAGGAGGCCGTAGTCGGGGGAGAGTTTGTGCTCGTGTGGGGCAGGCGGCTGTGCCTCTGGGCCGGGGGGGGCCTTGCCTGGCTGAGGGGGTGCAAGAGGGGGAGGGTTCCCCACCACCTGGCTCGGATGGGCCAAGGCTGGGGCAGCCCCGGCCGGGCTGACGGGACGGGTGCTCCGCGAGGAAGCCCCGTGCGAGGGGGATGCTGGGGGGCACGTGGTGGGCAGGCTCTCCGACAACCCGCGGGGGTGAGCGGGAAGAGGCTGCGACGAGGGGGCCGAGGCCGCCTGCTGGACAACCCCGCTGGGCTGTGGGCTGCCAGAGAGGCGCTCCTGCACTCGGGCTCCCGGAGGGGCCTGGCTGGATCCCCCAGTCGCCAAGACAGCGCCCACGGCTGGGGCCTGGGGGGAAGTGGCCACTGTGCCCTGGCCCAGCTGGGGAGGTGCTCCAGGAGCACCCACGGGCAGCTTTCCCTGACTGGGGAGGCTGACAATTGTCATGGGGATGAGGCCCTGCGGGGTCAGCACCCAGGTGATGGGCAGGACCGCCTTCGGGAGCGCGCCAGAGCCAGGCTGGGGAGCCGCTGCTGCGGCTGCCGCGGCAGGGGAGGAGGAGGAGGAGGACGGATCCCCCGTGCCAGCAGGATCCAGAGAGGGAGAAGGGCCAGGAGGGCCCCCCACGGAGGCTTGGGGAGCTGGGAAAGAGGCGTTCGCCTGGCTGGGTGGGGTGGCCCCCCGATGGCCGTGGGGGGCTCCATTTCTGGGGGCATCTGCTCTCTCGCGGCTCACCACGGCTGTTTCACAAACATTCCGCGAAGTTGCTTGCGGGGGCACGCGATCCATTTCGGATGGTGGGACCGGTGGGGTGGAAGCGGCCACAGGCAGGGCTGCTGGCAAGAGTGACACCTGGCCGCTGGGGGTCCCCTGGAGGCTGCTCAGCCCTTGGGCAGCTGGAGGCCCCTGGGGCCGGATGATCACCGAGGAGGGCAGCAGCAGTGGCGGGGCTGTGAGGAGGAGCCGCCTCTGTTCGGCCTTCTTGACCTTCGCCTCCCTCAGCCTCTTCTCCCGCAGCAGTTCAGAGACTGTCTTGGGCTTCGGGGCCGAACCAGAGCAGCGCGCTGCCCGGGAAGAAGCTGGAGCGGGGCCCTCCTTTGCTTTTAGTGGGACGAGTCTCTTGCCAGGATGCGGAGCGGAAGTCTGCAGGCTGTGCTGGGCTGGGCAGGGCAAAGACCGTGCGGAACGGAGAGGTGAGCAAGGTGCAGGGCTGGGGGTGCGGAAAGGCTTGTGTGCCGGCCGCCACCAGGGCTGGTCCAAAATGTCACATTCCGTACAGATCCATCACACCCACAGAACTGCCTCGACCATGCCTCTTCCTCCTCCTCTTACGGCCACCGCACCGTTACCTGGGACAGCAGTGGTGCTTCGGCCATCTTCCCAGCAAGAATGTGAAAAGCTGCCCTTTCCTATTCCGCAAGGTTGCCCTTCCCTGTGCTCCTAGGCTTGGATCGCACGAAACAATGGTCTGTGGTTTAAACAACCCAGAGCTGTCATGCGCGAGCGGGAGAGGGCAGCTGGACACCCACGCGCCGCCACGAGGGCTTTTGCGTGCCCACCCACAAGCCATCTTCTGCCATCAGTGCTGGCTCAACCAGAAGCCCCGGCCGTTCAGGGGCCGTCCCAGTGACCCCGCTTGTGGTTGGCCGCTTGGCCACCCTCCACACCTGCACCCCAGGCTGGTCCTTGACAGCCCCTGGCTTGCTTAACCTGTGACCTGCTGTGGCCTGGGAACAGCGCCCCATGCCGGGTGCCCCACAGCTTTCCTACGGTGGAAACTCCAGCCGCCTTGTGCCCACCTCCCTGCAAGGTGCCCGGTGCCCAAAGGCTGGTGAGGGGGGCAGGCGGGCCTGGCCTGCCGACAAGCCGGGGGACGGGAGAGGGCCGGGGGAGGGGGCCCCGTTCCCAGGGAGGACCATCCCATCCCCTCTCCTCTCCTCTCCTGCCAGCTACCCGCACGTCCACAGCACCTCCGTGGCTGGCAGACGGGCACAGGCTCCAGGCCCTCGACAGCAAAGTTGCCAGACACACCCGGCCACTCGCCCTGCCTCCCCCCCCACAGGATGGCCCGCCAGCTGCTCCTTGAAAAGAAAAACCAAAAGAAGCAATACCTTTCGCATTCTGTGCCAGTGGGGCCTGCAATAGAGAACACACGAAAAACACTTTCAAGTCATGAGGCCAGGCAGCCAGAGCTGATCCAGGTCCTCCCTCCCGATTTCTTCCTCGCAAGCATGGAGCTGGGCCCTTGCGGGAATGAACGGGGCAGCAGGTGGCGCTCCGTGCTCCTCAGCGGGGCAGAGATGGAGGGCGATGCAAGCCGCTCTGGCCGCGAGGCCCCCCCCCCCGCCTCTCACAGCACCGCTGGTGCTTGGCCAGATTCCGCTTCCTGCCGTTTCCATCCACGGGCTTTGCTCCCATCCCCAGGAGCAGTGAAAAGCAAGTCTGCTCTTCACAATTTGTCTGCAGGGCTATCTTGGTATTATGCTCAGAGTGGCATTTTTAAGATTTTTGATCTCTGTAAGCCCCCTGGGGAGCCCTGGCTATCAGGAGGTCTCAGAAATGAGTATTATTACCTTGGCAAGGGGCTGCTCCTTTCCTGTGTTCGCAGCGACAGCCTTCAGCAGCTCTGACTGCGGAGCCCTCCGCTTCTGGATGACCTTCATGCAACCGTTGACATCGATGCGGAGCAGCTGCAAGACCAAGGCATCCTGCGCTCAGCCTTGGCACAAGACAAGATGCGGGGGGCCCAGGCTCTGGTCCCCGCCGGGCCACAAAGCTCACTGGGCAGCTTCGGGCCTGACACTGCCTCTGGCCTGGCCTCCCTCGCAGAGTTGTTGTGCAGATAAAATGGAGAGAATGAGGAGCATGTGAGACACCTCGGACTCCTCGCAAGGGGAAAATGGGCTGGTTATCAACATGATGACGACTGGGTTGGGTCTGAACCACTCGAACGAGCAAGGAGCTGCAGCCCTCCGCTGGGGGCTGGTCACAAGCATTCTGGGATGTCTGAAGGGTGCCTGCTTGTGCGAAGATCAAGGGTAAATGTGGATTTCTGGCACCTCCTTTAAACGCACCTCTGGGAAAAGGCATAAGGTGGACAGAAATGCCCCAGAAAGAGGCTCTTGGCTGGACGGGCCAGCGGGGAGAATTCCCCCACTCAGATGCCTCCCTGACAGCCCCAAGCCAGGCGCCAAGACACAGGCCAAGGTGCCTGCTGCTGGGTCGTGGCGGAGCCCTGCCTGGCCGCCGCGTCGCCCAGTGCGTCTTCTGCATGGGGCAGGAGGGGGAAGGGAGGGGGGGGTGAGGGCCGCAAGGGGGGCACGGACCCACCTGAATCAAGAGGGTGAACACAGGCGTGCTGGCGAGGTGGGCCGTCTGCAGCTGCTTGGAGATGAGTTCCACTGCGGAGGAGGAAGGAGGGCCTGGTCATTTGGCAGAGCGATTTGGGCTGCGCTCCTGGCCGGCTGGCTGGCCGCCAGGACACAGCAGCTCTCGTTCGATGTACCGGCACTAGAAGCCCACTTGCGCCAATCTGACCCTCGGCCCATCCAGCCCGGAGGGCCAACGCTAACTGGCAGCCATGGCCCTGCAGGGGCTCTGCCCCCGCACGCGGGTCTGTTTCCTCTCAGCCCTGAGCCGCCGCGGCAGATGTGTCACGGCTCCGGGCATGCGATCCCGTTGCTGGCACAACGCAGCACTGCCCTCCGAGGTGCCTTCACGGGCCCCGCTGGCCGACGTACGGAATGGCGGACAGAGCGCCGGCCCTTTGGAGCCAGGCACCACCAGCCCAACTCCACTGCAGGGAGACACCCTAAGACGGCCCGCTCTGAGAACACTGCACGGCCGGGAGCTCTCTCGGCCCAACACTGCCCTGGGGCTGCCATATTCCACGGCAGGCCAATCCAGCTGACAAAGAGGGTGGAAGCCGGGGAAGCCCCTGCAAGGGCTGTGGAAGACATGCCAATGCTCTGAGGCCTCCCGGGGCTTCAAATTTTCGCTACCCAAAGCAGAAGTCCTGTTCAAAAACGCAGACCTTGGGCCTAACGTGGCCTGCACACTTTGGGATGCAGTGAGGACCAGGGTGTGGCTTCCACGCTCCGCCCACTGAGCAATGCCCGGTGCTTGTCGCCAGCTCAGGTGGGAGAGGACAGTGGGGCTGCAGGTGGCAGGGGAACCCCACTGGCCTTGGGAAAGCGCTCAGGTGGGTGGGGCAAGAGGTCAGTGGCCACGTCCACACACACGGTGCCATCTGGTCCGTGGGGGGCCCTGGTGGGAGGGCAACTTCCTCCCACCATCGTTCTGCATCTGAAATGTCGGGTTGTATGTATATTTTAGAAAGTGCATGGGACACTGTGCAGGAGAGGTTGAGCTTAACTTGGAAGAACAGGACCAGCCTGAAAGGGTCAGCTGCAGACCACCTGCCGCTCGAAGGCACGGCACCTTTGGACTTGCGAGAAGCCTCCGCCTTGACTTGGAGGGCCCAGGCCTGCACCGCACTTCCAGCCCAAGGGGCGATGGCCATCATCAGCCTCCGGTAGAGGGTCGTCTTCCACATTCCATCCTTTGGCCTGGGGTTTCCGTACGGTCTGCTGGCTGTCGGAACGATGGACCGCTCAGGCCCTGCCTGGGCAGCAGAGAGGAAACGCTTCTTTCTAGTGATTTCTCGCTGGTGGGAGAGAGGGAGGGGAAGACAGGGCCCTGTCAGCTGCTTCTGGGCAGAGGGTCCCTCAAGTGCCTAAAGCAGTTTAACCCAGCTTTGGACCGACTGTGTTTTGCTGCACCATATCAACTCTGCTACTGTACCCCCTGCGCCCCATCAGGTTAATTTCTTTTTGATGGCACTGGACTTGCTGATTTTTCATTGGCTGCACCCTCCCTTGGGATTATTCGATAATGACAAGTAGGTAATCAAGTTCAAAATTCATAATGTAGAACCCACCAAAAACTCCTGGACCTGAAAGCATGTCTCCTTTGAACCAAAGAAGACAACCAAACCTACCAATTAAATAAGTCTCATCAAGTCCATTTAAACCATTTAAAAAATATTTGTGTGTGCGCCCACCCAATTGCCCAGGCCTTGCCAAAGCAAGTGGCCAAAAGCCAAACTGACCTGAAGGCCTTTAAACAGTGCCGGGTGGGCCTCTAAACTGAAAGGAGGTGAGGAAGCGTCTGCCACCTGATTTAAGCGAAGATGGCTGCTTTCCCTTGCATGGAGGCAGGAGGCCAAGGGAAGCCCCAGGCAGGGTACTTACGCTTCTCCTCTGCAGCTCATAGCTGTTCCTTCGCAGCACACTTTTGACATAAGCCAGGGAGACCCTCCAGGAGTCCTTTGGGCATACAGAAGGCTGCAGAAGATGACAAAGAAGCCACCTGTCAGCAGAAGGACTCCAATTCCTCCTCCTCTCTTTTAAAAAATTAGGCATCCGGATGAGCTCCCCTTGGCTTCAGCCAACACAAAACAAAGCACTCAGCTGTAGGCAGAGTAGCCTGGGGGCTGCAAGGTGGCTCCAGCTGAGAACCATCTTGCACGGAAGCACAGGGTTTGGGGAAGACACTGGTCCCCGAGTACAGTCATCAAGTTGCCCTTTGAGCTGGGCTGCCAAAGTTCCTGCCTTGGCACCGCCATTTTGCAGCACGGACTTGCCTGCAAAGAATGGTCTTGGCCGCTTGGGGCATGCCGAGGACCCAGAAGAAAAGGTTAAAAGGACCCACAGGCAAAACAGGCCGGGACAGGCCACCAGCTTCTTTGCTGTCCTGGCTTAAAGTCTACTGAGCAGGGCTAAGCTGAGGATCAGCGTCCAGGTATTTTGGACTTCAGCTCCCATCGTGCTGGACCACTGCCCATGCTGTCAGAAGCTTCTGGGAGCTGAAGCCCAAGATATACAGATGGCTCCTTTTGGCCCACCAGCACTGTACGGCAGCCTTGTGGCCTGCAGGTTTGGACTGCAACTCCCACTGTCCCCAGCAGAGCCCAGGCTGGAGGTTGGAGAAGGTGGCCAGAGAGAATCAGAGTCAGCAGGAACTTTCTGCCGCTTTCCTCTGGAGCAACACGCAGATACCAACGTGGAGAGCCCTGCTGCCTGCACGTACTCCGTTTCCCTCCTCTGACAATCCGTCCTGCACGTGGCCCTGCTCCGGCTGCAGAATCCCTCCACCTGAGCCTTCTGCTGCCGCGTGCTCCTGCCCGTCAGGAAAGGCCCTGCAGAGGGGCTTCTGCTCCCTGTTCACATCGAAGCCTTTGGAGAGCAAAGTGACGGAGGGCAGCTCCTCTGGCTGAGCCCCCAGTGGACTTCTCCTCGCAGGGACCCACAGGTCGATGCTCGGCACTCTCCAGTGGCCCTCGGCTCTGGGCCTGGGTGCTTCGTCCTCCTCCTCAGTGCTGCCACCCTCGCCCAGCTCCAGCTCCAGCTCCAGCTCCGAATCTTCACTGCTGGTCTCCCAGAGGTCCTCCCTCTGTGCACGGCGCCGCTTCCGATAGAGCCTGTTCCCCTGCTTCTTTCTCCTGTTTCCCTTTAAGAATAAAAACACGCTTATGTGACATTCAAACATTTGCCACATGTGAAGCGCCACAACAAGCCACGGTCAGCTTCCGAGATTTTCTGTTTTAAATATGAGAAAAACATTTACAACATCTTTAAGTCAAAATAGGGCAGGATAAACTTGGCAGAAAAGTTGCATCCCATGCCAAAAAATGCTAAATAAAACTTGGAAATCCAATTTAAGCACCAAATTATACATATGTGCAAAGTTAATAGCCCATTTCCATACAGCACATTTTCTCCTTGTTTTTATCCTTCTTGAATACTGTAAAGCTGAGAAGGAGAACTTGCAGCCCCCCAGACAGTCCTGGGAACCCCATTAGCTCCTGCTGTGCTAGCAGACAGTCCCCAACTGAGCCTCATGCACAACTGGAAAACCGCCTCCCTGAAGCCCTGGCAAGCTGCAGCTGCCAGTCAGTATTAGCAATATCAGGCCAGGGTCGGACAAGACTCAGAAACACAGAGTGAGTCAGAAGGGGTCTCCCAGGCCATCTAGTCTGACCCTCAGCTCCAGCCAGCTCCACTCACGACATGCCTACCATGTGTATGCCCAGCCTGGCCTTGAACCCCCTCAGCAATGAGGCTTCAACCACCTCCTGGGGAAGCCCATTCCACACCCTCGGGGTCCTGACTGTCAAGAAATAATTCCTGGCATCCAAACTGAACCTTGGTTCCCTGAGTTTGGCTGTTGGAGCGCATCCTGCCCTCCTCTGCAGGGAAAAACAGTTCTCTACCCACCTCTGTATGACACCTCCTCATGTACCTATGGGGGGGAGCTATTCCTTGCCGAGCTGGATTGGGGGTGCAGGAGGACTCGAGGCTCACTTAAAGCGGCATGCCTGAGAATCCTTCAGATGCACTCAGCGAGGGCCTACGCACAGCCGAAGGGTGGGTTTTCGGAGCACACTCTCCGAGTCGCCTTGATCCCACCTGCAGCTCTTTGCAGCTGCAGTCCCCACCGCCCGCTACTCAAGCTGTGATAGACCCCTGGGGCCACTCTCAGCTTTCAAGGGAACAGCACCAGAGGTGCTCACTTACCCGATACCCGAGCAGCACCTTCCACTTGCTGAGGCACTGGGATCCCGAGCGGTGGGGAAGCTCGGCAGCAATCTTGGCCCAATGGCCTAGAGAAGGAAAATGAGCAGTGCTTCAATTCTGAGCTTGACCCCAGAGGCACTGGTTCGGCAGTAACCCGCCCTTCTTGCCCACTTGCCAGCGAGGGCCGGAGTTCCCACGCCTGCGGAAGCCAAGATGAAATGGCAGCAATGGGGCTTCGGGGGGCTGCCTTGGAAGATCATTCAGAGCATGGGTCCTCAAACTACGGCCCAGGGGCCTGATCCGGCACACCATGCCCATTTGGACCCGCCGCGATTGCGCCCGCTGCCACCCACCTCGCCTCGTGTGCGGGGAGGCAGCGGTTTGCTCGCTTGGAGAAAACGATCTCCGAGCAAGCGAGATGCTGCCTCGTGCTCCTGCCTCACGGTGCGTGCCCGCCCCTGCCTCAGTGCCCGCACGCGCCGCCCCCGCCTGCACGCACCGCCGGCACCACCTTCCCAGCCCGCGCCCAGCACTGGCAGCTTTCAACTGGCCCCCTGGGGGAAAAGTTTGAGGACCCCTGACTCAGTCCTGTGGCTGAACGGCAAATCACACTCGATTATCATCGCTGCTCTTATTTTGCAGCTCAGGTCTCTCTGGGGGCCACAGGAGGGCTGGAAAATCTTTGCTGCTGCACGTGGAGGACGGTTAGGATGGCGCCTTCCCCAGGGGAAAGAAGTTTTCCCAGCTGCACCCTAAATCCCCTTAAGTCAAGAGGGGGTGACCACACGATCCCCGCAGATGAAAAAAGGAGGGAGATCTAGGGGACAGCCAACCCACAGAGCGTCTCCCTGCGTCCCTCACGCTGCAGCAGCCTTACCCACGCCATACTTCTCTGTCAGTTCAACCAGCTTCCTTTCTTCCTCCTCGCTCCATTTCCCTTTCTTAATGTCATAGTGCAGAGCATGCAAATATCTGCAAGAGGAAGGAGAAAGGCAGCACGATCACACTGTGCCGTATTTTGCAGCAGATCCCAGAGTCCCTCATCCAGTTTCACATCAGACAATAAATCTTAAAGTTCCATTATTCAACAAAGTTACACCAATTATGTCAGATCGATCTGCGTTACTCCAAATCCACCAGCGGCTGCTTTAGCACTGAGCTGCCTCCTCGGCTTCACACATTCCCCCCTTCTTTTGCCACGATGGTGTTTCTTCACTCTACCCTTCCTCAAACCTGAAGGGAATGCATCTCCTTCTGCATGACATGAGGTTCCCTTTCCAACTTGTGAGGCCGAAGCTGGGCAACCAGTGGGTCCAAGGTCCACTGGATGTCTCCTCCCCACCGCCCACGCTCCTGCCCCCCTGCTGATCACAGGGACAAACAAGCTATTTGCCACTGAAATTGGGAAATGAACCATTGCACAGCCACAAAACAGCCACTGGTAAGCTTCAAGTGCTTCTTCCCGCTGGGGTGGCAAGCCACTACAGCAGCTTCCCCCGGCCTGGTGCGCTCCCGATGTGCCAGACTTCAACCCCATGGTTCCCAGGCACAGCAGGAAAGATGGGCAGAAAGTAATTTCCAGATGTTTTGGACTTCAACTGCCTGGAGGTCCAACCTTCTGCTTGGCCCTGAGTGAGGGAACCCGCTGCTCACACCGTTCGCTCCCCTCCCTGGGCGGTTCTGGCTGCCGGCGCAAGCTCCCTCGCCAACCCAGTGCCCGGGGGAGCCTGCCGACCTGCGCGGAGGGGGCACAGCCTGGGCAGCCAGCGCGCTGCAGCGCCCGGAGCGCCCCAAGGCGAGACTGACCTGTCTCGGCACTGGGTGTCGGTTCTGCCTGGCACTTCGGCCCGGATCTTGTACCAGTCCCTCGGTCCGTATTTCGCCACAGCCTTTAACAGCAACTGGGGGAATGAGACAAAAGGCAGCCCCCATGGGTGAAAGCCTCACAAACGGAGGAAGTGTGTGTGGGGGGGGGGGTCCGCCTTTGCCCCGCCCTCCGGCGGCAGGGCTCTGACAGAGGCAGGGAAGCAGTGCGCCACAGGAGTGGACCGTGACCCATAGGAGAACTTTTTATGTGCGGAATTTTTATCTTGCTTTTCATAAATGTATTGTCTGCCAAAGTAGCTCCCACCAACCAAACAGGGAGAGAGAGAGGGAGACACCCCCTATTGTTAGGCGAACAAACAAAGATGCCAAGACACACAAGGAAAATGGAAAGCAGGAGGGAAAGGAAGACGTTTCTTGAGACCAGAATCCAGTGCTGAGGGCGACACAGGCGCTGAGGTGCACTGCGCCCCAGGCTGATGCTCTTGCGTTGCCTAACAGTGGCGGGTCGCCGTCCTCCGGCGGATCGGTGTGGCCAGAGCATCGTGCTTCCTCCTTCCTGCAGTGCCAGGGCGACGGTCCGTCAGAGCCACCTGGCCTCTCTGCTCTCAGTCCCCAGTTTTGCTGGTACACTGATGTGTGGAAGAAAGGGTGCTTTGGAGGGAGAAGCGCATGCATGTGCTGTTTTTTGTCCTGACGAAATCCCCGCTTTCCAAAAAGAAGAATCTACTTTTGACAGTTTTCAAAGCCAGGCCTCAGCAGGCAGGAGGCAGCGATGTTCCATCCGCTCTCAGAAAGGGTGGAAAAGTGGGAGGCACTGCAGGGAACACTCAACCCGACACCCCAAGAATCTCCCTGCGAGTAGGGGGGGCCAGGGAGGCATCAGCTTCCCGTTTGGAGCAAAGTTCACTCACAGCTTTGCTTTCCCTTGTCAGCTCCCCTTCTGGCAGCTGTCAGGGGAAGGCGAAGTAAAAATACACTGATCTGGGGCTTCCCTGGGTCAGTGGCCAGGGCTGGCACCTGCTACGCTTCGGACAGCGGCTGCTCCGCAGGGCATTGCCCGGATGAGGCTGCGGATATTCAGACCGCTGCTGTTGTTGCACATCTGACTGAAAAAGGAGAGCTTCCCTTAAAGTTGCCTACAATTTGAGCTAGAAAAAAACCCAGGGGGCAGTCCAGGGACGACCCCTCAAATGTGCCACTGGGACACGTGACGGGGGTTGCTGCTGCTGGTGGCACAGGCGAGAGCACAGAGCAGGGTGCTCCTCGTTGCTCTTTTAACAGCCAGCTCACCACTTTCCCTTTCACCGGATGGAACTGGTCACGTGGACCTGGATGGCACGCTAGCCCACCGTGAGCCACAGGACCCTGAGAAGAGCCCATGGGCTCTTGGGCGGCGGGGGGGAGGGGGGAGCAAGCCAGGCCGTGGAAGTGGTTTGGTTTGGATGACGCAAGCTCCCACCATGATGGGTTTTGTGAACCTGGTGAAATACACATGGGCAGGAATAGGACCCTAACTCTGGCCACAGCCCTCTCAAAGCGCTGTGGTGGCCCCATACCATGGGCCCAGCAGGGACCTTCTCCAAAAGGGTTCTTTACACCCAGCTCCCACACAGCAACCAGAAATGGCCCTTACAGCATCTTCCCTGGGGGTCCAGGCGCCTCGCTTCAGGTTGGGGTCCACACACTTGGTCCACCTGTAGATCAGCTGGGCAGAGTTCCTCCCCTCCATGTAGTAGGCAACTGTGAAAAGCAGCAGTGGGTTTCAGCTCCACTATAGAAAGTCAACACTAAAACACTTGTTTTCGCGGTTGCAAGGTCTTGTCCACCATTCGAATGCTTTAAGTTTATAGAATGGCAAGTTGAAAAGAAAAAAATAAATCTTGGAAAACAGAAGTGCTGGGCAACTGGAGAAGGGCTAATGTTGTCCCTGTCTTCAAAAAGGGGGAAAAATATGAACCTAGGAACTATAGACCAGTTAGTCTGACATCAATCCCTGGAAAAATTCTGGAGCATATTATTTAAAAATCCATCTGCAAGCATCTTGAAGAAAATGCAGTGATTAACAGAAGCCAGCATGGATTTATCAAAAGTAAAGGATCCCTTTCAGCTCACCCCATGTGTTCCCATCCCACTATTAGAAAGTGGTTCCCAAGATCTTCTTTGAAAGATAATTCAGCCCTTACAGAAGAGGCTCTGTGCCCCTGATGCAAACAAGCCAGACCTCGTGGCTTTGACACAGAAAAGACGAACATGGAGGTCAAACGCGGTCCTTCATGAGACGGTGCGTTACCCCTGAGGAGATGGCTTACTTTTCCGATACGGAATGTGACTCCCAACCCGCATTTCCTGCACAAGGTGAAGGAGCATCTGGTCCTCCTCTGGGGCCCACTCGCTCCTCTTGAAGTCTTTGTTGTAGGCTTGGAACTTCTGCAGGCACTGGAAAGCTGTGCGCCGAGTCTGGAGAAGAGACGAACAAAGACCGCTTGGGATGCATGGGGCATACCGGGGAGGGGAAAAGCAGGAGGAGGAGGAGGAGGAGGCTTTGTGCTAAATTGCTCAAACTGGGCATTCTGGGAAGAAAAGACACATAATTCAGGCGATGGTTCCAGAAGCCATCTCAAAAATCTGGACTGAGCATTGAAGTAATGCTAAAGAAACCAGCTCAGGGTGCAGCGCCCTCGCCAAGGCCTGCCCTTCGCCACGCTCACGGCTTCCACCTTCGGCAAGGCCTTCAAGTGCCTTGCCCAGAAGAGAGGCTACCCTAACTCGCCCGCAACCTCCCAGATGCCACATCGATGCCTTTTTAAAACTTGGTGCGATGTTGACCGCTTAACAATGCTCAGGGACAACCCTGACACAGGGTGGAAAAGGCCCTGCCTCAAGGCAGATTTCCAAACTGTCAACTTGGAAGATGCTCTTCAACATAACTCATTCATTCTGCACATCCTAAGCATGTCCCAAACATATTCTAGGCCTCCACAGCTTCAGGTACACCTTGGCTTTTCTAACCTGAACCCTAACCCTAACCTGGACCTTAATCCGAACCCTTGCCTGGGGGTGAAAAACCCACGCCTCTAGTTGGATTTTCAGAGTGCACAAGATTGTGTCTGAAGACGTGAAAAAAGGAAAGAGACCCACCAAAGGCAAGTGCTGTCCACTAAGAGAACCCAAGTGGGGGCCTCCCCACAAAGCTTGCCCAAGCGAACTCCACCCCAAACCCGGCACTGCACGCCTCAGAGAGGCCCGTCCCTACCCCAAGCTCCTGGGCGACTGCCTCCCAGCCCACGAAGCGGTGCCGGGCGGCCACCTCCTTCAGCCGTGCAAGCTCCTCCTCGCCCCATTCCTTCTTGTTGATGCTGGGGTGCTCCGAGTTCTGCCAGTATTTCCTCAGCTCCTTCCCACTGCGTGTCCCCTCAAACTAGGCAGGGGTGGAGGGGACGAGGAGGAGGAGAAAGAGAAACCGTGAACTTCAGCTCCTGGCCAAGGGCCGGGTCAAGATCCATGCCGGATTCATGGTGCCAGCAGAAGGTATCCTTCCAGCCCTCCTTCCCACGGCAGCCCCTCCAGCCCAGGGGCTAAGGTGTATGTTTTGAAGTACACGTGCCCCTCGCAAAAGTTCCTGCAGCTGCACCCCACAGAGAGGCCAAAACCCAAGGCTGCTGCACTGACCCCCGTCAGCCACCCAATTCTAGCAATGTCGCCAGTGCCAAGGACAGGTCAGCCGTGACGCCCCCGCTTATTCAAGGCCATGCCATCCCGCAAATATTTTGCGCTAGCAGCCGTGATCGCTCGCACCGACCCGCCACTGCAGAGCAAACCCCCTCGCCCACCACCCTCCCCAGCTCCTCTCTAGTTTGCGGCCAGGCTCAGAGAGAACAGGGATCCCTGAGGGGCCCCACAAAGGACTCCCCGCTGTTAACGAAGTGCCCGTGCCATGCCCTGCGCCCTCTGGCAACACTGCTTCAGGTTCCTGAGACTGGCGTGCAGAGGCCTCGTTTGTGCTTATACAATTGGCAACCCAAGGCTTAAACCAGAGCGAGCGAGCGAGCGAGCCAGAGGCCCCCCGCCTGTCAGCACCTCCCCTTAATTCAAACCACAACTGGCTCCTTCATAGGTTGTTCAGCATCCAACGCAGACTGACGGCTTGCGCGGGGACCAAGCAGCCCAGTGAGCACCACATGGTTTCTTGTCCTCTTGACTACTGCCACCCACCCCACGGACCCCACGTGCAAGCAGCCCCCGCAGTTGCCAGGCGCACTTCTGCGCACAAGCGGTGTGCGCGCACTCCTGTGTACCCGTGACGGCCTGTGCGTTGCTTTGGTCCCTGGGGCCGTCAAGCATCCACTGGCAGAGACCGGAACCTCGCTGAACAGGGTGAGTGGTGATGTGGGGAGGATTCTCAGGGACCAGGCAGAGGGACGCTAGGGCAGCACCGCCCCCCTCTTGAGGAAGGCAGGTGCTGGATCCCGCCCCGAGGTTTGAAGGCGGCCGTCCGCACCCAGCAAGAGCTCCTGCAGGTGGTCAGCCTCCAACAGTCCCTCCCCCAGCTACTCACACTGATGTTGGCGATCTTGTCCCAGTCGTGCTCGTCAGATTTGCTCCCCAGTAAAGCCTCCTCTGGCAGCAGGCTGGATCCAGAGGAGAGAAAACTGCATTTAGCTCAGGGACAGTTTTTGGCCTGCCAGCTCCTAGAGCTGCAAAGGAAGGGCTGGGCCAACACGTGCGCGCAAGCTGAGGTGCCGTTTGGGGATGCAACCCAAAGTCTACCAGCTGGCCTCGGCCAGTCAGGCCACCCTGTCTCCTCCCGAGAAAACTCCTCTTTTGCAGCACCACCCACAGTAGGCCTACAGGCTGACACAGCACCTGAAATGGTATTTTAGCTATAAACCTATAGGGGAGTATGTTTAAACCATAAAACAAATACAAAACCTCAAGACTGGACCTTAAAATACATGTAAAATACATTGCTGTGGCTACATACAGAACAATTGACGTGCTTCCTGTTGTTTCCACACATGTATAGCCTGCATTCCTTCCTCTTTCAGGAACCAAAGCTGGCTTATGAGGTTCTCCTGATCGCCATTTTATCCTCACAACAACCCTGTGAGGTAGGTTAGGGTGAGCCGGTGTCGGGCCCAAAGACACCCAGCAAGCACCATGGCTGAGCGGGGACTAGAAGTTGGGTCTCCGAGTCCCCGCTCCAATGCTCTAACCACGATGCCACACTGGCTCTTTATGCATTTATACTTAAACTGGAAAAAGTAACAGATTCAGCTTTCAAGGTTAAGAGGCTGAGAGAGAGAGTGTCACGACACATTAGTCCGTGCTGGCTGCAGATTTTCGCATGCCTCTGGGCAGGGGCATTCCCTCCTGCATCTCCTTCAGTTACGGTTGTGATCTAAGTCACAGATTTATTAAATTCCCGCCCTCTTGCTCTACCTTGCTTGGTGGTTTCCAGGGGAAGGTAGGGAGCGTCTGTCGTGAACGGAGCCGGTTGGAGACGGGGTCAGACTAGATGACCTGGAGGTCCCTTCTGACTCACTCTGTTTCTATGCTCTTACTAGGAGGCTTCTGTAGGCTGTCCTGAAATGTGTGCCACACTGATCCCACGCTGGCTTGCTCTTTTTTGCAACAGATAGAGGAAAAAAGAGGAAGCCCAAGCATAAAATTTCTTACTTGATATCAGTGATTTCACGCTCTTACTTGATATCAGTGATTTCACGCTCTGTCTCTTGTATCTGCTTTTCAAAGATCTGCCTTCCCACTTCATCCTTCGCTTTTTCGCGTTTCTCATTAAGGTAGTCAAGCCTATTGAGAAATATTTCCAGAACAATTAAAAACACCCCCAGTGCAGACGCAGACACAGACACACCAGCAAGACTGTAGAGAACATGTTGGAAGCCATGCAGAGGACACAGGAGGGCTGCTGGGCTGTGCAGCACCCTCCAGCGGGCCCAACGGGGAGCCAGGAGGGCTGGGCTTGGCCTGCGCGCTTGAGGACCGGCCCCCAAAGCCTTGGGGAAACGTTGTCCGGGGAGGCCTCTGGACTTACTTCAGTAGCTTTGGCTGAAGCAGATGCTGCAACTGGTCACTCAGCACAGACTGACGCAGCAACAGCTTCTCACGGCTCTTCCCTGGAAGAGGAGGACAGGGTTCTTGTGGAGGAGGGGCTGACAGAACTCATCCACTCGAAGGATGGATTTTTGAAATCTTTTTACATTCTTCCATTCTTTTCCCCAAAATTCTCCCCACTTCGTTTCTGTCCTGGTAACACACTCCCATTTACTGGCAGGACCGTGCCGTTAACCTCCAGGGAAGATGGGGGAATCACCGGTTGTTACAACAGGCCAGCAGGCTAGGATCAAAAAGGCAGCAGAAGGAATGGACTGAGAAGACCTTGCAGTGGGGGCGACCCGCAGTCTGTGCGATGCTTGCTTCCTGCCTGAGGCCAACGCGGCCTACATGCGCAAGACACGCAAGCTAGGAGCCCTGCCAGAGGAGCAGGTGAGAGCACTGGAGCAGCGACTGTCCACCCTCACGGGAAGAGAAGAGGATGAAGAGGTTTCAGACAGAGCAGTGGAACTGCAACAGCTCAGAGCAGGGCAGAAGCGAGAAGTGCAACAGCAAGCTGAGGCGGAAGAAGAGAATCCTGAGGGAAGGGAAAACGAGGAGGAAACGCCCTGGAAATGGTGCCAAGTGCAGAAGAACTAGAAGCAACCTGTCCCGGTGAAAGCAGCGGAACTCTCAAGCCTGGAGGGCAGCCTGCTGTGGAAGAGCTGCAAGCCCTCTCGTGCAACACCGACCATGAGGCTAAAGGTCCACCGAGGAGGAGCACTGACACCAAGCCTTGCAAGAATAGGAAGCGTGTCAGTTGTGGAAGACGCCCTGTTGCGCGGGATGGAAACACGTGCATGTCAGGACGATCTGCGGACTTGTCAGGTGTGCGGTCTCCCTGCAGCATGGATTGGTGATGAACTGAGGGACTGCAGAGGCTCCTGGTCATGTATCCCTTCCTTCTTATACATTTGGGAACAAATGACACTGCCTAGCAGAGCTTTGGAGAAATCACATCAGACTCTGAAGCTGAAGGAAGGAAAGTCAACACTTTGGGACCCAGATAGTTTTCTCTTCAATCCTTCCAGATCAAAGAAGAGGAATGGACACGGTAATTAAAAAAAAACCACCAACTGAATGCCTGACTATGAAAGTGGTGCCAACATGAGAGATTTGGATTCTGGGACCATGGGCTGCATCCCCTGAAAGATGGACTGCTGGTGAGGGAGGGGCTGCACCCCACAAGGACCGGAAAGAAGGTGTTTGGCCGCGGCATGAAGTTTATCCAGAGGGCTTTATACTGAATCTTACGGGGAGAGAGACATACACCTGGGCGAAGCAACAGACAAAGGCTTCTGTAATGCAACAGAGGGAGCAGCTCTATGTCAAGTGGCTCTATTGTGAAATGGAGTTCAAGATGGGTGGGAATTTTTGAAAAAAGGAAATTCTAAAAGCACAATTACAAACCACTCCAACAAGAAGACAACAGAAGAAGTCCATGTGGCTTCATAAAAAGCTTAAAACAAAAACGATCTGTCCAGGAAGTGAAAGGAAGACCAGGTTACAAAGGAAGAATACAGGCAGGTCGCATGGAATTGCAGGGAAGGCCTTGGGAAAGCCAAAGCTAGGAATGACCTGAGGCAAGCGAGGGATGCTGAAGCAACAAAAAGCCTCTTTCAGATGTGCCCAGGGTGAAAGACGGGAAAGAAACGGGGGTCCAACATGCCAACCACTGGGCCACAGGGGCTCTGTGCACTGGCTGCTGCCACACCCAACTGACCAAGCCGCCCCATCAACCCTGGAGGCAGCTCAGAGCTTAATCCCTGAGCATCACACCGGAAATTCCCTTACATTTGATAGTGATCAACTCCTCAAAAGACTTGATGCCTTGCCTCGCCTTTTCATGGGCATCGCTGTTTGCGGGGGGACCCTGGTGGAAGAATCCAAAATAGTCACAACTCCAGTCCATCGCAGTTTGCAATCTCTTCCTTCAAGACAATGCTTGCTAACTCCTTTTGACAAATTTATTATTAGGGCTGCCTCATCCACTAACTATCTGTCCAGATATAATGTGGTATAAAAATGCTATGAACAATGCACAACAATAAGCTGGCATAGAACAATTTAAAACACAATCAAAGATTTAAAAACCAACAACAGAATTATGTATTAAAGCAGAATGTCCACAAACCAAGGAAGGCTTTCTGAAAACCGGCTTTTCAGGAGGTGCCAGGTCAACGCAGTGCGGGTGCCAGTCTGGCCTCCAGGGGTGGGGAGCCACCTTCTCTCAGAGGGTTCAGTTCACACCCACCGAGAAAAAAAACTGGCTCTAGCGAGAAGGTGCCGAAGGCTGGATTTGGATCCAGGCACCTGATTCTGTTAGGAAAAGGGAGAGCGGGAAACGGAAGAGGCAGCCCAGCATTGCACTGAAGCAGAAGAGCCCCCAGCAGCCTGGCAAATGGAAACACAAACACTTACAATCCCCGATGTTTTATCCTTAAAATATGGCTTCATAAAATGGCCCAGGAACATATTGGCGGGCAAGGTCTTGCGACTGCCTGATTTTGTCCCTCTTGTTCCAGCGAGCTCCCACATCAGCTTTTCCTGCAAGACATTCAGAAGAGAAAGAAGCGGGCGTTGAGAATGGTCCACCTGTCTGACTCGCAGGGGACAGAACGGGAGTTCTGAGGCCATGCTGAGCCCAGCGACCGAGCCAGCGCTGAGGAACCAGGGCCTGCGGGCACCACCACCTCCCCCCGTCCCCCGCTTGGGGCTCGCTCATTTCCCACCGCAGAGGGTGCAGGGGTGGGGGCAGGGTCAGTTTTCTGTGGCCTGTGCTTTTGGTGCTCCTGTCTAGAACATCCCAGAGAGCTCCCCAGTTTGACTCACCTGCTGCTCTTTGTTCTGGGCAAGGAGGAGGTTGATTTCCACCATCTTCTCCTGAATCACCTCCTGATAAACCAGGTTCATCTGCAGGCAGGTCTCTGGAGTGTGTGGGAGATAAATCACCACTCCTCCCTCTTGCTCCTGATCAGCTTCTTTCACTCCACCTGGGTCCACCTCCTGACTCAAGACGTAAGAGGACAAGAAGTTAAGCAGATGGCTGGGAAAGGGGCTTTTCTACAAGGCAGGCTGCAAACTTTGAGAGGTACATCAACAATAAATGAATGAGATTCATGTGTGGTGAAGGATACTTCTAATCTTCTCTCTTCCTAACAGGCCCCTTTTCTCAGCAATCCCACTTGAAACTGCTCCTTTCCTGCGAAGTGCCAATCAAACTAAAGCCCACCAACAAACAGCTCTTGCTACCCATGACTTCTGTTGTGGCCTGCATTGCAATTTTGCTTTTTCTTTTCACTCATTCTCCCTGTCATAGTTGATATTCAGATTCAAAGCTCCATCATGGGTGAGACTTTTGCTTACACTTGTATTATTTGGAGGTGCTGCATACACCAGTGGCACTGCATAAATAAATATCGGCCTGTCCTCCAAGAACTGAAGGAGTCCAGTCACAGCTTTTAAAAGCAATTTCACTTGGCTGTATTTGTATGCCTGAGGTGCAATTCACACACTACTTCCCCACTGGGAGCAATCTTGTGAGTGAAACTTAATACATGAATTAACTCTCATCAGAGAGTTTAAAATATCCACATGGAGCTTGGAAGAGACCAAGTTGCAAATTGGGCTCAGAAAAACAGGGACTTTCCACAGAAGTGGTCAAATGACTTTCTGTTATCCACTTGGGAAGGGCCTGGAGTTCCTGCGTTGTGTGCAGATGGTCCCGAGTTCAATCCCTGCTGGCATCTCCAGGATGGCTTAGGAAAGAGCCTGGCCTGAAACCCCAGGGAACTGCAGCTGCCAGCAGCGCTGACACTGCTGAGCTTGATGGCTCAAGGGTCTCATGCAGCATAAGGCAACGTTGTAGGCAAGTCAGTCTTCAGAAGGGCAGAGGCACCTGCACATCTGTGAGGAACTTCAGCCTGGTGGTACAGATTTTGCTTTGCAGGATTTTGGTTTGTTCCCCAAAATCTCTAGCTAGGGCTTGGAAAGCTTTGTGCTGAAACCCTGGACAGCCACTGCTGCCAGTCAATGCTGACAAGAGAGGGTTACATGGACCAACAGATTCCACAAAATGCACCTTCCTGGGTTTCTATGTTTCTTTATGACTATGGAGATAAACCGTTAAAGAGAAAAGAGGCACGGGAACGTTACATATCACCAAATTCTCTTCCTTTCCACCCATCCAAGAAAGGGGGGGCATATTTTGAACGGATAACTTGCCATGTCAACATGAGAATCGGAATTGCCGTCGCCATTCTCAAGGTCATCTAACAGGACAAAAAAATATTAGACAGGTTACCGAAAAGAAACTCATGGAAAGCTTTCACAGATACGAGGAGACTGAAGAGTGATACTGTTGCTGTGCCACAATCAAAAAGCCAAAGCGCATGGGACGCCCTTTGCATGGGAAGATCCATATTGCTGCTTACATCTATATTGCATATCCCAACAGGCTGGAATAGAAAGGAGCAAACGATCATGTTGACAACCCTAAACCTAACCGCTTTGATAAAGGCACACCAAACATTCATAGATTTATGCATTTATAATTTAAGCTGGAAGGTTGCTTGTTCAATGATTGTAATGCACATGTGTCCATGGGTACCTACAGAAGGGAGAGATCTCCTTGCTTGCATCTTTTTCACTTATGCATTATGTTTTTCAGAATGAGAACTGGTGAACAGGGACTGTCAAATCTTCTATAAAATATTACATGCCCCTTCAGTGATTAAGGAGTAATCCTACATGTTTAGAGAGAGAAAAGAAGTCCTACAACTGCCAGCATCCCCCAGTCAGCAGTAGGGCTGCACCCTAAACATAGAATAAAACTGAGTGCAAAAGCTTTCTGAGCACTTTGAAAAAGGAATGGCTGTGATGATATTCAACCCCATGAGTCTCTTGATTCACTTATTTGAATTTTCACCCCTACCAAGCTGCAGAAATTCTGAGCAAGTTACAATACTTTTAGATGTCAAGAAGTGGAAGAGTTTGAAAAGCCGAAATAAAGGAAATTCTCCGCCTGTACTGTACCTCCATCATCAGAAGCTGATTCAAGGCTAGAATCTGATACTTGAACTTCAGTGCAAGGGAGACTGGGGCCAAGACTCCTCTCTAGCTCTTGAATCTCCAGCCTGATTTTCTCCCGTTCAGCATTTATATCCATCGCTGACACGTGTACTGCACCAACATGAGATGGAGAGAAAATGAAACAAAAGAAAAAGCCATATTCATTAAAAAAAACCCACACATAAGCCTGTCTAACACTCTGCTATGCTATAAACTGCACCAGAAGATAATTTTCACATGTGATCAACCCATCCCACGAACGGTAAAATACATAGACAGAATATGGTTGGGAACATCCTCAGGTGGATGCAGGTCTCCTTTCTGTGAAAGGAAGAGGGCTCTTTAAAAGGAAGGTGCCTTAGCCCAGTTTAGAGGACCCCATTCCACATTTTGACCGGCTGACTAAGGATCTCTCAGCTCTCTCGGAAGCATTTCCAGGGGCACAGAGGGTCTGCCACGAGGAGAAGGAGCCGGGCAAGTTCATATCCACCACTACAGTTGATCTACAGTGAATCTGGGTACGACGCATGACCAGGGAGCCTCAAGAACGTGCATAAACCTGGAAAGCAGTATCTGTTAGGATACCCCACCCCACAGTGGGCCTTTTAAAGCAAGCGGCCCGCCAGATTAAGACATACCTCAGAAGCGGCAATCTTGTGCAAACTGTGACCAACAAAAAGTTGTGGGCAGCAAAAAGCCCACAGGACACCGACAGACCACGGCAATAATTTAAGGCGAAGCGAAGCTCAGGGTTTAAAGCCTTATTTCGCTGCGGGAAGATGCCTCGTGCTGCGAACGGGACTCGGTTGCCTTGGAGGAGCCGGAGCTACGGTGCTGCAGGGCAGAGTTCAACGCCAGCACGTCCCGAGCGGAGAGCCTTCCCACGACTCGGCACCCTCCAGAGGGGCCGGACGACAACTCCCAGCATCCTCCATGCAGCACGGGGCACCCCGGGAAATACAGACAGGCAGACCCGGAGGGCAACGCGGGGGGATGGGAGTCGCAGTCTGATGTACCTACAGGGCCCCCGTGCGGAGGATGCCAGGAGCGGGGATCCAGCCCATCTGGAGGACCTCGCCAGGCGCTCCGCTCGTCTCCCGAGCCCCTCCACGCGCCCGCGCGCTTTCCCCCGCCTGGGCGCCCGGGGGAGCCTCCGACCGGCCCCGGCGCAGCTCGCCCACGCCACGCACTCCCGCACCTGCCCGAGAGCAGCAAGCGCGCCGGGAGGACGAGCAGGAAGTGACGTCACGCCGCGAGCGCTTCTTCCAGCAGCCCCCGCTGCCTAGCAACGGCCGGGGAGGCCACGCCCCTTTCTCTGGGCGAGCCCTTCGAAGCCTGGCCTACGGGCGAGCGAGATCATCCTCACGCGCCTTGGCCAATCCCCAACCCTCCACTGAAGCTCACGTGTAGGATGCTGCCCAATAGAAGAGCAGGCAACTAAAAAAAAAAAAAGTGAAGGCGCTGGATTGATGGCGACAGCGGCGAACTTCCGCTCTTCCTTCTCCGTCACGCCCAAATAGCGTGTGATGAACTTCAGCCCGTGACACCGCCCTGCCTGGCGAAGGGGCTGTCCATTAAGTACCTGTAGCCAATCCGTGGAGAGGGGGCGGGATGCCGCCCCGTGATAGGCGGAGCGGACCGGCAGAACGCAGGGTCCCGAGCTGCCCTCAGCCCCGCCCCCACGGGAACCCGGGCCAATCACAGGCAGGCTTCTCCATGGGCTGGCAGGACCATGGCTGCCCAAGTATTTTAAAATAGGTAATTTCAAATACCGAATATTCAAATAATCTCCTCAGCCTCCCCTACCTCACAGGGTTGTTGTGAGGGCAAAAGTTGGTGGGAGGGAGAATGCTGTGAGCCCCCTGAACGACAGGAAGCAGAGTGCAAAGGCGCTGCGTGCTTGAAGCGCGCTGGCACAAGGCGCTTCTGCTGGGGCTTCCTCCAGGCCCATCTCTGATCTATGATCACTTTTTTTTTACCCCATACTTTGGCCAAAAAGTGATCTCTAAGATATGGCACAAAGGGCAACAGGATGGGGAAGGAAGAGGAAAACAGCAGAAACTCAGGGATCAGTCCTGGCCGCATACGCCCCAAACTGGAACATGCTTGCTTCCTTGTATGCATTTTAAATGTAACCGGTCACATATTCTTTGGGAACTTACCACCAGCAGCAGTTTAGTATTACTTTGAAGGCCACTTGAGGTTTAGGCACTCATTTAAGCTGCATTCTTCTCTACCTTTACCTGGAAATAAGCGCCCTTAAACTCAACAAGGCTTGCATCTGTTTACCCTAGCAACTACTGAAAGGGATGAAAGGACTCCATATATGAAACAAAGGAAATAGAACACTACTGCCTTGCAATTCCATTTTAATTTAAAAATAGTGTTACAAAACCTAGAAGAATTAAGACGCTTCAAAACAACATATTCACATAGTGTTGGTTAAATCTTTGCTGTACAAAAGGTGAAAAAGGCCTCTGCTGCTGCTGTCTTACTCCACCCTGGAATGAGATTTCCACAGAGAAGGTAGATTCAGACACATTGTATTAGTTTTTGAGTCGCACATTAAGCAAGAATTTACTAGACAATTCAAGCTGGAAGCTATGCTGAGACAGGTAACATGGCAGCCCACTGCTGTCCTTTGTTCCAGCCGGTTGAGTTTCTTCCCTCACCAGCCTCACTGCCAAATTTGCCTCTGTAATAAGTTGCAACCCTGCATCTTTCTGCCAAATTATCTTATTTGGAAGCAGAACTAGGTTCTTAGAAATCTGCTAGGTGACCCTGCCCGTAGGGCCCGCACCTTTAGTGGGAAAACGGAGAAGGAGCCCATTGGGTTCCGGAAGAGAGGCGATGTAGCTCCCCCAACCCACAGAAACTGCCCAGTCCCGACCTATGTGGATGACCAGTCAACCCTGGTGGCCTGGAAAAGCAGAACCTTGTCTGCTTCTCCAAAATGCTTTAAGATGGATTGTGACTGGATTAAGTTGGATTGAGCTGCAGATTCTGATGGAGTCCAGGGAAGCACAAGATGAGAGCAAGCTGACTTTTCTGTTTGCATGCCGGTAGGGCCTGGCCTAGGAGTCCTTGCAGTGGGTTTTATGAGGAATCCTGTGGGAGCTCAGAGATCTTGCCTATGGACTTGAGAAACTCGGCCACCAACTGCAGTTCTTCAGCACCCGATATTAGCTGCCTGGAATGAAAGCAGAGTCCCGATGCTGTAACCGGTATTGTGTGGAAAGGACACGCTTGTGACTTTTCAGCAAGCTGCTGCAAGCATGAGAGCTGGGACTCCTTCAGCCCAAAGCCAAATTCCCTCTCAGAGAAGTTCTCAGGGCCACCATCCCCAAACTAGCCCCATAGCTCAGCACAACACTCCTGCTGTTAGTAACCCGCCCTTTGGGGAAATGGTATTTTGAACTTTAAAATGGGGGGAGAAGTGTGCAAAAGCCAGGAAACTGCCCAGTCCACAGTGGTCCAGGGAGAGCAGATGTGACCTCTGACCCCCAGAAGGCCAGACTGGGACCCGTGTGGGCCAGTCCGAGGTTCTGCATCCCTGAACTACAACTGCAGCACACCCGATCAAAAGCCGAGAGTTGGATGCCGCACCCCCACGTTTTAATCTGCTGCAGACAGAGGAAGCAAAGAAAAAACCTTACTGGACTGATGATCTGGACTTCGTGACAACGGCAAGGAGGTTCTGCAAGGCCACATCCACGTTTCGTTTCATTAATGCCACGTTGGCCGAATGGCCGGCCCTCAAGGTTTCCTTTTCCAGCTTGAAGCTCTCTACCTGAGCCTTCAGGGAGAGGTCCATCAAGTCAGTGACTGACAGCAGCAGAAGGGAGCTCCCTCCGAGGACCCCGGGGAAGAGGGTGTGCCTAGAATTCCCTTAGGACGTCCTGCATGGTTCTCACATTCACCACCTCCCACTTCTCACAAGAAAACCAGGCTGGTTCACAGTCCCCTCCTTCTCTACTTCATCCTCACAACAACCCTGCAAGGTAGGGGAGGCTGATTCAGCAACTGGCCCAAAGTCACTCACTGACCAATGACCAGAGTGACCAATGGCTATGCTGCCAGGGGACAATCAGGATTGTGGTGCACCACAATTGTAGGATCCCGGTGGTGTGGGTGGGTGTGCTTGTGCAGGAAACGAAAGCCTGAGTACTTTTCATACCCTTCCTAAACCACAGGAGTTCCCAGCAAGCTTTGGTGGTGAGTAAAACTCCAGCGAGAAGTGAGCAAATATGATGCGTCAAACTCTGCCTATAAGTCAGTCCCTGGAGTGGTGGAAATTTCGGTGGTGCAGCCTGGAGAGATGAAACTGACACCCTCAATGTGATTTTTTGCAGGGGCTCAAACTCCCCAGGAGCAGCAAAGGTGAGTGTACATGCTCAAATGCCCAGGTCAGTGGAGCTAAGTTTGTACCTGAAGGAGTACATTTTCCTGCTTCAGCTTGATCACGCTGCTTTCTGCTTTCACGGCCCGTTTCTGGAATTAAAGCACATGGAACAGACGTGAAGATCGGGCCAAGGGAAACCCTGTGAATTAGACTGGCTGAGAGGCAGTGACTGACCCAAAGGCACCCAGTGAGCTTCAGGGTCAGGTGGGGACTCAGCCCTGGGTCTCATGGGTCCAATGCCCAAACCTCTGTACAGAATCACACAGCTGGAAGGGCAGGAGGATGGCCAGTGAAACATATTCACTGGCACGTGCCAAGATCCACGGGCAGGGACCGAGTGTGGCATGGTGCGGAAAAGTCTGCTTCTTTCTCAGGACTACCCAGAAGTAACAGAGCAGCGGGCAGCTTATTTTATTTATTTAAAGCATTAATATACCATTTGATTAGCATATGCTCTCAAAACAGTTTACACAAAGTTCCTGGAGAGGCTGAATTTGTTTCCAAAGGGAGATGCCCATCATTTTCAAGGGAGGAGAATAACAAGAAATAAGGAGGAGCGTGCATTTTCCAGGGACGGGGTGCCGGGAAGAACGGAGCCCAAGAGGCACTCCTGCGACCAGGTCTGTCGGCAGGTCAGACGCACCGTCATCAGCTGGAGGTTCTCCTCCACCTGCTGCACCATGGCCTCCAAGTCACGGGCCTCTTTCTCTTCTTTTCGTTTGCTCTCTTCTAATGTTCTTTCCAGCAGCTTCACTCTGGGGGAGGCGGGAGAGATGGAGAGGGGGCTAAGCACCCTGCTCTAGCTGCAGCCTGATGAAAAGGCGTTTAAGATCCGTGAGTTTCTGTTTCTTCCTCTAGCAACTTTATCAGCACGGATTTGCTTCCCAAGCGAGAAGCAGAACTTGAGTGTTCTGAGACCAGGCCTGCCTGTGGCAGCAGAGTCCTCTCAGGAAAGCCTGTTGTCCGAGGTGCAGGACAAGGAAGGAGGCCCCCTTTGAGAGGGCAATTGCCTGCTGCCCTTTTTAAAACTAGCACTGGCATTAACGTACACATTTTCTCCATAAAACCTCGGCTAATGTTCTTTAGTGGCACAGTCCACAATGGCATGTTGAGACAGAAGAGTCCTGCCGCTTCACCCGGGTGCCAGGAGCTGCACGCGCTCTGCTCTGTCTGTGCATGCAAGTGCCATTCAAGAGCACTCCCCCCGCCCCCCGGCACCTTACACACCTTGCAGTCTGAGTTTCAGAAACGGTTTCAATGTGGGCGATCATACTCCTTAACTTGGAATTTTCTTGTTTGAGCTAAAAAAGAAAAGAAATGGGACATTATTCAACAAACATTTGCCTCAAATCCCCAATACTTTTGGGAAAGTAAAATAAAATCCACATTTGGCACCTAGAGAAGCAGAAAGCCAGGAAATCATACTACATTTGCTTCACCTGCAAAGTGTATTCTGCTTCCAAGATGCAGATGCTCTGTGAACTGCAGGGAGAATGTGGAACTGTGGGATGACTGTGATTACAGCAGGGTACCGACTGTTTTTTCCACCCAAGGGCCAGATTCCATTGCACAGAATCTCTCAGGGGTGCGTTCTGCACTGGGTGAGGCCGATGGAAAAGGGGCAGGGCCCAAACACCAAAAAGACTGGCTGAGCTTTCGCTAGAGGCTCTTATTTGCTGGCAGTTCAGCCTTTGGAGAACCTTTCAGAACAGGGCAGCAGAATAGGATGCGGAGCTGCAGACAAGCCAGGAAAGCACTGAGGAGCCCAGAGAATGAGGGGTTTCCCCAGGGCTGGGGCCCCCAAGGCCTGCCACTGGTCACCTTGTTCTACTTGTCACCCGCAACCTGGGGTCTCACAGATGTGTGGACTGCACCTCCGGTAGCACAGTCCCTTTGCACCCTGCTGCAAATTGCTGATGAGAGAGAGGCCGGGTGCTGTGTGCTCCTCAGTGTGCATGTAAACAACAGGGAGAAATTCCTAGTCTGGTCTGGCTGCTGCTAGGCCTGTGAAGAAGCCCCCTCCCACCTCTCAGAGGACCAGAGATGGAAAAGAGGCACCCGCCAAACACAGCTGGTTGCAAGCAAGGATTCTGGCCTCAGGGCTTGCCCGGGAGACACCTTAATCTGGGCCCTCCAGAAGGAAATGAGGAAGGAAGAGCACTAGGCATGGGTTCCCAAGAGCACATGCAAGAAAGTTCTCTAGGCCCTCACTTCTTCGTAACTCAGCTGTGGAGATGGCAAAAAGCCATCCCCTGTGGCCACGCCATCTTGAGGGGAGCTGGGGTCCCCCTTCCCGAGAGGGCCCTGTGGCTGAGAGCCATTCCCTCCAAGCTGCCATGCAGAAAAGGACCCAAGGTCAGACACATCCGACCGGTTGCTGTACAAAGAGTCAGAGGTGCTGCTGAGCGAGGCACTGGGGCCCCGGGTTGAGTGGGCCTCCTCGACAGCCAAGGGCTGGTATGTGGTGCTCCAGTCATCCTCTTCATCATCCAACAAGGAGTTTGTCACCGTCGGGTCTGGGAAAAACGGCTCTCGGAGGTCCAGACTCAGTCCAAATGATTGTGGCGATAAGGAGCTGTTGTCTAGTGGGGAGAACCCAGATGACTCCTAATAGAATGGGAGGCAATGCAGCGTCATTCCACTGCTTAGAGAAGCATCCTTCCCCCGCTCTGCCCTCCTCACCACCTTTTCCTTTTATGTCATGCTTTTCCAGATTGCAAACCCGGAGGCAAGGACTGTCTTGTTTTCCTGACTGCATGCGAGAGGCTCCGGGTGCTGCTCTGATTAAGAAGCATGATAAAAGGGCTTTAAATAACTGGTAACCTAACATTGTTGGGAACCAAGCCGATTTGATGCACAACAGAGAATCGTCACCGTGTCCATTCCTGATGACAGCGAGTTGCATTCTGCATGTCATGATACTGATAAGAGCTGGTCTAATTCAAGTCTCAGTTTACCTTCTCAACGTGTGGAAAAGCAGCCCAAGGCTGCCAACCATTTCGTATCTGCACAAGGTCAAGCAAGCGCCAGCCTCCTCTAGATGAGTCAAACTCAGCAAAATGGCCCGACTGTTCCCACTTCTTTGTTTTGCCCTTTCCCCATCTTCCCTTTATGGTCCTGTCACTCCCTTCTCCCTCTTCCCTCTGTCATCTTGTCACTGCCTCTCCAGAAGCACTGCTGGCTGAACAATGGCTGAATATACTTTACATAAATAAATAAACAGGTCCCACGGTGGATACAGCCACTGTCCCACAAAGGCTGCCATTCCTGTTCCCCATAACCACATGGCTGCTGAGGAATGCTGTGGGTGCAAGATGTGCTTCCTGGCCTGAGCATATATAGGACTGTGCCACCATTCAGCTGACCACAACTTGGTAGCCTTCCAGTAGTGTGGGCTGCAATGCTCTGGACGCTGAGCTTTGTAGTCCGATGCATCTGGCAGGCCGATGGGTTGAGGAAGGCTGTGCACGGCTGAGGCAGCTCTCCACTCCTCTGGGCGTGAGGAACACACTGCCCCACAGAGTGCCCCCCATGGTCTGTCCATCCACCCCATGACCCTACCTGGGGGCTGATACCGCTGGTAAGCCTCAATTCCCGGAGCAGCTCGCTGGTCCGCTGGGCCCCTGGCAGGGTGCTGGTGGTGGCAGCCTGGTTCTTGCTCCGCACAAACTCCTTGAAGGAAAAGGGATTGGCCTCCTCCCCGGAGCAACTGGGGGGGCCCACTGGAAGCAGAAGCAAAGAAGCAGGTGCACAGGTAAAAGCAAGAAGCAATGGCTGGCTGGCTGGCTCCAGAATCCAGCCCATGAGGCACATTCAGGAGCTCCTTTCCTCACATAAGGAGAACTTATCCAGAAGTCAATTTTGACAGCCATGTTCCCCAGGGAAAAGGGAGACACTCTGCCTAGGCTTAGAGGCCCCTGTCATTCCTCAATTTTAATTACGACATTTCTATTTTTGCTTCCCCATCTGAAGGAAATATCCCCTTTACAGCTGGAAGCGCTTGTGCCCAATTTCTAACCCAAAGTAACTGAAGCCCAAGGCATGCCTACACGAGGACAGGCGCTGTGCCATTTGCACTCTGCACATGCTGAAAGCAGCTCCTCCTATATCCCTTTTCACCAGCGCTCCACCCAAGAAATCCAAAATTGTCTCTTTCCACACTGCAGTCTTAGAAGCACTTAAATTCTTATTTAATGCCCCACCAAAATAAAACACTAAGTTCTTAAATTACATAACAGCAAAGCCATAATGCTGCTGCTGCTAGTTGGAGATGAAGCGCTCAGTACTGTATTGCACTTAAACACTAGATTTATAACCTTTGATATATTTTATATATTTATAAAAATATTACCAGCAATAGTTCAAAATAAATGAGCAAATAACAGAAAAAGCTGTAACGATATATTCATAGCTGAGTTTTTTGTTGAAAGCCGCCCCCCACCATCGCCGGCAAATAGCCGTTCTAACACGCGCTCGGGGCCGTGTCTAAAGCAGAGTGCGCTCTGCATGTGCTAAGAGACTGCCTGTACCAAAGGGCATACAAGGGCCCAAGACACGTGCTCAGGGGCCGCACCAGAGGCCCCGAAGGGCGCTTTGCACATGCTCAGAGGCCACGCCAGGCGCAGTAATGCACCCCGCGAGGGCCCAGAGACTACGCTCGGAGGTCCCCCCCTTACCGGCGGGGGCCCCCCAGGCCCGCTCCGCGCCCGTCGGGAGACGGCCGGGCCCGGCCATAGGTCACCGCAACGCCCCCTCTCTTCTCTCTCTCGCCCGCCCGTCCGTCCCGTGCAGGGAGACCACGCCCACTCTCTGCGCCACAGGCACAAACGGCGGGCCACCACTCTAATGAGCTGGCCGGTGCTCCGGCGGCGGCGGCGGCGGCCGAGCGGCTCGGGAAACGCCCGGCGACGGGAGCGCTGGCTGGCCGGCCATCCGCGCGGCGCCCCCTCCGCCCGCAACGTCCGAGGCCAGCCAATCAGCGGCACCCTGCGCAGCCGGCCCGGCCGGCCAATCGCGGCGTCCCGCCCGGCGAGCCAATCCCGAAGCACGCGGGCACGTGACTGCGCGCCACCGGGCAGTCGCCGTGAAGGGGAGCCAAGATGGCGGCCAACGTGGTGCGGAGGGGCGCGTGGGGCTCGGCGCGCAGGTGAGGCCCGACCGGGCCAGCTCGCGGGGGGGGAGGGGGAGGGTGTCACGTGCGCACACGGGGCCACGCCCTCCCCCGCCTTGGCTCCGCCCCCGCCGCTTGTCACCTGGAGGGGAGGGGAGAAGCAGCCTTGGCCCAAAATTCTCCCCAGGAAAAGGCAGCCCGGGGCGGGGGGGAGCCAGGCTTTAGACATGCACAAGGTAGGCATGTCATGAGCGGAGCCGGCTGGAGCCGGGGTCAGACTAGATGGCCCGGGAGGCGCCTTCTGACTCGCTCTGCTTCTGTTTTTCCGTCCTCTTGCGCGCTGGAGGTGATGACTACAACTCCCAGCAGCCTGCAGCCAGCAGAAGCGTGCTTTAATAATGGGAGCTGTAGTGAACAAGGGCATTTCCAGGACTTCGGGAGTGGCATGGCTGCCCTGTGCATTCATGGGCACCTGCTTAGCTTCCTAGATCAGGTGCTTCGGGCTATATGGAAGCTGTAGGACTCATTATATTAGTATTGTGGTTGTGTACAGTTGGTGTACATGATAGGTATTACCACCACAGTGGGGAAAACCTGAGTAACAGAGAAACAGAGCGTCAGAAGGGTCCTCCTGGGCCATCTTGTCTGACCCTCATCTCCAGCCAGCCCCGCTCATGACATGCCTACCACATGGCATTTATATGTCACCTTTCACCAAGGGATTGTTCTTTTCTTTGCCGGTTCCCTATTTTACTATAACACATATGATTTCAACCCATATATGTACCTGACCACCATTTTGAGCTATTTCATACTGGTGGAATGGACTCTGCTGCTTCATTAGCTATTTATCTAAAATTATTTCTGAGCTGCTTTTAATGGTAGAAACCTCTGAAGGTGGTATATGAGCTAAAACATAAAGTGATCTCTGCAAGTTGAAAGGGAGCAGAGCAGAGAGCAGTTGGAGCAGTGCCTTTCCCCCCTGATGTGCTAGTTTTTCACTTGCAGCCAAGTCTGTATGCCATATTTTGTTATTTACTGCATTAGAGACATTGATACCTCACTCTTCCCATTGCCTTGCAGTGCTTAAATTCAATCAGCAAAAACCAAATTTAAATAAACTGTCATTTGCTAGCTGCCCTGAAATACATTTTCAGGAATGTACATTTGAATAAATTATGATACTCACTATTTTTATGCTCCAGGTTTGGACTGGTTGCCTACCGAAAGTACAGCAGTGGGGCTAGCTATCCCAGCATCCCCCTGACAACTCCTCTGCCGGGGGTTCCTAAACCCATCTTTGCAACAGTTGATGGCCAGCAGGGATTTGAGACAAAAGTCAACACCCTTGAGAACGGGTTGCAGGTGGCTTCCCAAAATAAATTTGGGCAGTTCTGTACTGTTGGAAGTAAGTGACGCTTGGTTGCAGCTGGGCAAGTTTTCCTGGGGGACAAGATTTAGATGAATGCACGCAGCCCAAGAGACCTGCTGATTTTGAATTAAAGTATTTATATTCTGCTCCTCCGCCAGAACAAAAGTCTCTGGGATGATTTAAAATCTAAAAAGACACAAGGGAAAGTGGGTGGGAGAGGAAAAAACGAAGTGGAGTGTCAGCAGAGCTGGTGAAATGGCCCTGCTTCCTCACTTAGCCCTGGCATGGATGAGTAGTCCGGCTGGGGTTGGTGCTAACGCTCCCTTTGCTTGCCCTGCCTCCTGCACTCTTCCTCCTGCAGAGGGAAGCCGATGTCAGCTAGCCAGGCTCAAGAAGCGAAGCAGTGGCCACTTCTGGGAACTAGTGCAGGGCCACAGGAGACTCATCTGTGCTTCTTGCCATGGGGCGAATCGGCTCTGCTTTGCCAGCCACGAAGCTCCTCAGGGTGTCTGCACCTTGTCCGTTGGGTACACAGAAGCACTGGGTGTGTCACCCTGACTTCAGTTATTGATATGAGGGTACTTTTCCCTTTCTGCTGGAAAGGCATTCCAAGAGGCTGCACCTGGGGTCTCCAGCATGCCTGGGATGCTGTTAATGGCTGTGGGCACCTCTCTCAATATCCACAGGTCTCCTTGTCTTCTGTTTTTTTTAAAAAATGTCTTAAGATTTTGTGTAATTAAAAAAAGAGGACCCCTATCTTGCTGCAGAATGATGGGTGGCCCCCAGCATCTCTTTGGATTCCAAAGAGGGCTTTTGTATTTGGACCTCAGACCATACCTGCTTTGCTTTGTCATTTATATCATCTGAAGAGATTCCAGAGTATTTAGGTTCAGGGGCAAATGGCTTCTTTCTGTTTGCCTCCTGGGAAATGAGTGCTTTGTGACCGAGACCACGGCAAGCCATTTTATGAATGAGCAAACCCGACTCACAGGGTAGCCTTTTTGTGAAAGCCTCCACATCACACTTTCAAAATTCCAAAGGTGCCCAGGAAAGGGTTAGGGTTAGTGGAAGGGAGAGGGAAGAGGCATGCTGCAGAAGTGCCTCCCTGTAAGGCACTTAAAAAAAGTCTAGAAAACCTTTGCAAACTGATGATGCAGGGCTGGAGTAAGAAAGGTGCCGTTGGTGGTTTCTCTGCTCAAATTAGCCTGATGTTGAACTTCTAGTAGCACTTGGACGAAAGCTTGCTTCTGGGGATTAACCCCTGTCCCAGTCATTCTCCTCTCTCTTGCCTTTGTTCAGTCCTTATAAATTCAGGATCAAGATACGAAGCAAAATACATCAGTGGCATTTCCCATTTTCTGGAAAAGCTGGCCTTTTCTGTAAGTAACCCACGCAGACCGTTGCGTGTTTGAACTTGAATTCAGCCCTTGGGCCAAAGGAGGATCTGTACCCTGAGCTAAACGCTGGCCTTAAATCAATGCTGCTTTTCTTCTTTGTGTTTAGTCTACAGCTCAGTTTGGCAGCAAGGACGAGATCCTTCTCACGCTGGAAAAACACGGTGGCATTTGCGATTGTCAAGTGTCAAGGTGGGTCTCTCTCTCAGCCTGCTCTGTTAAAAAGGCAGTGTCCTTCACACCAAACAGGAAAAATAAGGACATCTAGAACAGGCTTTTGCTCAAACGGGGTAACTTCATTTATCCGACATGTATGTCAGTCCTGCTGTGCATCTCCATTTCTTGCTCTTTTCCTTTTCCCTTTTCTGCCAACTGGGTGTGCAGCTAACATTCTTCTACGCATCTCAGTTGCTTGCACCTCTGGTAGGGCCTGCTTGGATGCAGGCTTGACCTTCTTGCCTGTGCGGTGAGTGGGCTGGTCCTGCATATGGGGCTGGAGCTCTTTGTCATTTAAATGCAGCTTTGTGTGACTGTGACTGGAGACAATCCAATCTATCCTTGTGCTGATGCTGATGCACCCTCTTACACAAATCGGCCTTGCTCAGGCGCATCGGGTACTTCTGGGTGATGGGTCAGTGCAGAGAAAGGCAAAAGGGGGTGGAACACCCCAGTGATACCATCTGGCTGTTGTGGAGGCTGATGGGAAGAATTCAGTCCCTCCCCCACCCTTATTGGTGTGCTCCTGGGCTCATGGAATCCATACAGTTTGGGCAGCAGGTTTCACTGAAGCCACATGTCCCAAACTGAACAGAAACCCCAATTTGCTCACCTTTCAGGGACACTACGATGTATGCCGTTTCTGCAGATGCCCGAGGCCTTGATACAGTGGTCAGTTTGCTGGCGGACGTGGTGCTACAGCCCAGATTATCAGGTACATGGAAACTATGGATGCTGCACTCTTTGCAGGGGAGGAGGGAAGATGGCGACTTGAAAGGGAGCAACTTCTGAGCGCTCTCTACTTGATCTTGCCGATTGGCGTTTTGTTTGCTGCCAAGCGAAGTCTAGTCCTTCTCTTTACCTTTGTGAGAAAGTTCTGGTGACAAGTGACCACTCAGGTTCATCGGGAATGCCCGATCTGTTCTGATACCATCAAGACAACAAGATAAAGTAAACAAGAAATTGTTTTAAAGATGCTCCTCTTCCTCCTCCCTTCCCTCTTTCTTTCCTAAATATTTCTTCTTTTCTTTCTCCCCCTAAGCCAAGGGACTATAACTTGTAATCTTCAACCACAAACACCCTTTTGCTTACCCAAACAGAGCTTATGCACAAACAGCCAATTTTATTCAAATTCTAACAGGAATATAAAGTTATAAAGTGATCTGTTGATGGCACCAAGAGGCTAAATATGGCTGATGAGACGTTGATGCTCGTCTGCTGGACCGCTCTGTGTGAATCGGCACTGGCTGGAACAGGAGAACGATTAGCTGCCCTTCCTCCCTTCTCCACCGGGTTGAAATTCCCCTGAGAGGAAGGCAAAGCAGCAGGGTCAAGCCTGGTGCCTCTGGGGCTCCCGCCCAGCTTGGCTGCCGCCACCACCAACACGTGCTGCTTTCTGGCTGGTTGCCGGAGGAGCTCCTGGGCTGGGGGGCTTCAGCCTTTGGCCTCAGTGCTGCATTGCCACAAGCTGCCACGTGAGAATGAGGAGCAAGCAGAGAGGGGAGACAGAGGGATGGGAGACCTACAGGAGAAGGTGCCAGCTGGTGCCATGGCAGAAGTGCAGTGGAGCCGTCTCCAGTATCAGTTCGGAGCGCCGGGCAGCACTTTTCTTCCATGGCAGAGAGGCCTGGCTCCATTACTGCCTCAGCAGGAGCTTGGCCGGGCTGGCTGGCCTCAGTGGGTTGGTTCCAGGCTATTTTATTTTAGTTTAGTTTTTGATTTATGTCCTGCCTTTTTCCTACAAGGGGCTCAAGGCAGCTTACATCATTCTCCTCCTCCCATCTTATCCCCACAACAACCACCCTGTGAGGCAGGTTGGGCTGAGAGTCTATGACTGGCCCAGAGTCACCCAGTTGGCTCCATGGCTGTGGGGACTAGAACCCAGATCGCCTGAGTCCCAGTCCCATGCTCTTCACCACTGCACCACACTGGCTTTTTCTCTTTGGGGCAGAGGGGGAGATTGAGATGACCCGGATGGCCGTTCGCTTTGAGCTGGAGGATCTGAACATGAGGCCTGACCCAGAGCCTCTGCTGACAGAGATGATCCATGCGGTAGGTCCCACGGGGGTCCCGCTTCAGTCTGGCCTGGAGACAGGTGCTGGCTGTGTCACGGCAGCGATGAGCGTGTGGGGCTGAAAACCTGGCTGCCGTGCAGTTTAAAAGTGCCGCTGCCAAGCAACCAGAGACGGCTCCCAGCAGCTTCTTGGACTGCCATCGAGGGTGCCCCTTGCCCCCCCCCCCCCATCTGGCTGCTGGGCTCCCTTTGGCCACGCTCTCCCTCTAGGACTAGCAGGGGTGGGCACCCAGGGGCGGCGCTCAGGCCAGCCCCTGCAAACTGCTGGAGTTCTGGCAGGTTTTCCGATTGGGCTTGCACTCCTGAGAGATGTGAAGGGTTTGTGTGGATCCCCTCTGTTGTGCTCTCTGGAAGCAGCTATTTTCATGTGTCTTGTCTTCGACAGGCAGCTTACAGAGAAAACACGGTAGGACTGAACAGATTCTGTCCGCCCGAGAACATAGAGAAAATCGACAGGGACGTTCTCCAGTCATACATGAGGAATTACTACACGCCTGACAGGATGGTGCTCGCTGGAGTGGGGATTGAACACGAGCATCTGGTAGAGTGTGCCCAGAAGTACCTCCTTGGAGCTGAGCCAGTGTGGGGGAGACAGCGAGCCACGGGGGTGGACAGGTCGGTCTCCCAGTACACAGGAGGAATCCTCAAGGTAGGCAGCAGAGGACTGACCGTCTTGGCTCCGAGACTGCAGGCTGTGCGAATGTGTCTGGATAAATGGGTGTCTCTAGGGCTGCAGGGACAAAGGGGCCCTGTGGGGCTTTAGAAGGGGTGCTGTCCGCTCGGCTGCTGACCTTGATCAGCTCTCAGTTCACTTTCCAGCAGGGGTGGGGGCAAATTCTGGTGTATATCACCTTAAGACTCCTCTTGCCCAGTAGCAACCATTGATGGGAGGCATGTCAGCCTTTTAGAATGGAGGAAAAAACTGCACGGCGGCTGGGAAACCACCCAAGGACTGGCACTTGGGGAAGGAGAGCACGGCCTTTGGCCCATCCTGTGGAGACCCCCAGCTGGGCAAGAATTGGCTCGCAGCCCCGAGACTCTGCCCCACTGTCGTGCTTTGAAGGGCAGCCCGCACTCTCCGAGTCGTGCTTGGAAATGGGCCAGTAACAAGGAATTCCGCAGAGAAGGCCTGTTCTTGCTTTGCCACGCGTTCAGCTTCTTCCCCTCCGAGGCCAGACCTGCAATGAGCTTCTCTCTCCTTGCAGCTCGAGAAGGACATGTCTGATGTGAGCCTGGGGCCCACGCCCATCCCCGAACTGACCCACATCATGATTGGGCTGGAGAGCTGTTCCTTTCTGGTAAGCGTCAGTTGCAGCTCGTCTGGCGGTGGGCTGTGCCCTTTTATGGAAAACGGTGAGCAGCATCTTTTGCTCCTCTGGCCCAGGAGGAAGACTTTATCCCCTTTGCTGTCTTGAACATGATGATGGGAGGAGGCGGCTCTTTCTCAGCTGGTGGGCCTGGCAAAGGCATGTTTACTCGGCTGTATCTCAACGTCCTCAACCGGTGAGTCGGTGGAGCAGGAGCTGCTGCGCACCATTCACCCCAGGATTCAGACTTGCCCCCACAGAGGAGTTTTGTGATGTCTGAACTGGGTCAAGTGCAAACCTATCCAAGTGTTCTGGGTAGCAACTAACTTCGGAAACTCCAGAGGGGAAAATGGGTTTTTAGGGAGTATCTCTAGAGTGTTTTGAAGGTGCTTCGAATGTATATTCTGTCCATGGTTCTGTAAACTTGGCTTGTGTTACAATGGGCATTATTACAGGAATGTTGCAGATGGGAAGCTAAAGAAAGAGGAGTTTGCTTCACCCCGGGCCTCTGGCTGAGCATCCCGGAAGCAGCTACTGCTCTTTGTTCCATTACGGGTTCCTCCAAAGGATGTGATGCAGGTGGCTCTGGGCTGGGGGTCCGTGGGATGAACTGGGATTGCACGGCAGTCTCAGACTCTCTCTCGGGAGCTTTCTGGAAAGGCCCGGTCAGGCACAGGGCTGCTTGTGCACATCTGCCCTCCCCTTCCCATCGCGATACTCTTCTCTTTCCAGCCATCACTGGATGTATAATGCCACTTCATACCATCACAGCTACGAGGACACAGGCCTCCTGTGCATCCATGCCAGTGCAGATCCCCGACAGGTGGGTGGTTCTTCTGCGATGGTGTGGTTCCATCATTTTGGGCCCTGGACTTGGGCAGGTGCTCCCTTGAAATGTTCACGAAACACACACATTTCAGTCCTGAGGCAAACAATTAATATTCCCCTTTCACCCAGTTGCTGTTCAGTGCTTCACAAATGCACAAACGTGTTTGCCAACCCTGTTTTTTTAAAGTTACTTGGAGCATACACAGCTTTGTAGTTTAAGCATATTTAAATTATAGCACCATCTTGACTGTACAAGAATGCAATGCGTTGCCCTGAGGCCAGACACCGTTATTTGGAAAGAAACCCTGTTTGCCGCAGGGAAAGAGAAGAGCATTTAGAAGTTGCTTTTGGCCCTGGCCTCTTGGCAGAGCAGCAGATACACAGGCTGGGAGAGAGGGCTGAGTGGCCAGGGGACTGGCGAAGGGAAGGTAGGAGCTGGGCAGGGGAGCAGAGGGCCAGGAGCAGCGGAGAGGAAGGGGGCGGGGCCAGAGGGGCCAGGAGGAGGCCAACAGGTGAGGCCAGCGGCTTGAGGGACTGATAAGGCTGCACTCAGCCGTTGGTGTATCCCTTATCTGCGTCCCTTAGCTGTGGCCCTGGCTGTCCGAGAACTCCCTTCCCTGGGACGCCGAGGGGTTTTCTTTTTTCTTTTGCTTTGTTTTCCCTGTCTGTCTGTTTTTGTTTTTGTTTTTGGTTTTTTTTTTTTTTTGTGCTGTGCTGTGCTTTGTTTTTCCTCCAATTTAAATTTTATTTTATCCTTGTGTGTGTGGGTTTTTGTCTGGGAGAACTGGGCAAGTGAGGGGAACTGCAGGACAGACAAGGCGGGGGACCAAGGTAAGGTCTCAGAAGGGATTCCCAATGGCAGACCAGGAGATGGCCTTGGCGGGAGTCACGGATGTTGCTGTCCGCTGTGACAGCTGCGACATGATCGCCCTACTCCCCCAGGAGAGGCAGGGATACACTTGCCCTCAGTGCAAGCTGGTGACCCTGCTAGAGGAGGAGGTGAGGGGCCTGAGGGCCGAGAGAGCTCTCCAGGCCCCCCGGGAGCAGCCCCCCCTGGACAGAGGGTTGAGGGAGAGGCCACGGGAGGAGCAGCCGGGGAGACATGGAGGTGTGTCACCCACAGGAGGAGGAGGCCAGCACGGCCTCTTCCTTCTCCTGGCACCAATCTGGAGCTGGGAAACAGGTTCTCTCCGCTTGGGGAGGCTGGGGCTGATGAGGCCTCGGGGGACCAGCAGGACCCCCAGCCTGAGATGTCAGGCGGCAAGGGGGCCGCTGCAGGAGAGGCGAGGGCCAGGGCACAGCCGCCCACCAGCACCGGGAAGGTACGGTGGCGGGTGATTGTTGTTGGGGACTCCCTGCTGAGGGGCACTGAGCTGGTGGTGTGCTGCCCCGACCTGGAGACAAGGGAGGTTTGCTGCCTGCCGGATGCATGCATCTGGCATGTGATGGACAGAGTGGAGCGTCTTGTTCACTCCCGGGGTCGCCAGCCGTTCCTGGTGATCCATGTGGGCACAAACGACGTGGCCAGGCAGGGTGTGGTTGGGACCACCAGGGACTTTGAGGCCTTGAGGAAGAAACTCAGGGAGCTGAAGGCCCAAGTGGCCTTCTCATCCATCTTACCAGTCCGGGGATTTGGGCCAGGCAGGGACAGGAGGGCCTCCGAGGTGAACGACTGGCTCAGGGTGTGGTGCCAGAAGAAATGCTTCGGGTTCCTCGACCATGGCACCCGGCTTCTTGCCAATGGACTTCTGGCAAGGGACGGGTTACACCTCACGAGGATGGGGAAAAGGTCCTTTGGAGATGCTCTAGCGAGCTTTTTCCGGAGGACTTTAAACTGAGCCAGGAGGGGGTGGGTTCAGGCCCCCCCAGAAACATGTCTGCACTGGACAAGTGTGGGGAGAGGATCAGGGCTCTGGGAGCAGGATTTTAGAGGTACTGCAGGGACTGACAGGACTCCTTCAGAGAGGGGCCAGGTATTAGGGAGGATGGGAGGAAGGAGGAGGCTGGGAACTCCAAGGGAAGGAAGTGGTGGGAAGGAGCTGAGGTGCATGTACACCAATGCTAGGAGCATGGGTAACAAGCAGGAAGAGCTTGAAGCTCTCCTGGGAATAGGAGGGTATGGCCTGGTGGGCATCACGGAAACTTGGTGGGATGAAAGGCAAGACTGGAATGTGAACATAGAAGGGTATCACCTTTTTAGAAAGGACAGGAAGGGAAAGAGCGGTGGGGGCGTGGCTTTTTACGTCAGGGAAGGGACAGGATGCAGTGAGATAGGATGCAGCACAGATGGGGATTCGGCAGAGGCAGTCTGGGTGAAACTTAGGGGTTTTGACAGGGAAAGGGACCTGACAGTGGGGGTATGTTATCGCCCTCCAGGTCAACTTGAGACCCTGGATGATGTCCTGACAGGCCAGATTCTAAGGATATCTCGGGGGAGAGACACAGTAATTATGGGAGATTTCAGTCTCCTGGGTATTAGCTGGGAGACTCACTTGGCGGTGACAGCCAGGTCACGTCGCTTCCTAGAAGCTATTGAGGGAGGGTTTTTCACACAGAGGGTCCGAGAGGCGACGAGGGGGGGAAACATCCTTGACTTGGTCTTGACCAACAGGGAGGAGCTGATAGATGAAGTACAGATTAGGGGAGCTCTGGATGCGAGTGATCACTCCATCCTTTGCTTTGAGATCAGGGGACTGCGGACGTGCAGCAGGTCGAGCACTAGAAGCTGGGGCTTCAAGAGGGCCAACTTTGGCCACCTGAAGGCCAGACTGGGGAAAGTCCCCTGGGATGGGTTACTGGAAGGCAAGCGAGTTGAGGAGGGGTGGGTGGCACTCAAAAGGGAGGTTTTGGAGGCGCAAGCCTTGACAATTCCTCTAGTCAGTAAGGTGGGGAGGCGGAGGAGAGCGCCGACCTGGATGCGAAAGGAGGTGGTTAGAGGGATTAGACGAAAGAGGAACCTCCGTAGGAAATGGGTACTGGGGGAAATAGACAAAAGGGTATACCGGGAGGAGGAGGCCCGTTGCAGGAGGATTCTTCGCAAGGCTAAGGCTGATTACGAGCTGAGACTTGCCAAGAATATCAAGAGCAATAAAAAGGGCTTCTTTCAGCATGTAAATAGGAAGAGGAAGGGGAGACAAGTGGTGGGACCACTAAATAAGGAGGAAGGAGATCCAGTGACTGATATGAGGGAACAGGCACAGATGCTAAATGACTATTTGGCCTCTGTGTTCTCCCCAAAGCAGGAGGGGGGAGATCCGTATGGGAGATTAGATGAGGCCGGGGACTTAGGGGCACAGATTAGAGTCACCCCCCTTGAAGTCGAGGGGCTCCTCAGGGCACTGGACATTACAAAGGCTCCAGGCCCTGATGGGTTACACCCGAGAGTACTTGGCAGACTGGACGTCCGCATGGTGGGCATGTTGTGAGTGGAGCCGGCTGGAGCCGGGGGTCAGACTAGATGGCCCAGGAGGCCCCTTCTGACTCGTGCTGTTTCTATGTTTCTAAGTGCCATTGAGCCCCTGCAACTGTGTGGTCCCCCGCTGGCTGCCCATATTTACATTTTATGTGTACATGTACGCAGACACTCACGGCGTTGAGCTGTGTCCATCCTGTGGGCATGCCATGTCCACGCCAACCAAGCCATCAACAGCTGGACTGGCTTCCTGCCTCTCCACCATTCAGTGCTCTCTGGGACTCTTTCAGGGGCTCAGCCTTTGGCCCCGAGGTCTAAGCCCAGCTGCCGCATGCTTGAATTCCTTCCATGTCATGAACGGTGCCCTTTTTGCAATCTCCAAGTGGCTAAAGAAGCGGCTTGCTGTTGCCCGAGACTTCTGGCCAGCAGCAAGCTCTCCGGGCAGGTGTGTGGCTGGCCGCCGGCTCCCTCGCTTACCCGCGTGGCAAGGCTGGCGGCCCTTCCGTGCCCTCCCCTCGCCCAGGCTGGCCCGTTCCTCGCGAGGGCTGCCTGCTCCCTGCCACCCCTGCCAGAGAGGAGCTGCAGTTCCTCGGACTGCCTGGAGGTCCCTCGCCAGCCCTGCTTCTGCGCCCTCACCTGCTCTTCCTGCATCTTTACTGCAGGTTCGAGAAATGGTGGAAATACTCACTCGGGAGTTCGTCTTAATGGCAGGAGCAGTGGGAGAGGTAAGTGCCCCCTGTTCCTCCAGGAGGGGTTCCCCCATGTTCTTTAAGGGAAGAGCAGGGAGTCCCTCTGCATACAGATTGGGAACAGCTTGGGTTGCTCGGTCTGGGATCGTTTGACTTTACTGGCGACCTTCTGCACAGGCTTGGGCAGATCAGTCCCTGGCTGCTGATCAGTGCCTTGTCTTGCACCACAGCGGTTTATGCCTCTGACTGATTTATTGTCTTTCTGTCTGGCCTTTCTGAAACCAACCAAAGCTGTTTACAACCCCCAGTAAGGGAATCGGGCTCCAGACCCCCACCCGAGTGTTGCCCCCCCCGCAGATTAAAGGCTTAAGGCATGGGTCCTCAAACTACAGCCCGGGCACCAGATCTGGCCCCCCTCAGAGGTTTCCAACGTGCCGCCCCCACCTCACCCCCCACACGGGGAGGCAGCGGCTTGCTCACACGGTCGTTTTGGACTCACTCAGAGAAAACAGTCTCCAAGTGAGCGAGCCACTGCCCCACGGCGCATGCCCGCCCCACCTTGCCTCCCCTCATGCACCCTGCCCCCGTGCCGGCCCGCACCCAGCACCGGCACCTTTCAGCTGGCCCCTGGTGGAAAAGTTTGAGGACCCCCGGCTTAAGGACTTACCAATCACAGCTGCTCCTTCTGAGGCTGAAGGGAACGCTTCTCCCGCTGCAGGTGGAACTGGAGCGAGCCAAGACCCAGCTGCAGTCCATGCTGATGATGAACCTCGAGGCTCGGCCGGTTATTTTCGAGGATGTTGGGAGGCAGGTGCTGGCCACGGGCATGAGGAAGCTGCCCCACGAGCTCTGTGCCCTTATCGGTAAGCAGGCCCCGGGGCTCCCCCTTGTGACGGAACGGGTGCTTCCAGAACAAACCGTCCCTTTGCCTGGCCATGAAGGTGAAGACGGTGCCTCTCCTGAGGGGCAGACCCCCCCCCCCCGCAAAGGCTCGGCTCCTTGCGGCTTCCAGACCAGCCCCCTGGTCCAGGGTGCGGACCCACGCAGAGGGCCCAGTCTGGGCTGGCGCGGTTCTCCAAGTGGGACCCTCTTTCCCCCACACCCACCAACCCTTTCAGGGTTTCCTGGCTTTTATGCAGTTCTCCCCCCGTTCTAGGAGGTTGGAACGCCTCTCCTAGCGCTTGCTCACCGGCGGCAAGAGCCTTAAACCAAACGGCGCTGGTGTTTCCCATCCCTTCCATTGCTGGGAGGCATCCCTGGAGAGCTTGAGCGAAATGGAATTTGGCCCTTGCATGGAAAGTGCTTCTGCAGCTGGCCCCAGTTCTTCTGCTTAGTTTCCCAGTCTGACCCTTGGCCCGACTTCCTCTGCTTCCCATGTGCCGTTCGCGGGCCTTTCTTGCCTCCTTCCCCCACACGGCTGTGCTGATTCCTTCGGGCTCGGAGCCTTGCCTTCTGCCAGCCACACAGCTTCTTCTGGTCTTTCCTTCTGACTCACTCCTTCTGCAAAAGACCATTTGCATCAGGGCTTGTGTGTGCTCTGCCCCAATTTCTACATTGCTTGTAATTGGGGGGAAAATGAAACAATTTCTCTGGATTTGCACATTGCACGAAGTGCAAGGACCAGGTAGTTGAAATACTCGTTGTGGGTGGGAGCCAGATTCTGATGGGCCAACTGTGCTGATGGAGGGCGGCCTTCCCGGCACCCCTGAAAGTGCTACACAGAGTCAAGAGACACTACTAAAAGGGGCAGGGGGGGGGGGGGGGGGGGGGGGGGGGCTGCTTTCCCAAAATCTGGGTCAAGAGATAGCACGTGAACGGAGCCCTTCCTCTTGTGGAAAGCAGATCCCAGATTCGGCCCAGCATGTGCCTGGTGCAGCACTGCCCGACAGCTCTGGTTCTCTCCTTCCCTGCAGGCAAAGTGAGCGCAAACGACATCAAGAGGGTGGTGATCAAGATGCTGCGAAACAAGCCAGCGGTGGCTGCACTGGGGGACTTGTCAGAGCTGCCCAGCTACGAACACATCCAGGCAGCGCTGGCCAGCAAGGACGGGCGGCTCCCCAGGGTCTATCGGCTGTTCCGTTAGTGCTGCGGCTGCAACAGCCTCATGCTCGGGTCTCTCCTGGGACTGGGGTTTCCCTGCGGGCAAGATGGTCAGCCTGGCTCAGTGCCAGCCTCCTCTGGGCCACGTGGAGCAGTTCAGGCATGGCTGCTCAAGCCCCTTTGGCCCTGGCAGTAGACTTTTCTGCCGAAAGAGGCTGCCTCGGCACCATCTGCAAAAACACTCACTGATGAGAAGAGGGGCTGCCTCAGCTGGTGGGAAACAGCCTGTTGTTTTGGGATCTCAAGGTTTCTAGCCACATTGATTTGTCTTAAAAATCAGGTGACTGGCAAGCGAGAGCCAGAGCAATGTTGCTGTCCAGGGCAGAGAAAACAAATTAACGTGTTCAAGGTCAGGTGACCTGGCATGTCTTGATTTTCACACAGCTGGAACGATTTCCAAACCTTGTATTAAAAATGTGTCTAGTAAAATGTTCCTTGCTCACAATGGTTGCAAAGCAGGCATTTCTTGACCTAGGATGTTCAAGGGGGCTGCAGCAGCCTCGCAGAGGCATTTCAACCTCATAGAAAGCGGGGGGGGGGGGGGGCGCAGAGTGGGGTAGAAATGGACTGAAGCTAGGGAAATACCAGACCATCAGTGGCCACAGGAGAGGGTATGGCCATCTTGGAAAAGAAAGGATCAGTGGGAAGCTAATCCTGTCTGGATGGAACATCCTTCATTGATGGCAGAAGGAAGAGAGGAGTCGTGAGCCATGAAAAGTGCAAGGAATATGTGGCACACTCAAAACAGCTTGAAGATCTGCCTTCCCTTTTATCCTTTCAAGGAATGCTGGACACAAAGCAGCCCAGCGCAGAACAAGTGGAGAAGGGCAAAGTCAAATTCAGTACATTGCCATGTTGTCCTGCTTAACACAAGATTTTGCCATTTCTGTGTACCAGTTTTGACAGCCACCGGGAAAGAAAGCAGTGGCTCTCCGTCAGATTAAACCAGATCACATTCTGTCTCTCACACCAACAACTAGGTGGGGCTTTAAAGAACATGTAACTAAGGAAAGAAGCCATCCCCAAAAGAAGGGGGCTTGCTTTGGTCTGGAAACAAGGGAAGGCGCATGAAGCCCCTTCCAAGATTCCTGAGCAAGTCCTTGGGGCAGAACACCACCAGCCTTTCAGCCCCTTTACTGGTGCTGCCACCACTCCAGAGCTGTGTTAGTCCCAGAATGGATGGTTCTTGAATTCAGGTGCTACAGCAGTTCCTCCCCATTCAGCTTTCCAGCTGCAGATGCAAAAAGGAACACAGCAAGAATAAATGCAGAGGCATCTTCCAAGAACACACAGAACGTGCATGGCTTTAACTCCAGAAGATGCCAAAGCCAGGGGGGCGAGGGCAGCAGGGAAAGGTCCAGGACAACTCTTTCCAGACAAACGTTTCACAGAGCAGCAGGACGGGGCTGCCATAGCGTTTCAGTCCAGGAAAGACCCTTGACGTTGTCGCCTCTCGGCAGAGCAGTCCTTTGAACAGCCAGCCTCGGCATCCCCTTGTTTTTGCCGTCACGCTGGAGCAATTTCCTCTGAGAGCTAGGCCGTGACCGTGGAGTGGCATATCCCGTGTCTGCCTCAGATATCTTTTTGGTGACTTTTTAAGGTCAGGAGATGGAACAGACGGTGCTAGATTTCTGGTCCTTTAGAGCCTGCTTTTGCTGAAGCTCCCTGGTGATCCGCCTTTTAATGCCCATCAAATAGAGTTCTCGGTCAAACTGGCCAGCAGCCAGAGGGATGCTGCAAAAAAACAGAACAGCTAAACTGAAGAAAGGCCATTTTGATACGCTGTAAAGCAGGAATGCAGAAGCTCTTCCTAGGGGCCAAACCCAGCCCACCCGGGTCCCCTGGTCCCCTCCGCGGCCCTGGATGGCGACATCCTTCCCTCCGGCATCCATCGTTCCATTTGCCTGATGAGTGCAGCTTCCCCTCTCTTCTGCAAGGCTGAAATGCCTCTCTTCCTAAGGCTCAGTTGCTGGCAGGAAGGGTTTCAACTAAGGACTGGTTAGTATTCCTGGTTTCGTCCCGTCCCTTTGCCTCTGTCCCCTGCACCAGCGCCCCTGGGCTGGAGGCTCTCAGAAATGGAATGCGGCCCTCGGGCTGCAAAGAGGTTCCACACCCTGGCCCAGCGTTGGGTTCCCCTGGATGCTTGTGCGCAGCCCATTTCCATGGCCCTCTCCTGTGGGGTGTGGGCCACCTTCACAATCCACAATCCCATGAAGGGAGTGAGCAGTGTGGGCCACCTTGGCTCACGAGGAAGATGTGGCTACACAGCCCGTGCTCCAGGCCTGTTGGCACAGCAGTCCAGGTAACCGTCAACAACAGGGAGGATAAATGAACGGGTGAAACTCTTCTAACGTTGCTTTATCTATACAGGCTGCAAACAATCACTAGACAACAGAAGAAAGTCAAGTTGAACAATCCTGTCATTCAATACTAGAACTAACCACACACGCTGCAGCCCAGTTTTCTCACACCCATTGACAATACAGAAGACTGCGGTCCCTCCATTTACACTTAAAACCACAACGTATTATTAAAAAATACTGTTTCCTACACACAGGGAGATGCTGTCTGCGTTTGCCTGTGCAGATAAAGCAGCATTTGCCTCTCTGGGGCCCATGGGCTGCTCAGCACCCCACATACCCCTCCTGAATCCTTAGCCTTCCTCACGTCAGGACCTTTGCAGCTTCCAGCATTCGCTAAGCCAGCAGGCACTGGAGTAACGGGAGCTGAGGTTCAGCACGGCTTCAGGGGGCCATGGTGGGGCCAGGCTGTCAATTATCTGGTGGGCTCAAGGTGCCTTCCGAAGACCCCACACAAGCAGCCTCTGTCCCTCCATAAGGAACACTAACTTGTCTCTTCCGGGTCTCACTTTGACACGAAATAGCCCATACACAGGACGGTGGTCTGATGTTCTGATCCCCGGGCAGGAGGAATACTTCACAACATGGATTTCATCCTTGTGGCGGCTGCGGTAGATCACTCGATCCTGAGGAGACCAAAGGGTGTGAGGTGAGTAAATGACCCTGAGAGAGGCTGTGGGGCAGGGGGGGCCTCGCTCAGGAGGAGGAGCACCTCTTGCACTGAGAGGCTCCTTGGGACAGGCGGGCTTCCCGGCTCTTGCATTCCCTCTTCTCCCCATGTCTGTCCAGCCTCTACGGAAACAGCAGGCCTGAGGAGCAGTTTTCGGGGACTTTTTCCTTGCTCCCCAACTGAACTGGAATGGTTGCAGCTTCAGAACCCCTCTAGCACCCACTCAAAGATTATGTTGTGCTCCGAGCAAGCAAAGAAAGTGCCCAGACAGCAGCCACACTGCCTGCGTTGACCTGATTCACACAGGCCCTTAATCCAGGGCTTGCTGCCACACCTTAAGGGTGCCTGGCTGACCATCAGAAAAACCCGTGCTTTATTTTCTCTGCCCCTGGGTGGTCGTTTCTCTCCCCTTTCACCTGCCCCTTCTTTGTATACAAGCTGCCTCTGCAACACTGCGGCGGCAGCATATAAACAGGCTGGCCTCCCGCCTCGGTAGCCGGGCAAAGTGACATGCACGATCCATGACAATCTGCGCTTGCGTGTAGTGACAGCCCATGCTTTAACACACAGTTCACAACCCAACCGCAAACCATGGGTTCTCTCTGTGAGCTGTTCATAGTTAGCAAACCATAGTTAACCCTTTCACATGATGATTACTCACAATGAATCCAGACCATGGTTTATCATTACGTGTGATCAGCCAGTCTGAAAGGGCAGATTCAAACTGACCCAAAGAGTGTTCTGTATCCTCAAATCATTGCCAGCCCCCAACTGCTGCTTAAGACGGAAATCTTGAAATTGCTGCTAGTTAAACCCTGCCCACACTGGGTCTAATTTTGGGAGCTACTCTTTAGATTTTAAGATGGTTTGAAAGGAAGCAGCAGTTCCAGTAAGGTTCACACCTCAGTATCCAGGTTCTCCCTGCTCTCTCTTTTGCTTCTGCCCTATCCTCTGGTCAGGGTCGATTCTACTATAAAGGACCTTTTACTGAGCGAGTTCTGCAGCGATAGAAGGCTCCAAGAGTCCACTTCTGAGTGGGGAAGCTCAGATGTCTCTGGAGGTCCTGCCACCTCAAAGCAAAAGGGACGAGTGGCGCATCTAGAAGCAGCCTCCCTGCAGTGAGCCTAAAGTGCTTTATGGGCAGTCGGGAAAGGTTTCTCCTTTCAGGGCAGGGCGAGTGGTTCTCGGTCTCAGCCCTTACCGTATACGAAGGTGTCCTCTGCTTGGAGGTAGAGTCGTAGGTGTCCTGCCCAACATCAAACTTGTAGGAAGGGCGGAAGAGGATGGGGGCCTCCTGGAACCCCTTAAAAATAGAACCTGTGGAAGACAGAACACCATACTGGCCCACCACCACGTCCTGCCCTGTGGGGAATGTTCTCTTAGTGGAACGCTTAACGTAAGAACTTAAGCGGAGCCCTGCTGCACCCAAACGACGGCCAGCGCTGGCGAAGGGGGTATCCGCGGCAGAAGTCCTGCCCAGCCCTGCCCAGCCCGGCTCGATAACCTCGTGCGGGCCGCGACAGTCCGAAGGGATGCGGCAGCGCAGGCGGCCACACGCACCGGCCCAGCAGCGCTGCGTGGGGGTGAGGTGCAGGGCTCCATCAGGGATCTCCGGGGCTGCTGGGCTGGGCTGGGGGAGCAGCGACGCAGGTGCCCACACCGGACGCCCCACCCGATGCTCTTGCATGGGCCATGGCGGAGCGGTGCAGCCGCCCGGGGTCCAGGATGGGAAATGCAGGCGGGGGGCCAGCCTTACCGCTGACCATCTCCTTAAGAAGCTGGTCGTGCTGCAGCAACTTGGACACATCCGTTTCCTGGCCTCGGCTGAGGATCTGCTCCACCACCTCCCGGTTCTCATCCAGGCGGAAGTTGAAGTCCCCAAACCAGAAAACGTTGTCAAAGCGGGTCGTGACATCCGCTGCAAAGGAACACGAGGGGGCAGCGCAGGCCCTGGTTGCAGAGGCGGCGGCACTCGTGGCCCGAGGGCCTGAGCTGCTCGCAGCCCAAGGTCTCCCAGCCACCCGGCACTCCCTGGCTCTGCTGGGGCAACAGGTCCCCGTGCGTCGGACAGCAGGCTGAGCCGCTGAGAACGCAAGCCCCAAGCCACAGGAGAGCCAAGTCGGGGGAGCTCCTGCCCATGCCCAGAATACGGTAGCGATGCAGGATGGGTGCCTGTGGAAGGCAGGCCCAGGATCCTCTGGAGTGCTCCAGAGCAGCCACCCAGCCTAAAGGTACCCGTGGCTTCAAAGCGGCACACTTGGCTTCGCACTGTTCTGAACACGTGGAAGGAGGGACAGAATACAAATGCGATGTACAGATACATTTTAAAAATGTGTGTACCTCCTGGTGGGCAGATATGAAGGGGCTGTTTACGACCATTCCACACCAATTCTATAATTTACTTAGACAGAAGCATCCTGCCCAGAATCAGCACCGGTGCTGAGTGCAGGCCTGGTCGGGCTAAGACCAGCGGCCACAGCCCAGCCTCTTCTCCTCTGCAACCTGCGTCACCCTCCACCTCTCGCTCTGAGCCAGACAAAGGTGATGCTCAGGAGGGGGCCAGAAGCTGCCACGGCCCCCTCACTCCTGGGCAACCTGGGAGCCAAGCAAGCTGGTGGTGCTGATGAGGAGGAAGAGGAGGAGGAAGAAAGGCAGAGGGCAGCTGGATCAGTGAAAGGCCCACTCAAGGTGAGGGGGCCGTGGAGGGCTGTCCAGAGGCTTGTAGCCCAGCCCGGGGGTCATACTGACCCAGGAGGGCCAGTGACGCTGGCCATCAAGCCACGCGGGGACCCGTCTGGGCTGCCAAGTTACTCACAGGCGCTGGAGCGGTAGGGGTTCGTGTCCGGAATGTTTCTGGGCAGCGCAAGCGCCTGGATGGTTTTGTGATAGTCGAGCACCCTCTCGGGCACCTTGCCATCTCCAGCTGAAAGAGAAGCCGTCTGCTCAGGGCTGCTCCTCGTGGGAAGGGGAGCCGGGGGGAAGAGCCTCCGACAGCTTCCCTCAGGAACGGAGACGGGCATCCGGGGAGGCTGTGAGAGGCGGTCCACACCCCCAGAGGCACCGGGCCGGGGAAGGCCGAGAGAGAGAGATGCTGTCCGCAAGCCCCCAGAGCAACCCCTCAGACATAGCGGGCAGAAGTGGGGACAGGCCGTGGGGCAAACCACAGCCAGCAGTGCCAAGGGAGCCCAACTCAGCAGCCAGGATCCTGCCAAGCAAGCTTGGCAGCGCCCCTTCTGGTGCCGAGGCCGGCCTCGGTCTGCCCCACCCAGAGAGCACTGCCAGCCCAATGGGCAACGAGGGCTCCCCCGCGTTTCAGGTGGGTTCCTCCCCAGCCCGACTGGGAAGTGCTGCCAGAGATCAAAGCAGGGACCTCCTCCATGCAAGACAGGCGCTCGACCGTTTTCGAACACGTTTCTCGGGGGATCAGGCGCAGCCGGGGCCGCGGGAGAGGGGCGAGGGATTGCAGCTTCCAAGCGAGGCGCTGCTCCTCTCCCCGCTGCCGGCTCAAGCACTCTCTTCCCCAGACTTCTGGACTTCCGCAGAAGCTGATTCAGGAAGTTGGGGCAAAGCCAACATGCACCACCCGGGCACACATTCGCCTCTGCAGCACACGTGCCGTGGGAACCCAGAGAGCTACTCACAGGTGAAATGGGATGTGATGAAGAGGAAGGATGTGCCAAAAAAGGTGAAGCAGATGCCAAGGGCGCCCTTGGTTTTAATCTGAGACACGATGCGTGTTGTCACAGTGGCGCATTCCACCTCTGCAGGGAGAAACGAGAGCCGTCACACAACACTCAGAGAGGGCTGTCCAAGATGGCACTGGACCCAGCTGTGGGCCAATCACTGGAAATGCACCTGGCAGGCATGCCATGGGTGGAGCCGGCTGGAGTCGGGGTCAGACTAGATGGCCCGGGAGACCCCTTCTGACTCGCTCTGTTGTTATGTTCCTTTGTTGCCTCTCTCCCTCAAATTTGATGGTGGGCTCAGGGAACGCATGGTCCTCAAGATGGTGCCAGAATGGACCTCGCTCGCTAGTGCCTACGCTGGCTACAGCTGATGGGACTTGAGGTCCAACATCTAGAAGGCCACCTGCTCCCCACACCTGCTCTGTGGTGAACATGGAGCGCACGTGCACCACCGCGTGTAAACATCAGAGGGTGGTGTGTCTCGCCAAGGGAAGTGGAAACTCTTCCTTACTACATGCCAGGCTCTCCCACGTCTACAAAATACCCTGTCTGGGGTCATCAGGATCCCCCAGAGCACAACGGCACTGATGAGTGGCAACATGCGAACGCACGGCAACTGAATTCACAGCTGAATAAAAACACGCACCTGAGCAGAACCAGATGAGGTCCCTCCGCAGGAAGACGGACAGGTAAAGCACCCCGTGGGCTGCCGCGTGCAGCATGACATAGTGGGGGCCCAGCGTCTCCTGCAGGCGGATCTCCCATTCTCGCCTGTGGAAGCGAAGCCAGGGAAAGCCGTCTGTGGCCCGGGCTGCCTCACATTCTGCTGGAGCAGCTGAAACGTGGCAGGGGCGGGTGACGCGTCCGGCTGGGCCCCCCCGAGATTGCTCCAGAGGCTGGGAACTCGGCGTACGTTGCTGGCCTGGGCAGCGAATGCTTTGCTCTGGTTTGCAGCCTTGGCTCTCCTGGCAGTGCTGCGTCCACAACTGCTCGCTGGGGGCTGAGGGCCTCCAGGCAGGACAGCCTTCAGCCACTGACTCAGAATGCAGAGCAGCTCTTGGTGGCTGCTTTCCAGTGGCGAGTGGGTTGAAGGCCGAAGGGTCAAGGGACCGTGGAATGCGCTCCCCAGAGAGGTTTGCCTGGCGCTGACTTTATATGCTTTTCAGCACCAGGTAAAAACCTTTTATTTGCCCAGTATTTTCAATTTTTATTTATTTATTTTTCCGATTTATATCCTGCCTTTTTCCTACAAAGGGCTCAAGGCGCTTACATCTCCTCCTCCATCTTATCCCCACAACAACCACCCTGTGAGGTAGGTTGGGCTGAGAGTCTGTGGCTGGCCCAAAGTCACCCAGTTGGCTCCATGGCTGAGCAGGGACTCGAACCCGGATCGCCTGAGTCCCGGTCCCATGCTCTGAACCACTACGCCACACAAAACATTTTAATCTGGTTTTATTAATAATATGCTCAGTCGTATTTTATCTTGTTATTATAATTGTGGACTGCTGTATTTATTGTTTATATTATATTGTAAGCTGTCCTGAGACAACTGCTTTTATAGGACGGGATGAAAATACCCGAAATAAATAAATGAAAGAGCAAACGGTGGCAGTTTGCCCACACTGCAAGTGGCTGCTGCCAGTAAATGCACCTCGGAGCCCTTTGGGAGGAAGGCTGGGAAAGCCCGCAATGGCCAGTGGCTGGAGCCCCAGACCAGCACCTGCCCCGGGTTGACACCTGCAACCGACGGCGCGCAGACGAGGGGAACACCAGGCCCCGGGCATGGCCGCAGGAGGGGGCTCCTCAGAAGCCAGCAGGGCCCCGTTTCCGCAGGAAAAGGAAAGGTGCCCCGAGCCAAGGCGGGCCGTGCTGCTTGTGCTGGTCACAGCCCACGGGGACCCAGCTCTCCTCCAGGCAGCGGGCAGGGAAGAGCAGGCAGGGCGGGGGTCGTGCCCCAAGCGGGCAAAGCAGCCCGAGGCCGGGAAGTTGCTTCGCTCTTGCTCCCATACCTATCTGGGCAGCCTTCCTGAATTCCTATCACATACATGTCCTGGGCATAATCGGGATCAGAAGGCAGCAGGAAGTCATCCAACATCCCTGGGAGTTCCTGCAAGAAATGGACGCACTTTAGCTGGGTGCTGAGCAGGGAAGGGGCCTGAACATGTGGCCAAAGTGCAGCTGAGCACCTGAAAACTGAGGAACCTGGGCTCACAGGGTGCCTCCCCAAGCCGCCATCGAGCATTTCCGCTACAAGTGTGTGCAGGGCCAGCTCCTCTGCCCCTTGTGGGCAAAGCTAAGCTGCCCATGGGTCACGCCATCTTGTCTTTTCCCGATCTGTGTGTGTGCGTGTGCGCGCGCAGTGGGAGAGGATAGCCCTGAACAATTATTTTCTCTCCTTCTCAGTGCCCAGGCCAAAGGCTGATGATCGGCTAAAAGCCTCTGGAATGCTTTCCCTCTCTCACCTTTTGCCCCTGCATGTTCCAGGTGGCTACAAAGATGCCGACACACCGATCAGGAAAATAGCGGTTTAGCTCTTCAGCTCCCAGCAGGGCACCATTTGCGAGAAGGCTTCCTTCCAAGTAACTTCTGTGGAAAAAGACAATTTATATAACTTGAAACCAATATTGGCTTGCTTGGAAGTACGCCCTTTCTGCCCTTCCACACTGAATGTTTGAAGCAGCCTGTAATAATTCAGTATAATAAAGCAATTCTGCAGAATAAAACAATTCTGATAAAACAATGATCTGAATGTGAGAGACACAAAAGGAAGAGATGAAATGTTAAAAATAAACCAAGATGTCTAGGTAATTAAAATCAGAAGTGTGATGGGCCAAAGGTACTCTTGAGGGAATGTGGCAGATAGTTCTAGAGTCTAGAGTTTAATCCCAACTCCCAGCCAAGCACAACTCAGATGTGGCGGGACACAGACAAAAGGGTGTGGTAACTCTGTGGTCCGGACCAAGGCAACTGGCCAGCCAGTTCTGCCCCGCAAGCTGTGGGTTCTCACCCTTTGGGCAACTGGTTAAGGAAGAAACTGAACGAGAAAAGACTTACTTCCTGTCTTCAAGAATTTGACTTGGGTGAAGGGATTAAGACACTCCTGGCATAAACTGCTCAGTTTCATGGAAAAAAATATTACCTGCACAGAGTGAACTGAGGAACTTTTATTATAACAATCCATTTATGCAGACCATTCATACTTAATATCAAAACAGAAAGGGAAGAGACTTACAACCAGCAAGCCGTCAGAGGCGCTGTTCCTGCCTTCTCCAGAAAAGATGAAGGTTTTTGAGAACGATGAGGGAGAAGGCAGGAAATGCGCCCATCAGGCACAGGGCTGTTGTATACCCATAAGCCCAGTGACCACCCTTTACCTAATACCATACCTGGTGTTCATTGTACTGTGAGCTTACTGACTCCTTATCATAAGTTTGTCTACCCTTGTCTAAGCCCTAATGCTAAATCTCTGCCTCTCTTCTGAAAATGTCATTACTGACATTGGGATTAAGTCCAGTTAGGCGAATTTGGAAAAGTCTAACTTCTTCGTAAACCTTCCATGTCGACAAAAGGGGCATCCAAGTCAAAAGGTGACTTTGCCATCCAAATATGCACATCTCCAAATGAGTTCTGTCTCAAACTGGACTCCTAGAATGAACCTTTCTTCAGGCCGACTCATCTCAGGTTCCCTTAAGGTACAATCCTACACACGTGTAGACAGATGAAAGTCCCAGCTTAACCCAGCCAGAAGATAAAAGGGGGTGAGGCTGGAAAAAGAAGCAATTCAGTTCTTCTGCTCCTCAAGGAAACCAGGCTATAAATGTAACAACAAACCAAACCATTCAACAGACCATCTTCAGTGGCGAGCAGGTCTGCGCAAGAGGCGGCTATCCTTTCACTGTCCCACTTCCAGGCCACACTGAGCCTTAAAGGTCACAGCCGTCACTTTGAATCAGGCTCCGAAACAGATCTAAGAAATCTCTTTGTATCTTGTCCTTCTGCCAGAAGGTGCTGCTCAAGGCAGCTAACAACAACTTCAGGGCACAAAACCAGAATTTCCACTAAAACATAACATAAAACCCAAACACAATTAAAAACACAAGAATTAAGCAGCATCCGATGAGTTCCACCCGCATGAAGCCACAGCAATCCTGCAGTTACCCGTCTCCTGCATCTTGGGCCATGCCGAACGCACTGAGTCCGCCCAGTTGTTGAACAAGGCACGCACCAGTGTGGCCAGATAGGCACATTCTCGGAGCTGGCACACTGGCCCAAGCCGGTCAAAGGCTCTCTGGTTACAATGGTCACCTGGACAACTGCAACCCGAGGGACAATATAACTGCCCTGTCCTTCCTCATTCCCTGCTTGCCCAGCCCCACGAGAAGAAAGCCAAGCAAAACACAATCCCTGAAGCACAACAGTAGAAGCTAAATGCCTGGAATGTTCCGGAAACTATGCCTTTTGTTTCACGCCAGCTGTGCAAGGCCTCAGGCCCAGTGGAACACATCCAGCCCCCTGGGGTTTGCTAATGGGCACACCCGCTCACCACCAATTCTTCAGTGGTTTCCGAGTTTCAGCATAGTTCTCCACTCTCGAAGGCTAAAATGCTTCTCTGAAGGCTGAGTTCCTGGCAGTAGGTGCTTTAAGCTACAAGGGGCAGGTCTTTCTTGACCACATGTGTCCACCAGAACATCCACCACCAGAACATGCCCCCTTGAGAGCTTCCCGGAGGTGGAAGCTCTTCAGCCTTCCGGTTAAAATGCTGCTCAGCAGTCTTGACTCATTGCAGCCCCAGCTTCTGGTGGCCATCATCATAATAATACCTCACTGCAGGCTATCCCAGAATACTCCCTAGCTTAGCCTACTATCAGGAGTGGTGGCACAGACAGTCCTCCTCTCTGTCTAACAACAGCTGATGGAGAAATCCTTCCATTTCTTGGAAGCCCCTTGGTAGCGAAACTATTTCTGAGCACAGAAGCTGCATCTGGCCATTCCGCTAGCAACTGTTCCCAGACCAAATCTATTTTGAGAAGCATTTTGGGTTAAACCCCAAAGTTTTAGACTTGTTCCATTTGTAGTACGGAGAGACTAATGTTCACTTAATTTACAGGACTGTCGTAATGAAATACAGCTAATGTATGAGAAATGCATTGAACACTCTCAGCCCAAGGGATCTCCGTGGAGTCAGACAGGCAGGGCACTTCGCCATGAATTGCTATGTGATAATTTTAGTTGAAAATGCCCAGGGCCTGGACTCAGGGCAGGAGGTCTAAGGCTCAGCGATGTCGCCTTCCTCTCACTGCCCGGTCAGTAAGCAGTAGACTTGGAAAGGAAAGGACAAATGGTTTTTGTTTATACTGCACCATCAGGATAAAGGGCACTTCCAGAGTAACATAAGGAAAAAGTCACCTGCCCACCCCTGCAAAAGCTTAAAATCTAACCATCTAAACCAATTACTGCAATTTCACATAGCTGAGTATAATAAAATCTCTAAGCAGTCCAAACTAAAATGCACATATAATATGAGTGGTCTTCAAAAAGTTTCCACACTTTTATATTTTAAATTTTATAAGTATGTATATATTGCTGATGGCATTAAAAAGTTGGTACGACACTGGGAAAAATGTATCACAAAGGAAGATGACTAGAAAAGTGATGTAATTTGTTTTTTTGAAATTTTTAAGAGTTTTTAAAAGTGAGGAATCTTCTTGAAGAACCCTCATACGATATAAAAACAGTATAACACAAAATAAAAATACAACATAATCAAACATAAGGAAATTACAGCAAAGAGTGTCCTAGTTCCTTGCAGGTCTGAGAATGCCATAAAAAACCCCAAACAGGTTTTCAAGAGATGCCTGAAGCGTGACACACTGTCTGCCTCTCAACCCACCTGTGTCAGAGTGTGGCGCTTCTGCCAAGAGGCTCCCTTAGGTGTTATGACCTGGCAACATCCTATTGGTCACTGAACAAACAAATAAGCCCTCCCATTTAGGGCTATGTGGGTCAAATCAAAACCATGAAGGTGGTTCAGTACTTAGGAGCCATCCTTTTTGAACAGGTGTAGTCAATCTCCCAGCAGAAGAGCGGCCTCAGGAAAGCTCTCTGAACGGGAAACCAGGTTCCAGCTAGCTCCCGCTCCTAAGGCTTTTATGGAAAATCCTCAGGGATACTCCATTCTCAGAGAAGATTTTCTATATGGGCTGCTGGATAAGGAGGACTCCACAAGGATTCCTGTGAAAGGTGCTGCCTTGCAAATCAGGACTGCTAGCGCCCTGTGGTCTGCAAATACGAAGGGTGGGCCCACAACCCCAAGGAACGCACCTGTTCCGCACATCTCTCACACGGATGGGAGTGAGAAGACTGAACGTGGACTTCATGGAGGTTGTGGATCCGTTGCCGTAAACCATGCCTTGGCTGTGGACCTGCGTGTCGCTACAGCTGGTGCCTGCCCTTGGAAAGAAGTTCTGGGAAGAAAGCTGGTAATCCACACAATCCTGGTCAATCCGATTAGTTGTCCTCAGAGAAGGGAAGGAGCCATCAAGTTCCAGAGGTGGCAAAGGCTGGGTAACCGCAACCTTGCACAAAGTCCTTTGCACATCTGCGAGGCCTGGCGTGCTCTGCCTGGCACGGGGGGACTTGGAGGCGCCGTGCAAGCTGCAGAGAGAGCCTTGGCTGTAGCAGGGGTCAGAACTAGAGGCACTCCTCTGCTGGAGAGCACTCCCTCCTTGGAGGAGTCCGTTGGAAGCACCCCTCTCAGCAGGATCCGCCAGGCTCTCCTGACTCATTCTGAAGAGCCTCCGGCGCCACCAGATTAGCTCATCGAGAGAGGAGGTCCTTTCCAGCCTGGGTTTGTGAGGAGGCTTTGGGATAAATGATTGGAACTTGGCATAGGTTTGGAATCCTTCAGACTGGAATCTTAAATGATCATCCAAAAGGAACGATTTGATTGCTTGCTGATCCTGGGAGAGGAGGTTCCCAGTGTCACCAGCCTCCTTTTTCGCAGTACAGCCAGCCCCCTTTGCCAGGAGGTTATGAGGCCTTTTGCCTTCAGGATGCTCCATTGTCTGCTGGGAGAATCCATCAGGTGGAGCAGCTACAGGGAAGCCAAAGGATCACTCTGTCTCGCACCTGAAACAGCCCATGACACGTTCTCACTTGTTGGAATGCTCCTCGGAAGGAACAAGGCACTGAAATGACACTGTCAGAAAGAATGCGAGTCCAGTAATCTGCGGAGTGAGATGCATTGTTGGGACCCATCTAGAGATGCATATAATAATAAAGGTTGAGCCACCACTTCTATTATTTTCACATTAATTCCTGAGGCTCTCAAAAGGTGCCTACAAGCTCACTGGGTCACAGCCATGTCACAGATGGAACCTTTAATGCTTACTTCCGAACTATGAACTAAGGAGGATGAAGGAGCCATCTTCTCGCAATCTGGGAATTACTAACGGGTAAGTGCAGTCATGGCAAGCTGGGACAGAACTTTGTTGCCAGCCCCAGTTCCTTCAGTGTTGGGAAGACCAAGACAATACGCAAAACCTGATGTATTATTTCAGTATTTTGTTTTTTAAAGCTTTTGTTGTACAGAAAACCTTGCAAACACAGGACAAGTCCCAGGTGAACGCACACATGTCAGAGACATGCTAACCTGGATTTTCAGTGGATGGGGGTGCCCTGGAAAACCTTGTCTGCTCAGTACTCACACATCTGCGCACATCACAGTTCATCCAGTTCTGACCTTACATCAATTCCTTTCTTACAGTCTGTTAAAAATTCACTGATCATACCAATCAGTGAATTGAGGCGATATTAATCAATTGGGGTTTTTAAAGTCCAAGTTGGTGCAGCAATAATTCATTTACACTAGCCAACAAGGCCCTGGCAGGCCTGGAGTCAGCCTAAGGATTAGGAATGGCAGTTCATTTGGCTTTCAGGCTTTTCCAAAGACAAAACAGTGATCTATTTATACGTACTGGTAAATAAAATTTAGAGCTAATAGAGCAGGGAAGATTAACCCAAAGGCACTCCCCACTGCTGCACTCCGACGCCCTCCAGGTGGGCTGGACCTCGCCTCCCATTTGCCGCACCTGGCGGGGCTGGTGCTCAGGAATTTTGGGAGTGGTAGTCTTAATCATGTGGAGGCCCCTGGGAGTAGGGAAACTGCGCTGTTTCCGCCTCTTCTCCCCCTTCCCTTCCCAACCGCCACGCTGCTCATGGCACTTCTCGCCGCGGAGCTGGCCTACCTTGCGGGGCTGTCGTTGGGCAAGCCCGGGAAGCCGCCTCCCCCCCGACCGAGTTCCCAGCATCCTTGCCCATGGGCAGCGCGGCCTGGGCCGATGGCGGCTGCAGTCCCTCCGCCTGGAGGGCCCGGGCGGGGGTGGCGGACGTAGACCCCGCGCCGCCGTGAAAGCTGGCCTACCTCGCGGGGCTGTCGTTGGGCGCGCCGAGCGCAGCGCGGCCGCTCCGTGGAGGGCGAGGCGGGCGAGCGGGCGGGGCCGGGCGCGGTAGGCCCAGGCAGGCCGCGGCCTCGGCGCCCGGCCGCCCGGGGAGGGAGGCCCGCGGCCCGGCCACCTCCCGGCCGCGGCGCCTGGGGCGGCTTGGCACACCCCGCGCGGCCCCTCCGCGCCGCCGCGCGCCCGGGGCCCCCTTCCCGGACCGGGGGGCCACCCCCCCGTCACCCCCAGCGGCATCCCGGGCGCGCCTCTGGATCCGCTGCCCGCCGCCCCCTCGCCCGGCCTCGCCCCCAAGCGGCGCCTCCACTCCCCCCGCCGCCCCTCAGGAACGACCTGCAGCTCCCGTCCCGCAGCCGCGGGGACCTCAGCCTTCAACCTCGGGCAGCTCCCGGCAGATGGATTCGACTACAACTCCCAGCGTCCCCCGGCCCCCGCGCGTGGCCAGGAGAGGAAGCACAGGAAGCAGCCCCCAAGTCCTCCCCGCCACACCCGACCTTCTGCAACCTGGCGCCCCCGAGCGGGGGGACTGCACCGCGCCATCCGACTCTCCCGGAGGCCTGCGGCGAGGCGAGGAGAGGCATCCGAGGCTGGCAGGCTCAGCTCTTGCCGGCCAGGCCCGCTCGCCTCTGCAGGGCTGTTGCTGCCGCGATTGGAGGAGGGGCTGCTTTGGGCTTCTGCCGCTTGCCTGAAAAAGGTAATGCTGGACACTTGCTCGCAACTGCATGACTTCACCGGAACCTTCATTAAGACAAGACACAAAATGCCTTTTAAATTTTTTCTCACCACTGATCTTCATCTTTTCAGTGCCTTACCTGATGAAAACTACTGGAGGAGTCATAGACTTTGCCACAAATCTGTGGTGTCTCCTTTGACCCTGATAAAAGACCCTTTATTTAACTTGCACCCTCCTGCAGTTCAGGATCGTCCATTGCAGCATCCCTGACCATTGGCCACATGGGGGCTGATGGGCACTGAAGTCTGAAGCATCAGCAAGGCCTTCAATTGCAAGCATGATTATGAGGACTCACATGTCAGAGACATTCCTATCACTCATCTTGCTGTGATTTGCACATGATGCTTCCAGAAGTTTAAAGGCACCTTTCTAAGAGTGGTTATGGCAGCAAACTCACTTCCTAGAGTGACAGACTAGCAGAAGCAGGCTTGCTGGATCATATGCCAGAAACTGCAGTACGCAGACAGCCAAGTGAACTGGGAACTGATGCGGGTGCTCCTGGAGAAAGGGACCATGGGGGTGTGCAGGAGCCACCAAGTGCCCGCCCGCCCCTCACTTTCTGAAGTGAAGCCACAAAAGGCCTCGTTCAGAAAGGGTGGTCAAGCCATGCCTGCCTGCCCCCGTTTGCTGGAGAATGCCTTGTGAACCTAATGGAGTCCACGCCACCAAAACTTGTGTCATGACCCGTGGCAGTTCTTTGCTCTGTCCCCAGAAAGAGCATGTTTGCCTTCTCATCACAGGTGCTCACAGTTGAGGACAGCATGTTTGAAAGGCATCCATTTTTTATTATCACCATCGTTATTATTAAATCCATTTTAAATTCCCGATGTGTGGCTTCTTCAGCTACGTGGCACCGATCAGGAACCTTAGAAGGTAGGGACCAAACTCCAAAACCCATGGAGGAAAAAGAAGGGACCATAAGGTATGAAAGATCACATATCTAGCTTAACAGAAGCCTAATGGTGATTCCATTCTGTGCGTAACAGCCCATGCTGTTATCCCCTCCTCAGGAAGAAAGTTCTTTTTGGCTCAAGAAGTGTCACGATTCTGGGCTAACCCCAATAACCACAAAGCAAGTAAAGTGTGAAAAAGTGCTCCAGAGCGCAAAATATTTATTTAAGAATGTACAGTGTCAATTCTACTATTTAGGACAGGGGACACTTCCTGTGCCATGGAAACACTCTTGTTTAGCAGTCTATGTGGAGGGCAGAGTGAAAGTTTAAGAGGGGAAACCCCACCTCTCCCCTAAGGCCCCAGGCGAAGGACCGCCAGGATGAATCCTGACTTGTTTGCAGTTTGCTGGCAATTCCTCCTAACACAATCCCTCTGCCATAGATTTAAGGCGCCCCAGATGACAGATTGTGGGGATCCACCCACAGAGAGTATCAAGGGACACCACAAATAAGCTCACCTTGACGCTGCTTCTATCCATGAGCAGTACTGGTGGCAGCGGCTCTGTCCAAGCAAACCTGACTTAAATATGTAGGTCTCCTCTTAGCAGATTGTAGATGTGAACACAATGTCTCATGAAAGGTTTGGGGGAACTGCCTGCCTTGAGCTAAAACGAGTTTCATGGCCGTCACTGGAGAGACTTGGCTGAATCTAAATCTGATCAAATTTTGTAGCACTGTGATGGTTACCAAAGTGAGATCTCTGTCAATTTGATAATGTAGGAAATTTGAGGCAGAAGAGAAGAAACTAACTCAATGCTACACTTTAAAAAACCCCCAATGCAGAATGCTTGTGAGCTGGTAAGTGCCTGAACTTAGGAGTCTAAGACTGAGAGAAAGAGCGAGCATGGAGGAGCCGCCGCAGGGCACTTCCAGAAGGCCCATCAGAAGAGTACAGTCTGCCTATTATACAGAGAGCTTCTGTTTTGGACTATACAGTTGGCTTTACAAGGAGCCTCAGCACAAACTACATACAAACTAAAGAAATTCCATTTCCAATTAAATTTTAGATTACAGATCACAGTTTTGTTTTGTCCCTGCCCCACCAGCCCCAGCCTTCGCTGTACATCTGTCTGTTTGGATAAGCTAGTTCAGCCCCTCCCAGGAGGCGGAGGGGAAGATGAATTGGGAAAGAAAATCCCAGCCAAATATCAAATGCTTCAAACAAGCAATAAACTCAACAAGGTGGTTTAATGCTTAAACACTGGGCCCCAATCCTTGTAAGGCCACTAACTGTAACATTAAAAAGGTGAGGTGCACTCCCTATATGTCCTGAAGGAAATCATGAATCACTGGAGTATCTGAATGCTAGTAAAACCAGCCAAAGGAGGGAAACAGCTTCCCTGCTCTCAGTTTGAGTTCGTTCATTCCCATTGCACCAAAGCTTTCCATTCCTTCTGAAGTAAGAACACTCCAGCCGACATTTCTGCCGCAGCCTCAGTGGAAAACTGACACAAATCGATCGTTCTCTCGAGGTGGGAGAGGATGGTTTGCCTGCACCAGAGGAGCTTGAGTTGTCCTGGTAAATCCATGCATCGTGGGCCCGGATTATACATTTGCTGAATGCTATTTGAGGGTAGGGTATTTCCTCTGCCCCATTCTGCTGAGTCGCGAACTTCCTGGAGCTGCAGCGGGCTGAAAAAGAAAACACAGCATGCTTAATTCCAGTTTTAACTGCAGCGACTGTAAACAATGTTCCAAATGCTGTACACGTACAGAATCACTCCCTGCTGGCTTCAGGATGGAGTGGTTGGTTCTGAAATCCTCGAGATCCAAACAGGCTTGGACTTCTATGAACCCAGCCTGTGGGTCTTACAGCAGAATGGTTTTTCCCAAGCTGTGCAAACCTGCAGATTTTTTCTTTCGTTTTTGACTTTGGGATGGATGTGCACAAATGTGCGCTTGCAATCCAGTTCTCTCAACAAGCAGAGAATGGAATTAGAGATGCCTGAAGAGCCGCAAAACAGGCACAACGGACTGAGCAAAACCCATGCAGCCCACCCTGACTCAGGACTGGGGACGCACCAGACACGAAGCCAAGTGTCCCAAGTTCTGTGCCAACACCATCACAAACGCCCACAGCCAGCCAGCCAGCCAGCGGTGGCCTTTGTGATAATGAGGCTCTGGCTGAGGGAAGCTTCCAGTTAAAACCTCTTATTCCACCCCCCCCCCCACCCCCATTACCCTAAAGGACAGAGAGAGACGGACCTCCAGCCTGGGTGCCCTTGCCGGCCACCAAGCCTGCCCTGGAGAACCCATGCTGTTTCCTCTGGTCTCCGATCAGAGAGAGCAGTGGGGAGGCCGGCCGGCGCGTATACAGGGAGCTCTCTCTTCTGGAGCGGGACAAAGCATGACTGCCGTTACCTGTGCAAAGTGGGATGGGTTGTAGAACTGGACCGCTCCTGTTGGGGGTCCTCCTAAAGGTGCCTAGAGCAGAAGGAAAGGGCCTTCCATTAGTGAGAGGAGTAAAGGAGAAGCTAGATGCTTCTTACCACACCTGTTCTGTGTACTTGACAGATGGAGAGACGGGACAAGAACACCGGTGCCCCCAGAAGGTGCAGAGCCACACGTGGATGCAAGAACTGAGGACACACAAAATCCACATGTCCCCCAACACTTTGGGAAGCTTCCTCATTGGCAGCCGCAATGTGGGTCATCACAAGACAAAGGGTGCATGCACGAACCTGAAGGGCTCGCGTTTGGGGGCAGGTGGGAGGAAGGGGCATGCAAGGGGTAGAGATGGTTCCCTTTGCCATGTGCCAGTCAGGTTAGTAAGCCTCATGCCTTGTGCTAGGAAGCCCCCTCCTCAGGTTTTGGGGCTCTCTTTCTTGGAGCCGCGACAACTGCCCCCTCCCAAAAGGTTGTCGTTTTTTAGCATTTTACTGTAAGCCGCATAGAGAATCCAACTGGATTAGTGGATGACATACAAATTCAAAAACAAATAAATAAAAAGATGGAAGCATACAAAGATGAAGCCAACAGTCTGAAGGATAAAAACGTGCTGTTGACCACCTACAGGAAGCCACCCCTGGCCAGGGAGGGAGGGTATTGTTTATGTGCGCGGAGGGCACTAAGCAGAACAGAAGTCCTTGGGGAAAATGCACGTTTGCTGTTACCTATTATTAAATTTATCCCACCTACTCTCCTCCTGCAAAGAACCCAGGACACTTTAGGTGAGCCGCCTCCTCTCCATGTTATCCTCACAACTCTGTAAGGCAGGTGAAACTGAGAGTCAGGGACCGATCCAGAGTCACCTGGTGGACTTCATGACTAAATGGGACCTGGAGCCCGGATCTCTTCACTGGAAGGACTGGGCTAAGCTCGCAGCAACAGGGAAGCCCGAGGCCCTGCCAGGCAAACAGTCCCTAGGCCTCAGCGCTGTGAGCTCGGCCTCCGCCGCATCACTGTGACCACGACAGCGCCAAGAGGTTTGCACTCCACATTGAGAGAGGAGTGTGGAGTTCATCCAAATTTCAACTGTTTCAAGGAAGAATTACTATGGGTGCAATCTTAGGCATGTTTTAGGTTTCATTGTCTTGGGACAGGAATCAGTCTGTGTCTGGAATGCTGCGGGGGGGGGGGGTGTTTTCCCATAGAAGTATGCACCGAACTGCGCTCGAAAAGGCAGAAGCAGCGCCTTGAGCCTGCGGTCGTTGGATCAGATGCAATTCTGGGAAGACCTTTCTTTAATGATTAGAGGGAACACTTCATCTTTATGGTCTCCTGTTAGTTCCATGAAACTTCGGAGGGAGGAGATGAACCGAGGCAGTATTAGCGAAACTGAGCAAACAGAACATGAGAAGAGATGGGGCGAGGGTGAGAAGTTAAATAAAAGAGGGACAGCGGGGTCAGTGAGAATGGCCAGCCAAATGTACCTGATTAAAATGCTGGCTTACTTCACGTGACAATGAGCTCATTGAACTAGAGCGCGAAAGCTACAAAACAGCAAAAAAACAAAACAAAACACACACACACACAACACATACGGAAAAAGGAATCACAAGTCATCATGCGGGCCACTGCTTTAAGCTCTTAGTTATCCTACTTTGTTAAAAAAAAGCAGGGGAAATACAGTCTTCAATGCCAAAGGTTAAATGGTATGAACTGCAAATTGCAAATCAGCTTAAATCAAAACCTTCCGGGTTATAAACATCTGAGATGCACTAGAGGCAGCGGTTGCATACAATTTGTAACTGCTCTGCAGCAGTTCTGTGGTGTTTGACCCGAGATGGTAAACTTGCATATGGAGAATCCCTATTTCAATGTTAACAAGAGAAAAGGGGGGCCAGATGGTGAGGAAAACTTCAGAAGAAGTACCCTCTGTGTTTGTGTAAAGTTCTGTTTGGTTAACATAAGGTTTCCAAATGTATCTTTCTGGGAAGCTCCGTCACATTTGTGGTCCAGTTTCATTCTGACTCCAGAGGAAATGAAGAGTCCTCACTTCCAGAGTCCAGCAATGAACCCAGCAGAACAGCTGGGGGCCTGCAACGGAAGGCAAAGGTGCTGACCTTGCAGCCTGGGGGCCCAACTCCATCTGGGAGTCGCATCCCAGTGGTCGGCAGGGCTGGAGACAAAGCGAGCAGGGCCAAAGCACCAACCCCACGTATCTCCAAGTTCTTTTCACTTGTAACAAAGCCTAGATGCTTCAGCCTTTGAGAATGGGAGGGAAGCTGCACAAAACCTGGGGAAGCACTCAGCGGGGCAGCCATGCTGGGGGGACCCCAGAGGGCTCCTTGGTATTCTACGTGGGTTGGATCCTTCCCCTGGGCTTAAGGGCCTGAGCCCCGATATGCCCCGAGATCCAGAACCCCCACCCGAATGGCTAGGGAGACCTACCTCGCCAGACTGGGACCCCTCTGGATTCGGCGGAGGGAGCTCAGAGGCGGGTGGAAACGTGGCAGAATTTAGGTACTAAAAGAAAGACATGAACAGTTGCGCAATGAGGCCCAGGTGAGCGTTGAAGAGACGACTGAAAAAGGAAGAAGCATGTCCGAGAGCTTTTGCTAAACGGAAGTCCTGCCGAAGGTCAAGTCCACAAGAGTTTCCTTCAGGCACTTTGGAGCTTCCCAGAGCTACCGTCCAATCAAACAGGGATGATGAGGGAAGCATTTCTTCAGAGAGCCTGCGCTCCTTTGGGGGCAGCTAGTCACCGACCTCATGCTGGTGAAGAGGCCAAAACAGGGCCAAGACCCCACACACCAGTTCTGGTTCAGACAGTTCACAAGCACACCACACCCATTCTCTCGTCTGTTCCACCCTCTGCTCCCCACTCACACATGGCCCTCCGTCTCCCCCCCACACATACCCCTATCATCCCGCACCTTTGCCAAATCTCCTTCTGCCCCAAAGACAATGCTGAGCAGGATTTTTGTTACGCAGTCGGGACCTTGGAAAATATCTCAAGGCTGCGTGGCGTGTCTGTCAAGCACAGTCCTTGGATGGCTTGTCGTTGGGGGTGGGGTGGGGTGGGGTGGGGTGGGGGGGTGGGCCAGAGCTGCTGTGGGCCGCCGTGAGGCTTCCCTAGCCTCGCACCCTCTTCACAGTGCCCAACTCACAGGAACGTCCGTGGCTGCTCCAGGGCCGGGCTCCTTCCCTGGCGCAACTTGCTCCTCCGGCACAGCGCCCTCCAGAGGTTGCTGCTGCTCCAGCGCTGGATGGAGAGAGCACAAGCACGGTGAGCCCAGGAGCCGCTGCATCCCCTTCAGGCAGGAGGCACAGGCACACCAGGGGGCTGGGGCCCCACACCGGGTGCCGGGGAACGCATCCCAAGAGCGAAGGAGTGTCTCGTCGAAGAACAGGCCCCTGGCACAGGCCACTCGCCCAGGACCTCAGAGCTGCCTCCCCGACTCGGGTGCTCTCTGGCCGTGTCAGGCTACAACTACACAAACTCTGAGCACCTGGGGGATTATGGGAATTGCAGTCTGAAGGGCACCAGGATAGGGAAGGCTGCTTTGATTGTTTCTGTGATTTGTCAGAAAACTGCTGCCTGTTGATATTTTTTCTCTTAAACAAGGGAGAAGCAGCATTGCTGTTCAAGCATTGCAACAACCATTCTAGGAAATGTCAGAATTAAAGAAAAGCTGATCCTACACACACCTGTCCGCTCTTTCAGGGGCTGCAAGGCGGACACAACATCCGCTCGGGATATATTTACAGCAGGCGCTCTCCATGCGCTGGACCGCAGCCCCTGTCGAAACCCCTTGTAGGAGTTGTGGCCTGACACATTGGGAGGGGCCCTGGGTGGGAAGGGGAAACCTGACCCATGCAAAGTGAAAGTGAGAGGTCACTTGGAGCACGCGCTGAGCGAGGGATGATCCAGGAATCTGATTCAGTTCATCAGGACTGGATGTGGATTGGGGTTTCTCTGCACGCTACAAGGGGGGCCCCTCGCAGCCTGCTCCACAACATCAGGACACTCACTCTGAAGCCCAATCCCTGCTCAAGTGGCCCCAAAGGCTCAGACCCTCCAAGGCCACTGACAGCATCTGATGGGCTGTGACCCCCCAAATGCTAATCTATTAAAACAGCTGAACTACTAAACTCTTTGCACTACATGGAATTTACAAAATTCACCACAGCGCGTCACACTTCTCCCTCCCTCCCTCCCTCCCCCCTTGAAAGGACCACAGACCAGCCCAAACTTTTCTGGAAAGGCAAGCAGAAGGGGACGTGGCCTCTCCCCGCACCTTCTCAGCTTGGCGCTTCGCTTGGCCTTGCTCACCTGGGTTTGGAACAAACAGGTTTGCTGGGACAGGCATCGGGGCCAGTGGAGCAAAGAGGTCGGAGGGGGCAGGGGCAGCCCCAGGCGGTTTAGCCCCGCTGGGATTCAGGATGTCGACATATCGAGATCTGTTTCCCGCTGGGAAGAGGCAGGCAGGGAGGGAAGAGAAATTACTCTGCAGTGGAGGCTAATTATAGAGACCGAGGGGAGGAAGCACCCACCGGCTGCTGGAGTCAGGACGGCCAGACCCGCACCGCAGGCCGCTCTGCAGCACAGGTGCCAAACCCCAGCTCAGCAGGCCAAAGCCATCCCCCCTGTGGCCCCTAAATGCCCTGCCCCACCCCCGAACCCCAAACCCAAGTGGCTACACAGCTTCTCAGCTCTTGCGCCATACCCACCCGCCACATGCCTCACGGGGCCAAGTCAAGCAGGGCCGCCCACCCTTCAGGGCCCTTCCCCGTTTGGCCTCTGGTCCCATCCACTGCTGGAACATGGCCCATGAAGTATTTTCCGAGACTGAACTGCGCTCCAGCTGCCTTGCGTGCTTTCATGCTGGGCCACTGCAGCTCTCAGAGCATCACGAGGAGGAAGCCTCGGAGGAGCGTCTGCAGCCTCCCGCATCAGAGCAGCCAGCAGCTGGTGCTGGTGCAAGGGCCCAGGCGAAGGGCAGTGCGGCTGCCGCCTCCCCTGGGTACAGGGAGGGCCCGCAGCTCCAATGCAGCCTGTCCTTTGGACACGTCCAGTTCCAGGTCTCCTGGAAGGGCTCTCTTTGCCCCAAACCTGGACAGGCTGCTGCCAGACAGAGCACAGGTCTGGCTCCTGCTAAGGCCACCCCAGACAAGTGCAGGACATGCTCTGGAGTTCAGATGGAGGCCCACGACTGTGCCGTTACCTGCTCTCCTGGAGAACATGTTGATGGTGGCGTTGGGAGGCCCTCCTGGCCCAGAGGGAGTGGCCTGAGGAACCTGGGGGAACCCTGTGGGGGGCGGAGGCGGAGGCTTGCTCTGGAAGGAAAAGGGGCCTTCAATCCAGATTGCATAGACAGTTTGCTCTCTGCTTTGTGCTGGGATGCACCAAATCAGAGCCATGCCAAAGGGCCTGCAGCAGGACCAGGAAACCAGTCCCCCACCCACAAGGTCACCTGTGGAGTGTGCCAGCATTGCTGAGAAGGGCCAGGAGGAGAAAAGAGCAGGAACTGTGTGGCGGGGGGGGGGGGGCTTGCCACCCACCTACCCAACCCAACAGCCATGCTGGCTGTGCTGACAGATTTGCTGTTCTTTACAAAACAGGCTGGGCAAAGACAGGGGTGCCCCCCTGAGTAAGGGCTGGGGTTAGCACATTGTCAGCACCCGAAGGCTTGAAGGAAACTGGCCCAGGAAACACACCGCACAATGTTTACCTCTTCTTCTGGTTCATCTAAGTTGACCCACCGTTGTTTCTTTTCGTCCCAAACAATCTAGGTTAGTGACACAAGAGTGCAGAGGTTACAGGGTACAGTGAAGAACCCAGTTTGTTCAGCAGAGGGCTGAGATTCAGGTCAGTGTCTAGCTAAGGTGGGAAGGGGAATTTCTTGCCCGCCCACCCCGTTACTTGCCAGCACTAGCCTATGCACCCCTTTCTGATTATGAAAGGGGGTTAAAAGGCAGCCCCAAGGGAGGTCAGGCTGATGCCAAGACAGGCACCAGGGCACAGAAACAGAGTGAGTCAGAAGGGGTCTCCCGGGCCATCTAGTCTGACCTCCAGCACCAGCCGGCTCCGCTTACGACATGCCCACCATGTGCATGTCATCTGTGAGGACTTACGGATTTGTTCTTATCATCAGGGAGGTGAGCTTCATTCCGGCCTTTCCCCATCAGCCAGCTGAGCCACCTTGTCCCACTCTAGAAAAAAAGAAGTTCTTCAGCTTATTCTTCCCCCAAACACATCTCCTAGATGCCAGTGTAAAATACACAGTTGTAAAGTTTCAGATTGGTTCTTGTTTGCGCCATAGGCCCAAACACCTATGGGTCAAATTCAGCTGCACAGATTCCCTCAGCGGCTGAATGCAAAGGCAAAAGTCAGGACAAAAGTACCAGATGATTATAGCTTGCAGATCTTGCTACCAGTAACCAAATACTAGAAGAGGCATAGAAGAGGGAGAAATTACATAAAAGCCAGTAAAACACCAAACGATCAGTGACCAAGGGAAGGGTGGGTGGCCATCCTGAACCTCAGGCAGGTCCCGTCCATGGTCAGAGGACTGGTGCCCTTGCTCTGCTCCGGGGAGACAGCGCACAGTGAGCCGCACCAACACTTCCGCATAACAGCAGCTCTTCACCTGGGGATCCCAGGGGCTGCTCTGCAGGGCGAGTCCTCCGCTTGCTGCACAGGGAAGCAGTGAGTCATGTTGCCAGGAGAGTGGAGGCAAGGGACAGACGACCCCACCAGCAACAGGAGCGATGGTGTTCCCCACTGCCGCTTAGGACAACTAAGAGGAAACATTTCTCATCAACACACCAGACTTGACCTACCTTTTGTGGTGCCGGTTCCTTTCTGGTTTCTTGTTTGGTTTCCTTCCCCTCCGGGATCGATGGTGGCGGTGGAGAGGGCTGCTGGGCTGCAGAATTCCGCCTCTCACGTCCAACGGAATGCACGGAGGATTCCGAGGTGGTCCGGGACCGCTGCCCAAAGCCCTGCGCCTGCACAAGCAATCAAGTCACATTTGGCCCCGAGAGAGAACTTTTTCAAAGGGGTCCAACTGGGAGTATGGGGGGAAGGGAAAGAAAGACTAATAAACATGGAAGCGTGCAGTTATGAGGGGGAAAAGAGTGAAATGTGAGGAGGAGGAGGAGGAGAAATGTAGCGAAGGTAAGTGTAACTTCACCGCGTACCATGTGGGCTGAAGACTGGGAGGTAGTTCTCGATTGCCGGCCTGGGCCCTGAGTGGACAGAAAGCCCACACGTGAGTGAACAAGGGAAGCTAACTCGCTAACAGCAAGGGGCGGGCAGCTCCTCCAGCACCCAGGGGCTCGCCGAGCAGCAAGGCCAGGAAGGCGGGCCTCCTCTGTCTGGTCCCAGCCCTGCCTCCCAGTCGCCCAGAGTGCAGGTGGTGCAGTGCCAGCCCTGACGGGCAGGCTCCCTCATGACAGGCTCTGCGGCAGAGCTCCCACGGCAAATGCAAAAACAAAGGCAACTGTCCCCTGGTGTTACACATGGCTGCAGGGTCCACTGCGTGATCCTGCGCAGGCTGAGACAGGGAAACAGCCTGCAACTCCCAGCACGGCTAACTGGGGCGTACTGGCAACTGCAGGCCTGTTCCCTGCCTAAGCTTGCATGGGACTGTGTCCCAGATGTGCCGAGAAGGGGAGGGAGTTAAGGGAAAGGCTGATACCATGCTCGCCATCCTCCCATAGAAGTCGTCCTCTCTGGGTTCAGGCACGGATTTCCAAGAGGGAGACTCCGGAAGGCTGCATTGCGCTGCTGACACAGAGAAAACAGGGCAGCAAGTTTCACTGCTCGCAGGCACACGGAAACAGACGCTGTCGTTACAGCACTGCTGACATGCAGCAACTGATCAATGGCTCTAAACTTGCAGAAAGCTAACCGGTTGCAAAGAACTGGGATGTCCTGTGATTTTAAGGACAAATAGCCAGTAAAGCCCATCTTGAAAGAGTGGGATACTCATCTGTCCTGCAAGAGGTCCCCAGTTTAAAAAAGTACGCCCTAGGAAGAAGATAGGAGGAGCTGCAGCAAAGTCCAGGGCTAGAAATAGGAAATGCAACTGGCTAATGTCACAAATGGATAGTCATCAGGCACCTCAGGAGGGCTGGACTTGGCCCATGGGGCTGTGGTTCACTGGCCTCACAGTCAGTCAGCGTGGCATGATCCAGACGCAAGGCAGACTAATCTAAAGGACTACAGCACATGACAGTGCCAGCTCAGCTCCAGCAAGGGATGGAAAACCTGAAGGGCAGTCTTGCATTTTCTGATTCCAGCTATTGCTTATTAGGGTTCTACCCTGCCCACTTTCCTGCAAGGAACCCACTGTGGCTACCAGAACCTTCCCTTCCCCTCCCCTCCCCTCCCCTGCCAGGGGGTTGTCCTCACAAAAAGACATGGTGTGGATCCTTTCCCCATTGCCGAATAAGGGCATACCTGCTTCCTGATTGAACTGCTCCTGTGGCTGAAGCTGGATGGCTTCAGGTGTCAGGCCTGCTGGGGGCGGCATTGTCCCTGGATACACGGGGCTGTGTTCAGCTGCATAGGGGTTTGGAAAGCCAGTTCCAGGCCCCACAGAGGTAGGGGCTGTGGGGTAGAATGGAACTGGACCGGCGGACTCTTGATGGGGAGATGATGCGGTGGTGGCTGAGCTGTCAAGAATGGCCTGGGGAGCTACAGAGGAGAGAGATTTTTATTTATTTACTTAAAACATTTTTATCCCATATTTTAAGAAGGACGGCTTACAAAAGACAAAAACTGTATCATCACAGTCAATAAAACAAAATCTTCAATATATAAAAACGTACACTAAACACCATTCAGCTATTAAAATGCTAGGTGAATAAAAAGGCTTCGGCCTGGAGTTGAAATGAAAACAGGTCCTGCCAGACAAACCTTGTGGAATTCTATGACAAGGTTTCGAGGTGGCTGGATGGAGGGGATGCAGTGGATGCGGTTTTCCTGGATTTCAGCAAGGCCTTTGACAAAGTGCCCCATGACATCCTGGTGGAGAAACTGAGGAGTTTTGGGATACATCAAAGCACTGTCCAGTGGATTAGGGCATGGTTGACTGACCAAAAGCAGAAGGTAACCATTAGCGGGGAATCATCGGGATGGCGGCCAGGGACAAGCGGGGTCCCCCAGGGCTCTGTCCTGGGGCCGATCCTGTTTAATCTTTTCATTAATGACATGGAAGAAGGGGTGAACAGTCTGCTGATCAAATTCGCAGATGACACTAAAACTGGAGCAGTGGCCACAACTGAGGAGCAGATACTCCAGATCCAGAAGGATCTGGACAGACTATGGAAGTGGGCAGGAGACAACAGGATGGCGTTCAATGTGGAAAAGTGCAAGGTCTTGCACGTGGGGCATAGGAATAGGTGTCAAAAGTACAGGTTAGGTGACAAGTGGCTGGAGAGCAGCACTTGTGAAAGGGACCTCGGGGTGCTGGTTGACTGCAGGCTGAACATGAGACAGCAGTGTGATGCCGTGGTCAAGAGGGCGAACACCACCCTTGATTGCATAGCCAGAAGTGTGGCTTCTAGATCAAGAGAGGTATTACTACCACTCTACACGACTCTGGTGCGCCTGCAACTGGAGTATTGTGCATAGTTATGGGCCCCTCATTACAGGAAGGATATAGCCAGGTTGGAATCGGTGCAGCGAAGGGCCACAAGGTTGGTGGCCAGTTTGCAGGGGAAGCCGTATGAGGCAAGACTGAGGGAACTGGGTCTCTTCAGCCTGGAAAAGAGGAGACTCAGAGGGGATCTGTTGGCAACATACAGGTATGTGAGGGGGTGTCACACAGAGGTGGGTAGAGACCTGTTCTCCCCTGCAGAGGAAGGCAGAACGCGCTCCAATGGAGCCAAGCTCAGGGAGCCAAGGTTCAATTTGGGTGCCAGGAAGCACTTCTTGACAGTCGGGACCCTGAGGGTGTGGAATGGGCTTCCCTGGGAGGTGGTTGAGGCCCCATTGGTGCGGGTGTTCAAGGATAGGCTGGATGTCCACATGATGGGCATGTTGTGAGCGGAGCCGGCTGGTGCCGGAGGTCAGACTAGATGGCCCGGGAGGCCCCTTCTGACTCGCTCTATTTCTATGTTTCTATGAATAAAGTGTCAGCACCAGGCACACCTCTCTGGGGAGCAGGTTCCAGAGCTGGGGTACTGCCACAGAAAAGGCCCTTCTCCACATTACAATAGATATGCACATGATGCCAATCGTTGAGGATTTTATTTGCCAAGCTTTTATCCCACTCCTCATCCAGAAAGTTTCCCAGAGCAGCTTACTGGCAAGAGAAACAAGAACATCCTGCCCACAGGTTTGCGACCCAAAAGTACAGCGCAAAGAAAAAACTATGGGGCTGGAAGAGGAAAAAAACAGGTCTTTCAGGAGGCTGGTATAATGGTTCTGCTTCTCTTTCTTATCCACCACTGGCTCCCCATTCACCTCCAAGCTCGACTCCAGGAGCTGCTCATCACCTTTACAGCCCTAAAGCGAACGGCAGGGGGTTGCACCTCCTGAAGCCTTCCCTCCTGGGTGGTCCTGCCTGGGCGCAGCTACCTCCAGAGGAGGTCGTTCTCTGACTACCACCAGGGGAAGACAAGGGAGAGGGCACTCTCTGCAGTGGCCCCTCCAACTTTGGAATGCCCTCCCAGGATAGACAGGATGAGGGCCAACTCTGCTTTCCCTGCAGCTGCCAAGGCCACACCCTTGTTCCTAAAAAGTTTGGGATGAGGCTTCTGTAGGGACTGTCGCACCCCTTTGGTCCCTGCCCTGGCCCTGCAATCATCAGCAAAGCCCTTCTGAGGGGCCCACGTGCTCCCAAGCTGCTCCTAAGTTCTGCATCTCAGCACTCACCCTCTGGAATGTTTTACCTGCAGGCATTAAACGAGCCACCACAGTTCTCATATTTAGATGTTTTCTTGTCTTGCACTCCCCAAAGTGTGACCCAGCTGCATGCAGGGGAGTGCATGCTTTGATTCCCAGTACATCTGAACTGCGATACTTCTGTTCTTACACGTGTTACTGTTTTTATGCCACTGTATTTTATATTAACCTCTCTGATACCTTTTTGTGGAATGCAGCATATAAACTCAAATACTAAATAAAATCAAAGGGAAGGAGTCAAACTTGTCTGCATGCTCCTCCCAGCAAGGCCTGGAAGCTGGAGTGCAAAGGGAAGCTGGGGATGGAACTGGGGGGGCAAGTTCGACCTGTTCCAGAGGCTAGCCAGGTTTCTATCATCCCCACCAAGATCAATGGACATGCACCTGAAGGCATCAGCTGGACACTCTGCACTGGGTGTCCCATATTTGGAGGCAGCAAAGAGGCGAAGAGTGGGTTGTCAGGGCCCGAGTTCATTTCCTGGCTGGGACCCGTGCCCTCGTTTGGACTGATGCGGCCCACTTCGGAGCCCGGTGAGCAGCAGGCGTGCTGCTGCGGTGTGGACCTGTCTGTGTGGTACGTGAGAGCGCCCTCCTGGAAGGAAAGCAGAATCAGTGGGTTTCAGTTGCCACTTCCCACCCTTGAGAACACGTCTGCAAAATGCTGATCGGATTGAAAGCCTCTCGTGCAGGCAGCATATGGAGAGATGCGAAGGCGCGGGGAAGAACCGGCAGGGACGGGGACAGAAGAGTTGCGGAAGGAATAGGGTCGTCTCCCCCTTGCCATTGTTCCCCAAACATTCCTTGAAAAAACAGTTTCCCTCATTTTACTGGTTCCCTCACTGCCCTTTCGTTTCCCTCCCAAGGCCCTCACACCCTACAGCGCATGCCTGCGCGCGTGCCTCTCATGTGCTCCCAGCCCACTGAAGCCCAGGTCGCCACAGGAAGAGGGGCTGCAGGATGGCGGAAGAACACCTCATGCACCAGCACCCAAAGGCAGTGAGCAGCCCCCGCATGACCCAGACAGGCGCGGCCTGCCACTCACAGAGGAGCGTACAGATATATTCCTGATTCCCACGTCTGCATTGTGTTGGCACCTCCCACTGAAAAGAACCAAGTAGCAGAGAAGAAAGTTCTCTCTCTCCTTTTCTCTCTCTCACATAGTGTACGTATGTGGTGGGATTCTTTTCCCTCTCCGAGCATGCACATGACTGTGCCCGCTTCTGCTTCAACCCCATATGCCCCACAAAAGTGCCCCCCAGGGCTTCTCCAAAAGGGCTTCAGGCCCTTGGGCTGCAAGTGGTCCCCCACACTGAGCAACATGGACTTGACCCAGGAACCATTACAGCTGGGAAGGCAGTGCTCAGCTTTGGACAGGCAACACACTCACCTTAATCTGTCCATCCAAGATTCGGAGCTGCAGTAACCAATCAGGCTCAATAAATAGCTCTTGCTCTGGTTTCTCTTTGTTCTGAGGGTCGAAGAGCCGTAACCGAGAGGAGATCTGAGAAGCAGAGTGTTGAAAGAGAGAGGAGATGACTTGAGAAGGGAGAGCACACCAACGTTCCCGAGAATGCTTTTTCCAATTTGCAAAGGATCAGGGCAGCCAGAGGCTGAGGGCTTCAAAAACAAACAAACAAGAGAAACTTGTGTTGTGCTCGAAGGACACCTCCGCAGGAACACTGGAAGTCCAACACTGGGTTCCTCTAGCCCAGGCTGACAGCAACAGGGCATCAGGGTTCTGGGCAGGTGTTTTTCCAGCCCTCCCTGGAGATGCGGCCATGCATCAAACTCGGGGCTGTTGGCCTGCAAAGCACGAGCTCTGCACCAAGCTAAGCCCACTCCACCAGCCAGGCAGTACCAGGAAAGGTGGCTGCCTGCATCACCCCCAAAGAACGGTTTAGCCATGCGGCACTGCCAAACTTAAGGCCACCGAGGCTGTACTCCCTGCCTCCCAGGAAACACATCATGGCCACGGGGACACCAACCTGGCTGCTACAGACTGCAGAGACAGCATTGCTTTTTTCCCTCCCCTCCTCTCACCCCATCTTGTGACTTCCGGATTTTAAACCCAGGGACTGTCTAACTTTTGTAAACTGCTCCAAGCACTTTGGGGGCTGAAGGCAAGCTAAAAGTACTGCAAGAAAACCAGGACTGCTGTACCTGGATCACCTGCCCAATCAGAACAGGGGAGTAGCAGTGGGGATTCCTCAGGATGGTTCTCGCTATCACTTCGCAGTAATGAAACGCTTGTGCAGAGAGCCCCATCTCAGCGAGTCGGCAAGCGTAGAGGAACTTGAAGACCTGCAGGATGCAAGAGAGCTTGGGGATGTCACCGAGCAGGGCATAACCGAGGCAGCCGTGGCACAGCTGAGCACCACCGCTCCGAACACCGCTTAGCAACTTGTCCTCTGACGCAGACCGACGAGATGTGTGAGGCACCCTGGTCTCACCTGATGCCTCCCCACGAGCCAAGCCCAGGGGGTGCAGGTGACCTGGAGGACTGCCTCAGGCGATGCCAGGGGGCCACACATGGCAGACCCACACCCCTACCCATAACTGGGGACTTCCTTGCTAGAGCTAGCAAGGGAATTCCTTCTTTGCCTGCTTTCAGTCACCTGGGGAGCTCCACTGCACTGCCACAAGTGGCTTTGGGGGGGGGGGGGCTGCATGTTTTGCTTCTCGGCCTAGTCTGTACCTCTCCCTGCCTTTTCCGCACATCAACAGCCCAGCCCAGCTGGGACCTGCCTGCGGTGGCTTGTCACCACCTCTGCCTGCCCCTCGTGTTCTTCCTCACGTCCTCCTGCAGGGGTGTGGCAGCCTGGGGGGGTGAGGCAGAAGCCGGTGACCCTCCTCGCTGGCACGGGTGCCAACACGGAGCATCCTCGAGATCCATTCTGGCACTGGGGGCTGCTCCCCAACTGCAGGGAGGCACTGCTGCTCTCAACCGTGTCGCTGCGTGCTGGGAGCAGGCCACAGGGCAGCTGCAGCCCCAGTGCCCAGGGAGCAACACCCACCCAGACCATCTCTGTCCCAGCGAGGTAAGAAAAAAGGAGATTCAAACCTGGAAGCTGGGCAGGCAGCAGGGCTGAGTCCCCAGTGACTGCGCGTATTCATAGGCTTCTGTCCTTTGAATGGCTTCATTGGTGGCAAACTTTAAAAAGGGCAAGCTAAGGCAAGGAAAAGGAGAAAGCTTCTTTTAAAAAAAAGAGAGGGGGTCCTTTTGAGGACTTACAATGGTGGCTAACAATTACAATTAAGGCAGTGTAGAAACACAAGTCTGTCAGTTTAATCTGGCACTCCAGGGGTCCCAGAATGGGCCTGCACCTCTCTTGCTGTTGGCTCACAACCAGAATGTGGCTCCCAAGTGCATCTCTGCAATGGATTTTGGCCTTTAGGCTGAAAGGAGGTCTGCATCACTGGCCTGAGGACCATCTGGGGAGGGAGGGAGGTGTGTGTGTGTGGGGGGGGGGACAGAATATGGCTCAACACTCTCCAAACCCCTCTACCAGCTGGTTTTACTGTCAGCATCCTGCTTTCATTTTCAGAGCTGGCAGTTGGGGAGGGCCAAGCACCAACTGCAGCAAGGCCAGAACTGGCTTGGAATTCCTTGTGGCTCCTCGATTTGCAGAGTATTTTTATTTCCTTATTTTACCCTTTGCCTTCCTGTTTCAAAAAATGGGGCTCAAGGCAGCTGACAACCACATATCCCAGTTGTAAAGCAAAACTGTAATTAAAACACAACACATTTCACAGCTGTAACAGCCAAAGAAATGGATGGCACTCAGCCTGTTAAAACTGACAGAATGTTATAAACAGCAAAGGCCTGCCTGCATAAAAATGCCTTTGCCTGCAGGCCGAAGGAAGCAGCCATGCGTTTGTGCCTGGAAAAACAATGCTGCCAAGTGTGCAGACATCATGCAAGCAAAATGGGAGAAGGGAAGGTGGAAGGAAGCTGGAAAATCACCCAGCAGGTGGCTGCTGCAGGAAAGGGGGCATGGCCATTTGAAGACCATCAAAGGCCAGGTATGACCCTCAGGAGGACTGAATTCAGTCTCAGGCACCCACCTGAGGTAGCCAGGGCCAAAGGCAGAGGCAGTGTTGGTGGCAAACTCCCCACCCCCACCCCACACACGCCAGTACCTGTGATTGGAGCCAATCAGCACCAGCTTGGCTGTTTTCTTTGTGTACACCCCAAATCCAACTCGAGCCATCAAGTAGCAGAAGTGTGCAGCATCCAGGAGGCCTTTTGAAACTGCGGAAGAACACAAAAAGCAAAGAGGAAATGCTGAAAAGGCAACTGGAAGACCTGATCCAGGTAGGACAACAGCAGTCTGCTGCTTCTGCACAGGTACAAAGGGGACTCGTTTTACTCTCCTTCTTCCCATCCTGGACTGCCTGTTGGCTTCCTGGCTTTTGCAGAGCGTTTTCTTAAAAGGTTGAAATTCCTCTTCTAACACCCTGGTGCTAGCAGGAAAAGCTCTAAGCTAAAAGATATTGGTGGGTTTGGCCCCATCTCTTTGGCCTCAAGTTCTGTTCACCACTGGAATGCTGCCCCGAGAACTCTGAAATGGAATTCAGCCCTCAAGCTGAAAAGTTCTGTACCTGGAGGAGGAGGAGGAGGAGTTTGAAACCAGTGCTATGTTGCTCAGTAAAGAAAGTTCTTGGAATAACTGAGAAAGCAATTTTTAAAAAATAATTGATATGATTTTTCTTTTGTATGTTATGATTTTGGTAGGTTGGTACCTTGATTTTATCAGTTTGATTTGTACCCTGTCTTTCTACCAAGAAAAGAAAACAAAAAATACTTCAGGCAAGTTTCTCACTCATGAAAAAATGATGTACATCTTTTGATATGTAACAACACCGAACAGCCATATTTTTCACCATCGATTACCATGGTCCCGACAGTTCTAAGTTAATGTCCCCATTTAAGCCTCATCAGGGCAGCGGAGCGCCCCGTCCCGAGACTGACTAAGTGCCCCGGCTGCCTTCACAGGTTACCAAGTGTGTCGCCCATGGTGATGATTGTTCTCGACTCCACGTCTGTGTTATTCGTCAAGTTGGACAGGACCATGGCCAGGTGGGGTCTCCAATCACCCCATTTTTCGTCTCCACAACACTAGAGAGAGAAGAGAAGAGGCCGAGAGGGTTAGCGACTGCAGTGTGACGAAACAAATACGAGTGTTGTGTTCACAAGGCAGATGTCCGCCTGGGGAGAATCACAGATGGGCCTTTAGAACAGTTCACCTCTGGAACTCACCGTGGATGCTGCGGGCATCCTGCCAGACATCAGCTGGTACACTGTTTGCAGCGGGTCGTTGATGGGAAGGCTGTTGGCAAATCTAGTGAGGCGAGAACACGCAGAGCAGTTCTAAGTTCTGAAAAGGAGCCTGGATCCCAATTTCAGTGGGATAACACTAGACTCCCACAGCATCCTAAGAGCAGCACCAGAGCTCCTCCAGCCCTCCAGGGTTCCCTGTACAGACATCCCTGTTCCCCCAGCCACCACTCATTTGGTGGTTCGCCCCGGTCTGTACATTTCTTCCCCCGTTCTAGAAAAGACAAGACAAGACAAGACAAAGGCAAGTCTTTCCTAAGGCTTAGTCACAGGCAGTGAGTACTTTAATGAAAACATGCTGGCCAGTTGGTACCGTTTCTTCTGCCTTCAGCACCACCTGCCCCCGGAAGGCAGCCCCCAAGAGCTTCTTGGAGAGGCGATTCAGCCCTCTGCCCCGTGCTCCCCTGTTCTAAAGGTGAACACATTTCTTGCAAAGGCTCTGGCTCTCCCTGGACAGAAGCTCACTTCGTAAGCTGTACCAACGAACAACCAGGAGGCGCAAAGCAGCTCTGTTTTACCTGGTCATCACTCTGGCATGGGTCCTGCTGTCCATCTTACTGGCAAGCAGCAGAGCATGGCCCCAGAGCCCGTGCTTCATGGCAGATTCCAGAGCGTCCTGTTGGAAATGGGAGGAGGAGAGATTTCAGGAGAAGGTCTCAGGCCTCTTCACACAGTGGGAGAACCTCTTTCACCATTTCAGAGCCGCTCTGTAGGGCCACATGCCTCTGGTGCGCACAGCCAAGAGCAGGCAGGGTGGGAGCTACAGGTAAGGAGGAGGCCCAGATTCCAAAAGTACCAGCCCAGTTGAGCTGGAACCACTGACTCTTGAGAGAGGCACTTCAGCCCTTTAGAATGGGGACAAGTGCACAGAAGTCACACAGACTCCCTAAAGGGCCAGCAGCTGGGGACGAGGGAAAGGGCCAGGGCCTTCTAGAGGCCTCTCAAGGGCTGGTGTTGCTCCCCAGCCCAGCTGGGGGATTACGGGAGCCGAGTCCGACTCCTCTGGAAGGCGCCAGGCAGGGGGAGGCTCCTGCCTCTGCACAGCCACGTCGAGGCACATGGCTTCCCGCCCCTGCCACCACCCCAGCATGCCCGCGGAGGGAATCCGCATGCCCACCTTTTTGCGGCCGTACAGCAGGAGCTCCCGGAAGCGCTCCGTCTCCTTCTCGAGGCTGTCGGTGGCGGCAGTGAGGCTGCCAGTGAGGCAGGACAGCTGCGCCTCCCCAGACTCCTCCGCCTGCTCCACAGCCTCGCTGGTGAAGTCAATCAGGTTCGCCTCGACCGGTGGCTTGCCCGGCAGCCACGCGGTTTTGTGCTCCTGCAGCAGCAGCTCTGCGATATCAGTGCCCACCACGGTCTGCAAAAGAAGGGGGCACGGCTGCTCAAAGGGGCAGCCAGGGCGCCTTGTCCTGCAAGCCACTGGGGGGAACAGGCACGGCCACGCAAGTGCTGGCTGCTGGTGCTGACAGCCTCCGGGATGCTTCAGTACGCCCGCTGCTGGTGGGGGGGGGGCTCTGCCCTCGTCTCCTACATATGGGCTCCCCAGCACACAGCTGGCTAGCCCCCTGTGACCAGGAAGCCTGACTGAAGAGGCTTCTGGCCTGAACCTGCACAGCACCCTCTTGCCTCCGGCTCCCAATTTTATCCCCATGGGACCAGCAACAAGGACCCTGCCAGCAGCATCCAGTGGAGTGGTCTCCCAGAAGCGAAACGGGGGACGTCCAAGGAGTGCTGCCTCCCTGCTGTGCAGCGTTAAGGCAGGGAATTCACCAACCCCGATGGCCGCAAAAGCAGGTTAGGCACATCCGTGGAGGGTGAGGCTTTCACAGACTACGAGTCTCGACGGCTACGCGGGTGCAGTCACTGTCATCCAAGGCGGCCTGCTGGGGAAAACCGGCCCCCGATTTTCTGCACTGCCGCCCAACTTGTGGGTTTCTCACTGGGGCAGCGGGTGGCCCACCCAGGTCTCCCACAGTCGGAGGGCCCTCCTTATGTTCTAAAGTAGGGCTACGGGGCCAGCCTGGAAATCCTGTGCCAGATACCCTCGGCTGCTCCGCTCCTAAAGGGCTTAGAGCGGAGCCATGGAGCATCTCTGGCTGTTGCTCCCACCTGCTTCGCTCTCTGGGACAAACCTCACGTCTGTGAAAGAGGAAGGGGAAAGTTACAGGAGAGGAAAATGCCCTGACCACAAGCCGACTTGAGAAAATGGGCAGGCACGCAGCAAGGACTGCTGTACCGATGCCTGCCACGCAGTTCTCGAAACTGATCACCCCAAGGACGCACCGAAGGGTTAACCACTTGAAGGGTGCACATCTATCTACAGGTCTCCATTCTGATGTCCTCTGAGGGAGGGGCTCACAAGCAGCTGGCACCACCGCTCCCACACACCTAACACTGGGAAGGTGAGGCACCGGGGCGACCCCTCCAGCTCCAGGAGGCTGGAGGGGGAGGGGAGAAGGCCATTTAAGAGGGAAGCAATCCCTTCACGGCAGCTGCCCTTCCTGGCCAGTCCAGCAATCTCACCACTGGATGCTTCGGACAGGCTACAGTCTCCCCAAACACACACAGGCATGTTTGCACAGGTGGCCCCAGGAGCTGCATGGGGTGTGTGGTCCTGCTCCAGGCTCAAGGTCGCGGCTGTTTTTGCGCCGCAAGTCCCTTCGCAGCTGCCCCGCAAGGTGGAACAAGCGCCTTTGCTGAGGGCGCCCAGGAAGCCCAGGGGTCCCCCCGAGGTAGGCCTGGCTCTTCCTTTTTGCCAGCATCTGGTCAGTAACCTGAAGAGGAACCCTGACATCAGAGAGCTGGAGGAGGGCAAGGATGTCGCTGCCGCCAAAGCTTTAGGAGAAAGGCTGGAATCCTTACCCCATTCTGCCTGCACAAAAGAACGACAAAGTCCCAGAGCAGCCGGGCAGACTCCTTGTCGATCAGCATCTCGTTCTGCATGCACCGTGTCGCTTGGCTCTGGGCAAAATTTATCACGTCAACTTTGTGGGTCTCGTCTCTAGAAGAAGAGGAAGAGAAGCCTCCAGTGGGGCTGAGAACTATAACGTGGGCACCCTGTATGGGGACAGTGGCCTCTGTTTCAGGAAAGAAACCAGCAGGCAGGGCAGCGTGTACAGGGCTCAGGGAGCTCAGTCCCTGCAGTGGGAGTGGAGTGCAGCCAGGCTGATGACGTGAGCGGCTGCTGGCTGGCAGAGTGCAAGGCTGCTGAGGAAGCCACACCGGCTGTGCCGGGCAGGCCAGGCCAAGGTTAAGGGTCCAGTGCTTGGTTACAAGGCTCTGCACAACTCCAGGCCTGACTTGGGAGATCATATGCGATTTGAGAAGCAGGACAAAAATGCTAGACGAGAAAGGAGTACGTTCTCTTGGCCTACTGGGAATCCTGGCAATGCTTGCCCCCGAGATTTCCATCCCATTTAGCACTGCCAAGTCTCCAAGATGTCACGGCCTGCTTACAATGCCTGGGAAACAGGGCACCACAGACACCTGCTCAGAAGTGGGAGGGGACAGACACCCCGGCGAGGAAGACATGGACACAAAAGCCAGCCTACGTACTTGATGAGAGGGCCGGGGAACTTGCGCATCTCCTCTTGTTCTGAAGAATGTTGCATCATCATCTATGAAAAGAGGAAAATGAGAAAGATGCACAGCACAGCTGACGACAAGTTGGCGTTCCTGGGCTCACCCCACAAAGAGAAGCACAAATGAGCAAAACGGCAGCCTGAAATGGAAGCTGACCTGAGAACCATTTCTTTTTGAGGAAGGTTGCTCGGGACAAAAGGGAGGGTGAAAAAGTTGTTGTGGCTACTAGTTCATGAGCCCCTGGCTGAAGCAGGCAGAAGCCCAGTCCAAGGCCCCCTAGATCATGTCCTGGCTTGGCCACAGGAGAGTCTCAAGTTTCCAGTTAGGGCTCCTGGTTGGCTGCAGCATTTACAAAGAGTTCATGTTTGCCCTGGGCCCACACAAGCCTTGGTGGGGGGGGATCTGGGAATTCCTGACTGGCCACAGCAGGAGACAGAGGGCGTGCAGGGGGGTGGCACACGCCCAGCACTTGGCTCATTCCTCTTGTTTACCTCCATACTGTGCACTTCGACCAAAGCCGGCTGCCCCTCAGAGGGCAGGTTTGGTAGGACTTTTATCAAGTAACCTCCAGGACCGAACCTTGCACAGACATGAGGCACAGAAAACTTCTCCGGTGTCAGCGGCCTCGAGGGCACTGCAGTGTGGGAAAAAAACAGAGAAGCAGGTTCAAAGCTACCGAACTTTCCATTTAATGTACCACGTTTCTTTACTGTTCAGTAGTTGAAATTCACTGGACAATCTACAAAGCTGAAAACCTTAAAAATACTTAGAAAAACCACCTACACATGAACATATAAATGGACAGTATCCAAAGAGAGACATACATCAGGAAACAGTTTTGAACAATCAACAATAAAAAAGCACAAAACCTTATTAAAAACCTCATCGTATGCTTCTAAAGAAATACCCGAGAGAAGGTCTTAACCTGGCATGGCAAGATAACAATGCTGGTGCCAGGGAGGAACTTGGCAATGAGATCGTTTCAAAACTGAGGAGCCACCACTAAGAAGGTCGTCTCCCCTCCCGCCACCGTATCAGCCTCGGCTAATGAACCCAGCACACACGGCAGGAGTCAAGTCGCTGGACTCTGAGGGACTCCCCACTGCCTGGAACCACCGGGTGCCAATGGCAGTGGCTGAATGTGGCTCGAGCCCTCGCCCAAACCCCGAAAAGGGTCTCTCAGCACCGCCGCAGCCAGCAGCCTCCTCTTGCTGGAGAAGCAGGCACAGAGCAGGCGCCTCATGCTTCAGCTCGCATGTCTCAAGCCACACGTTCAGCTTGCCACGAACCCTCTTTCACGCTCTCTGGAGAAAGAGACTCTGGGGATTCCACCCAAGGCACACGGCGCAGCTCAGACCTCCCTGACCTGGCACCCTCCAGATGTGCCGACCGCAACTCTCACCCCCAGCCAGCAGCTGGAGAGAGGAAATGCTCCTCTGCGAAGCTGCCTGGCCAGGAAATTCCTTGGGCGGCAGCCTCCAGGTGCCCCGCCAGCTCCTTACCCTCATCATTCCCATTTTCTTGGTTTCCAACAGGGAGACAGCCCTGCAGGGGTTCAAAAGGGAGGCTTCAGCATTTCGGAACTAAGACCTTCCCTCTTCCACCTGACTTAGCTTCTTGGGCAGGTTACTTTTTGTTAATATGCCACAAAACCTGATGAGAGTAAAAATGGAGCCTCCAGCGCTCTACCGCTCCAGCCATTTCACCTTCCCCACAAACCTCCAAATGTTCTAAATGTGCCCCCCAGAAAGGCTGGAGCCCCCTGTCCTTGGGAACTACAGGCAAGCTATTCCAGGTCCTCAAAAGATGAATGAGGTATGAATGAAAAGGTATGTAGAATATCCTCAAGTAGCTGGAAATACTTTGTGCTCAGATGACGATGATGAAGAATCGCATTTTCAAACTTCCCAGGAGCAGGAGCTACAGCCCTTCCCCCGCCTGCCTCTTCACTGGTTTCCTCCTGGTGCCTTGTCCTTGTGGAACATACCTTGTTCTGCAGCTGGCCAGGCAGCGTGGTTATAACCAGTCAAAGATGGCGGGCTGGCATACTGGGCATATCTGCCAGAGGCATAGTCTGCGTGCAGCGAGGGAGGCTGGGGGTCGGTGTCATAGCCACTGGCTGCTGGGTCATGGTTGCTTCGATACAGCTGGCTCTGGAGGAGAGAGGGACACATTTGTGGCAAAAACCATCACAACTGCAGCCAGATGGCAGTGCTTGCTCACTGGCCGCTGCGGGAGAAGAGTGCTGGACCAGCGGGCCCTCGGTGGGCCCTGGCATCGGGGCTCTTCTGACGTGGTGATGTTCTCGAGGGCAGAGATAAGTGGGTATTCTGAGGCCCGAGCTGGAGTCAAATTATCTCCTATGTAGCTCAGCCCTTGCCAACTTTTAGGAGTGCCCAGGTGTGCTGGACTACACAGTGTAGACGGGGCCACACCTTAGAGGCCAGGCTGATCCACAGGTAGGCTGGCCCGGCTTCAAACCCCAGCTGCGCCCCCAGGTAGGAAAAACTCCTGCCTGAAACTTGGAGAGCTGCAGCTGCCAGCCAGAGTCAGCAACAGACGGACTCAGGGGCTGTTGCAGTCGGAGGCTGTTCCCTCCACCCCACCGGCTGAAAGCAAAGGGAGCTGCAGTCCAGCACAGCTGGAATGCACCAGGATGGGAAGACTAATGAAGGACTTGATGAGGGCCGCTGTTAAAACGTGGGGTTTTGTCCTGTCTGCAGTCAGTCAAGCCAGCAAATCCACGGTGTGTTAGCCACGAGCAGTCCGCGAAGGGGGCCACGGCTTGATGTAGGGTTGCTGGGCACGGACTGCTAGCGCAGCTTGTCTGGCAACATGGGAGGCCCTGCTTCCCTGCCCACCCACCGTTCAACCCCTGCACTATCACAGCATCCGAACCCAGCCAGCGCTGCTAATGCCCACAGAGCCCCAAGATGCTTCCGGGGGAAAGACCCACTGGCAAGGTGTGGGGCAAGGCCCAGGCACTGCAGAAGGGGCAGAGGGCAGGGTTGCCGTGTCTTCCCTGCCAGGCCCAGCGCGAAGGGCAGGCAGTGCCAGGGCCCCCCAGCTGCCTTACCTGCTGGGAACGAGAGCTGAAGCTGCTGTGGCGGCTGTGGATGCTGTGGGAGCTGTGCAAGCTGTGGCCGGAGTGCTCGCTGTGGATGCTGCGCCGGTCAAAGTCATCCCCATAGGGGTCCCGGCGGGAGTCCAGCTCGTCCTCAAAGCCGCCCACATAACGAGGGTCATAGTGCCAGTAGTCGTCATGGTGATCGTGACTGCAGAGCAGGAAAGCACACGGGAAAAGCCATGAGGCAGGCGAGCACCGTTTAAACCAGGGGAAGGAACCTCAGGCTCGGGGGGCCACATCTGGCCCTCCACAGCTGCCCTCCAGCCTTTTGCCCTGGGCACTCTCCCAAATTTACACACCTGTTCCTCAGCGCATAGGGCTCCCTCTTTTGGTAGGGGTTCTGTTCCAGGTCATACCAGTACCTTTGGTCTCTGTACCAGGCATCGTACATTGTTTGATAACGGCTGGAATCTGAAAAGGATAAGGAGAATCAGGTGAGAGGCGGGCATCCCTGGCTTCCTGCTACTGCACCTGCGGACATTCTGCAGCACAGATGCACATCCTTTGTGCAGCTGCCCCCCCCCCCCCCCCCCCCCCCCCCCCCACCCTTGAGGCCCCCCTTTTTGGGCCCCCCCCCCCCCCCCCCCGGACAACTCCTTAGTTTGTCAGAGGACAGTTCCTTGCCTCCAGCCGCTGGACAAGCAGGTGCTCCAGGCCTCACGGGGCTTTACTCCAACTGCACACAAGATTCCTAGCCAGGAGCTTCCACACAAAGCCAGCTTCTCATCTCAAGGTTCCTTTTTTGGTAATCAGGATGTAAGGACAGGCATTTGCCCAGCTAAATAGAGGAGCTTGTGCTTTATTGTTCTAGGATAAGATGAAAGCACATATGGCCCTCCAGATGTTGCAGGAAACTGCCAACTCCCATCACTTCCAGGCCAGCAGAACCAATGGTCAAGGATGATGAGAGCTTCAGAACCAAATCTTGGTTCATCATTGCTGCACCTGAGCATCCCTCTTCTAGAAGATGTAGTTCCTCACAACAGTGCTATCAAATTCTTTTCTTTCATATATGCATAACTCCCAGTTTTACCATTTAAAAAAATCCATTCCAGCTCTTTTTTCCAGGCCATGAACACCTTTTATCTTCCGTTTTACAGATTTATGATGCAGAAACGGTAAAGGTTTGGGGATCAGTGAAGCACGGGAGGTCCAAAAAGCAACATGCTTGACCTATTCTATCCACCTGAAAGGGAGGACTGAAGCCAACAGAATGCTGTGGGAGTTAAAGGGCAAAATTCACAAGGCCTGGTGCTGGTTTTACGATGGATCAACTGCAGGGATGGCAGCGACCTTCTCTGCCCCCTCCTCCCTCTTCCCACAGCAGCCCCTCCAGCCCCCGGAAAACGCAGTGACCCTGCAGAATGGAGTGCGCTGTGTCGAGGGGAGGGACCCGCGAGAGCCGAGGACAGGTCCATGTGTGAGTGCCACCCTTCCTCTTGCCGGAGGAGCATCTGCGCAGCCAGTATCGCTGCCGTGATCTTCAGGTGCCCACGAATGTGACCGTGGCGCTCAGAAGGTGAGGGGAAGAGCAACTCGCACTAGTTTTAATGCACCGGATTAATAGGTTATCCCAGAAATGCACCTCCCTGGGGGGCAAACAAGTCAGTGGCCCCCTACCTGCATAACTGGGGGCATAATAGTCTGTGTAGTACTCATTCCATCCACTTTTAGGGTTGTAGTAGTCCTCGGGATATCCTTGTCTGCAAGAGAAGAGAGAGGCTTGTTTCTGTTCGTTTGGAAGAGACACAGAACGAGCAGGCATGGAGAGGGATGCACGGCAGTGAGAAGTGCGGCACGGCACGCTCTGCACGGTGCCTTGATGAGCAGCGTGGGCCACTGCCGCCCCCTCGGTCGATCCCACACCCAGGACCCGTCCACAAGCACTCGACTGTCTGCGAAAGCCAGCCCCCCCATGGTGGACACGCCCATCGTGGCAGGGACAGGCATGTCTGGCACGAGGCCAGCTCCTCTTCCCAGGACCTGCGAGTCTCCTCTCGTGCCCTGCCCCTTTGAGGCAACATCCGCCAAGGGAGGGCAAAAGGCCTCCTCCTTGCCTGGGAACACCACTCCTCCTCCAGCTGCGCCTTTCACAGGAGGGAAGGGGCCTGCAGAGGCGCCAGCGGCTACCTACAAGCCCAAGAGGGAGCCATATGGCGGATGGGGTGGGTTGGAATTTAAGACATAATACAAGAACGTCAACTGCAGCCAAAGACGTGGAAGGCATGCAACCTGCTGCCCTGCAATGAAGGGAAGCGTTAACGCTGAGTGAGCTTTTGACATGGCCCTTTGCCCTTCAGGCCATTACTCTGATTGATAGGGCTGGGGCACGGGAGAGGCCGCTAAAATGCCCTTCAGGACAGGCATGCACACAGCACCTCTGCAGGAGGCACCTGAGAATGGCACACCTTGATGGAGGTCTGTCGGAGGTATGGCTCGCCCTGGAGCTGGGCCGCTCGGGCTCCACGTGCCGGTAACTTCCAGGATACGCGGCGGCATTCTCGTACTGCTGGTATGACGGGTCGTATTGGCCATACATATCCTGCCAGAGCAAAGGACGGGGGGTTATTCAGCCACCCGTCTGAGACTCGTAAGAACAGAAGGGACCTGAGGCTGGACCTGACCAAAGGTCCATCTCATCCAGCATTCTGTTCCCAGGACAGCCAACCAGAGGTCGTAGGAAACCCAGCAGGAGGCTCCCACTACAAAAGTCACGTGCATTTCCATCATGCCTCCCTTAACAATGAACTGGTTCCCATTACAAGCCAGAGTAGGGGTGGAGTACAGTTGAGCACAGGCTGCCATCAAACTGGGGCTTGCTGTGTTGTATCTGCTCAACTGTGCTAACCAACCACAGTTTATGACCACAAAGAACCTGCAGAAAGAACTTTTTGGGGGGTTCTGAACTGTGGGTTGTTTGTGGTCAACCAACTATTGTGTATTAGTGCAGCTGGGTTCATGAAACACAACCCCCCACACTTCCCTCTGCCCATATTCTGGCAGGCTGTGCCGTGTGGCCCTGGCCACTGGCTCTCAGCTCTGGCTTGCGGGGGATGCGAGAAACTAGCGCTTCTGTTTCACACTGTTTAGTGGCTTCCACTGTCAGTGTGAACCACCGAACAGGGTGCACAACATGCTTACTGGCTCACAACATCCTCGAGTTATTGTGGTGAGAAAACTGAGCCAAAGGCCAGTAACCTCTTTTCTCTTTTCTTTTTTTCCTTTTCTTTCCACTGAATGCGGAATTTTAAACATAAATACTTTAATCTCCTGGCTCAGTAACATATCAATTCATGCTTATTTTATTGGTGAACAGCTCCAGAAGTCACAAACCCAAAGTGCTGAGACAGATTTACTTATTTTCAAATTTAGATGCCACTCAATAACAAACAAGTGCTCCACGACCATTCCCCTGCGGTCTTGGTTCCCTCCAAACAACCCCCCCCCCACCAGCCTCCAACCCTGAATCTCAATTGCTGTGCTGGTGTCACAGGCAGAAAAACGGCCAGGCAACAGGAGAGCCAGATCTACTTTACCTGGTAGTAAAGGTGAGCCGTTCGGGGATCCATGGGAGGATAAGGAGGTGCATATGCAGACGAGTAGGCGTCGAAAGGGTTCCGGTAGTAGTAGTATGGGTTAGGTGGTGGAACGAAGGCATTCTGAGAAGGCTGAGGGGGTGCCTGTTCTTGCTGCGAGGGGGGCCGAGCCGGCTGACCAGCACTCAGGGCTGTGGAGGCAGGCGGTGGGCCAGGGGCTGCCTGCTTGTCATGGGCAGGAGCTTGAGCACAGCTCGCTGGCAGCTGTGCGGAATTTGCTTCAGAGGGGCCCGCTGGGCAGAGCCTCTGGCTCGCGGCTTGAGTAGGGCTGTTTCCCGGAAGTGCCGGGGGATTTGATGAAGCTGGCAGCAGCTGGGGTGCCATGCCCTGCGATGGCAAAGCAGTCTGCGCTGGGTGCTGCAAGGATGTGGCTCTGTCCAGCGGCATGGGAGACTGCCTGTCTTTCGTTACCTGTGGATAGAAATGCTGTGGGCCGGGAGCCCCGGGAGCTGATGGAGCCATGTGGCCAGGCAGGTGAGGCCCCCCCCACTGATTAGTGAATGATGAGCTGGGCCCCTGGGTGTAGCTTCCCAAGCCACCAGGCTCCGGGGGCTTGGCAGCCGCAAAATCAAGTGCTCGGGGCGGCTCCTGACCATCCGAATTGCTCTTACTTCGGTGACTGGTCCCTCCCACAGGCCCCAGGCTGCCCACGCCCACAGCTGCGCCGCCTCGGGCGCCTGAGGGAGCAGCCCGGGGCTGGCTAGCACATTCGGGAGGCAGCCCTTCCAACCCAGTGCCCCTTTTGCTCTCCGGAGCCAAGTCCAGCGGCCCCTGCGAGGCAGGCTCTGCCAGCGAATTTGGAGGTGGACCGCAAGTTCTTTCCGAAGCACTGGGGGGGCCCTGGGGAAGGTTAGTGTTCGAGAGTGCCGGTGCGGCAGGCGCATGGACCAGAGGGCTGGGCGACAGCGTGTTTTCACCGGGAGGGTTCCCGCTGCCGTGCACTCCCAGCAATGGCTTGCTGCTGATGCCCGGATCTTTCACAGAAGGATCCTTTTCACTCCTGCTCAGTTGAGTTGCAAGCGAGAAACTGAGTGGCTGAGCCAAGCTGCAACTTGGCGGCTGGGCAATCAGGACTGGCTGGTTCTGCAGTGCCTCCGTGGGCGGAGAGGAAAGGAGGCTTGCGTAACCCGAACTCGCCTGGGAGCAGCCCGTCTCTTCGTCCCCCATTTTGGGAGGGTTCTCCAAGTTCTCCGAAGAGACGTTTGCAGCTGGAGGCAGTGCGGCGGGGGCAGAGCCTGGCTGGCCCGTCTGCGGCTCAGGCAGCCCTTCTTCTGGGGGCTGGACGACGTGAACCGCTGCAGGCTTGGCTGGAACATACACCGTGGGAGCAGCTGGGGCGAGCAGCACGTTGCCCCCAAAGTTGGGCAGCTCGCTGTGCGCCCAAAGAGTCGTGGCTGGACTCTCACACTTTTTGGCGACCCCCTGGGCCCGGGCCAAGGCTCTCTTCTCAGGCGCCGACGGCATGTTTTCCATCACAGCCCCACCCACGGCCTGCAGCGCATTTCCAGCCGTGCCCGCAATGGTCAGAGGCAAAGGGTGGCTCTGGGGCAGAAAGCAAGTCTCCAGGTTATCGGGAGGCTGCTCCAGATTTCCCGGAGAGACAAAACTGGGGGGGGTCTTCTTGGTGCTCCGTGGGCCAGGGCAATTCTCCCGCAGTTCAGCGACCACCTTCGCCTGGTCAGCCTCGGGAGGCCTGATGCCCAGCCCATGGGACCGGACCGGCTCAAACGAGCTGTTTGCGCTGGTCTGAAACACCCCCATCGGCTTCGGGGGGCTTGGGGTGGGTGCTTGAGAGAGACTGCGATGGTAACTTTTGCCCGGGTTGTGGTCAGCAGCGCCACCTCCCAAAGGGGATGAGTCAATCTGCTGGAAGAAGCCCAGGGAAGGCTCCGCCTCGGGTCTCCCCCTCTCTTGCTGGATGAAGGTGCCCAGCTCTTGTGGCCAGGCCGAACCCGAGGCGCTCCTGTGGCTCAGGCCGCTGTAGCTGGATGAGACACTGTCGGGCCGAGTGGGGCGAGGCGAGGCATCGGGGGCCTCCAGGTTGGGGCCTCCTTCCAGGGGAGTCACGTGGCCGGTCTTCGAAAGCGAGGGCCCCAGCAGCGACGCGTACCTGCTTGCATCCACGGCACCTGGAGATGGACAGCTTCGAGCCAGTGGCTCGTTGGGCAAAACCTCCTGATTCTGGACACACTCCTGGTTTTCAACATTTTCGTACTGAGGACCACCGCGGTTGCCGGGTTCAGTGAGACCAGCTCGGTCCTCGTGAGCAAAGGCAGGATCAGCCTGGGTGTCCTGCTGCATGGCCCTCGTTCGGAAGGACTGCTGGGCATCCTTTGGTAAAACCTCAGCCAGACTAGCCTGTGCTGGAGGGAAGGGAGCTGCGGGGACCTGGTGCGCGTGCAGCGGCTGATAATATGTATGTCCCATCGTCTGCTGGAAAGCATCGCTGTCCGCCTTGCCGGTCTGCTCAGTCAGCTCAGAGGAAAGGATCTCCTCGTTTTCGGCCTCATCCCCTTTGAAAAACATGGAGATTGTCCCTGCATCCATATCGGCCGGGCAATGCCCACCTGCTGTCTCAGACAGGCTGCGGTTTGAGGCCAATGGGCTATTTTCCTGAGCAGCTGCATTGCTGGAGGGATGGGAGGCCTCAAGGGGCTGCAAGTAGAAGTGCTCCTGCGGAAGCTGGACAGGCCAGGGACTCGCTCCTCCCACATTCCGCCAGGGGCTCTGCTGGGAGGCAGCTGCACTGGACGCATCCCCAAGTATCAGCGGAGCTTGCGTGGCATTTTGGACAACAGACGGCTGCGCAGGGCTCTGTTGGGGGGTCATGTGCGGTGCTGGCTGGGAAATGCCAAGTGTGGACTGAGCATAAAAGGCATTTTGTGAGAGGGGCTCTGAGTAAGGAGAAAAAGCATGTGCCTGGGGCTGTGAGCTACTCTGAGCGGGCATCCACTGAGGTACCATTTGTTGGCCAGGAGGGATGACGGGCAAAGGCGTGGGTGTTGAACAGGCATGGCCCGCGTTCCTATTCATCTCTTGTCCGCTCACTGGCCGATCTGGCATAGAAGCCGAGCCTTGGGGTCCCCAGAGAGAATTCTCCAGAGTGGCCCCCGTGCAACCAGTCTGCCCCACAGGGCTGTGGGCACCGTGCTCAACACCCGAATGCGCCTCGGTGCTGTTGGTCCGATGTGCGGGCGAGGACAGTGGGGGGGCTGCAGCGCTTGGAGCTGCGCGGCTTCCTCCAGGCTGAGACGCGGGTGCTGGCAGGCACAAGTCCGTGCTGCGAGAGTTTTCCCCGCTGTGTGACTGAGGAGCGTGGGGGAGAGCAGGGGGGGGGAATGCCATAGGGGGGAAACCTGGTGCAAGGGGGGGGTCCCCTTTGGTCGCGTGGCCTAACGGAGAGCCTTGTGGGGGTTGCCTGCCGAAGGCAAATGGGTCTCTCACTGGCTGCACTGGCCCGGGGGCTGCGGAGACAGGTGCGTTTGGCCGTCGGCCCAAGGGGCCGTTCCGCCAGTACATGTGCCGTGACGTCGCGGGGGGAGGCGGGCCCCCTGCCCCTGCCTGTGGAGGAGGCTGCATCACACACTTCCGGCGGGGTCAGATGCTCTCTGTGGAACGACTGCTGGACGCTGTGTGAACAGGCTTGTCTTCACACACTCTGCAATGGGGAGGGGAAAAGAAACCAGTCAGACATGCCCCACTGCACGAGGGCCACCTCGATGGGGGAAGAGGCACCGGCCCCTGGAGCAGCAGAGCCAGCCCACCGAGCAGCTCACGCCCGGCCCACCAGCCTCTCCCTCACCCACAGTCCGCCCGCTCCTGCGCTCTCTCCCTGCCCTGCGCCATTCGAGTGCCTCTGCTAAGTTCCGGCAAGTAAGAGTGGGACGCTAAAGCACACGGGTCATTTTGGCCCTAGCTCTTTTTCCTTTAGCCCACCCACCACTGGGAGGTGGCCCCCAAGAGCTGCTCCAGAATGGAATGCGGCCCTTGGGCTAAGGGAGGCCCTGCAGCCCTGCTCAGGGCTATTCCTCTTCTCTTACTGGCGGTTACAGATCTGAAGGAAGTTCTAAGTGTTACATGAAAATTGGTCTGTGCCATCCTGATCAGCTGACAGTTTTCGTACTTAAGTTATATATATATGAGGGGTCTTCAAAAAGTTCCTGCACTTTTTTGGTGCAATTTATAAGTTTCGCAGCCATCTTCACCACAGCGTGACAACTCCTGTACGAAAGTACAAGGGCAGCCAGACAGACTAGCTACATGGCACCCTGAGACACAACCTATTACTACGCCTCCCGCCCTCATCGCTTCCAACGAAAATATAAACTGGGGAAACTTTCTGAAGACCCCTCATACGTCAGCTTAGTTTGCAGATTGCAGTTTTCCATGCAATCATTATTGTTTACAGAATGAACAGGCCCAGTTTAAAGACATCAACATCTATTATCCAAAAGCCTCCCAAAAGGGAGACCAGGGAATTCTCCTGAGCTGAACTACATTCCTAGAAATGTGATGCAAAAATGCATCACACTGCACTGTTTTGCTGCAATACAAGGTGCAAGAAGCACTCGTTGACATTTGCTCATCAGACTGGAAGAAGATTTTGAGAAGGGCAGGAAGGTCTCCAACCTCATCCTGAAATGTGCTAATATTTTTTTTTAATAAGTGCTTTAGATGAAGAGGCGAGAGGAATCCTCATCACATTTACAGATTATATAACATTAAAAATAACAAAATGGAATTCAAAAAGCCTGTGACAGATAGAATGGTGGTTCAAAACACCTGCATTTCAATTTTTCAGACAAATGCAAGATGGGGGCAGCAGAGGGAAGATATCACTGCTTGGCAGTGGCACATGTGAAAAGCCTCTTGGAACTGAAATTGATCTTAAACTGAACTACAGAAAGGGCTAGTGTCAAACCTTTGAAGTGACCGTTACATTTTATTCTGCAACAGTCCGAAGTTCACCCGAGGGCAGTGCTGTGCACTGCCCTTGACGGAAAAAGTAGACCAGCTGGACAGGGCTCACAGGAAGGGGGGAGAGCAGGACACGAAAAGGGCCGGTGTGCTTGGCTACCATAGAGCAGGTAGGAGAAAAAGGTGAGCGTGGGAGCAGCTGATGGCATCCATCTGAAGAGCTGCTGCCTGGCAGAAGGCAAGGCAGAAGGCAGGGCTAGAGCTAAAAGGCTTCAACTGCAGGAGAGCAAATTTTGTTTGATCATCAAGAGAAGCGTTCTGAAGCTAAGAGCGTCTCACAGAAGAACGACTGCGATGGGCAGCTTCTCTTATCCAGCTCCAGCGATGCGTTCCCTGCAATGAGATGTGAATGGGAAGGAATGGCCAGGTCAGGCCCATTGCTTAGTGCTGGAGCCCCGCTTATGTTAAAAGCATAAACAAACCCTGACCATGAGCTTACAGTGGAGAGTGGAGTGGGTGAAGTCCCATTGAAAAGGTCCAAAATGACTTGCCATGGTACCTTTAACTAGACCGATTCCTTTGAGAGGGTGTCTAGGAATACAGCAGCGAAGGAAGCCAAGAACGATGGGCTTTCAGAAAGAGTGGCTTGGAGCAGGCCTCTTGCCAACTCACCCAAAGCTTATTCACTCCGAACAAACACAGGCCTGTTATCAGATACTCTCTGTAACAGGCTGATATGCCTTCCAGCTCAAACAAAGGACAGAGAGTTATGAAACTCCTAAGCAAACTTAGAATGCCTCTATTCACCAGGAGATCCAAGCCATGAACTAATTTAATAATAGTAACAATAATACTGATGCCAAAGCAGAACACCTGCTTTACATGTGGAAGGTTCCCAATTCAGGCCCCAGCAGCATCTTCCAGGTAAGGCCTGGGAAAAGTCCTGCCAGAAGCCTTAGACCACCACAGCTATTGGTCAGTGCCAAAAATACCAGGCTAAGTTGACAGGTAAAAAGACCTGGTAAAAGGCAACATGTGATGTTCTAATATAATCCAACAACATTCGAGAACCCTATACAGTTGCCCTAACATCCCACCCCCAACTACTTCACAGAAGCCCTTCCAATCTGAACTGCGGAGTTCTCCCCCTCCTCACTCACTAAACATTTTCCAAAGCCATGTCACAAACTTTTCTCTGGCTTCCTTACTACCTGATGTGCAAAGCATCCAGCTTAATTTAAAGGGCGCAAAGAATTAAAAAAAACAAAAACATAGTTATTGGTATCTATGATCAGCCACCCAGCGAAAAAGAGGACAAGGACTCAACTTGCAAAAAGCAACTTGCCAGAGTTTCCAAGAAGAATGATGCAGTCACCATGGGGGACTTCAGTTTCCCTAATATATGCTGAGAGACAATTTCTGCCACACATGGCCCCTCCAAGCATTTCCTGACATGCGTCGCCGACAACTTCCTCTGGCAGAAGGTACAGGAAGGAGCAAGAGGATCATCTATCCTCCATTTAATACTAACTAACAGGGATGACCTGGTAGACAAAAATAGCAGCCACAGGAACTCTGGAGGAAAGTGACCGTGCAATACTTCAACTCTCAGTTAGAAAGAAGACAAAGGTTAACTGCAGCCAAACCCATACCCTGGACTTCAAGAAAGCCAACTTTAACAAACTCAGAACAATGATAAGCAAGGTGTCATGACTACTCACTCTTAAGGGAAAAGGAGTACAAGAAGGGTGGGAAATCTTGAAAAAGAAGATTCTCCAAGCACAACTACAAACATTTTCATCAAGAAAAAAAGTGTAGAAGACAACAGAGGAAGCTCACATGGCTCAACAGAATTGAAAAAGAACTTGGAGTTGTTGTTGATAACAGGCTAAATATGAGCCAACAATGTGATCCAGCTGCCAAAAGAGTAAATGCTATTTTGGGATGTATTAATAGAAGTATTTCTTCCAAACTACAAGAAGTATTAGTTCTCTTATATTCTTCACTAGTCAGAACTCATCTGGAATACTGTGTCCAGTTCTGAGCACCAAGTTTTAAGAAAGATGCAGAAAAAGTTAGATAGGGTCAAGAGGAGGGCAACAAAAATGATCCAGGGTTTGGAATCACTGCCTTGTGAGGGGAGACTGAGAGAACTTCAGAAGACTGATGTTCAGCCTTGAGAAGACTGAGGGGGGCCATGATATCCCTCTATAAGTACCTCAAAGGCTGCCACAAGGAGGAAGGTCTCTTCTTGCTTGTACCAGACTGTAGAACACAAAATAATCCATTCAAGTTGTGACAACACAGATTCAGGCTAAATATCAAGAAGAGTTTCCTCACTATCAGAGCAGACCCTAACCCTATTCTCTGATTCCATGTATCACCGTCAACAGCTGCTTTTGAAACCAGGAATGCGGGATTAGAAGGGAAGTTGGATCTCACCCAGCAAAGCAGTCTTCCCCGTGATTACACAACACTAAGAGAAGCCAGCTGTTTCTTAGCCCAAGTCCCTTCGACAGCAGCCTGATGTGGGAAAACTGAGCAGAGGCCACCTTGTGATATGGAGCTAAAGCTGTGCAAACCGCTTCACTTGATTTCTGCATGCCAGGCCACCAGAGCCATTTTTGTGTTGTGGCCTAAATTACACGTATCTCAGCACTCACCCTGTGCAAAGGAACATTTCTACAGCACTTGTATGAGTGACCAGGTGGATTGTGCCCAAAGATTTCAGTCAGGTACCACAGTAATCATCAGACACCCCTCTGGCAGCTCAATCTTGAATATTGCTCAGGCAGGTTCAATAGGTGCCAAATTACTGGCACCAAATAAATCTTTCTTTGACAGGACTTTTAGAGCATGGGTTTTTAGTACTTATTTTTTACGAACTGCCCATGTGTATGGAAATGGGGCAATGTATACATATTTAAAAGAGTAAATAAATAAAAACCTGCTATCCTGTTTGCTCTCGGGTTCTGTTGTTTTACAGGTTTTGTTCTTGTTTAATGATGTTAAGTGTAACAATTTTTAAATTGCAAATATTTTCTGAAAGCTACAGAGCAAAACACAAATCCCCACAACATATAGCATGTCTCCAACAAGGCTGGCTAAGGGATCCAGGGACTTGTAGGCCAGCGCCTCTGGAGAGCGCTGGGTGAGAGGATGCTGGCTGAGCATGTCAGGAAATCCGGAAGGCCCCACAGAGGGATGCTGAGCACTGTAGTCCGACAATCCCTGAGTCAACCAGGCTGTGGGACGGCAGGCACAGTCAGGCCATGTGGAAGGCCCCAGCTGGGGGATAACCGGCATTAGGGCCCAACGTCTCCAGAGTGCATCAGAGCAGGGGAAAATGGGCACTGTAGTCGTCCCTGCAGACATCGCTCGGTGACGACGCGGATGGCGGGAGAAGCTAGCCAAGACAGCCAGAACGGCCCGGCTGGGGCGTGCTGGGCGCTGCAGTCCCACGGCTCTGGAGGACTCGGCGCTCCCCAGCCGGCGCCCACCCTCGGGGCCCGCAGGGTGCCCTGCGCCTAGGAGGAGAGGTTCGCCGCCGCCGCCGCCGCCCAAAGGCGCCCCTCGGCTCGGCCCGGCCCGACCCGGCCCGGCCCCGCGGCCCCGGCCCCATCGTCACCTGCTCCCCGCGCGGCCCCTCAAGGCCGGCGGCGGCGGCGCCTCCCCCGGCAGTCGTCAGAGCCGCAGCCGCGGCCGCCATCTCGGAACATCCGGCTCGCGCGGCTACGTGTCACGCTCGCCACGCTCCGTGCGCGTGACGCCACCACGCCGAGGACCCGCCCGTCCGCCCGCCCCTCCCTCGTCTTCCTTCTGGCACAGAGAATGTGGACAGACTTACGAAAGTATGTAAGTGTGCAGACGCGCACGCAGGGGCGAGCTTCCGGGCTCACTCAAGCCGAAGGTCGACTCACCTTCTTGGTTAGGAAACCTTTTCCATGCCGAGTGCGCGTGTGCCGGAAGTGGATGCGCTGCCCCCTCATCAGGAGTGGCCGGCACTGTGGCCGCTGATTTCTTATTGCATCACATTGCTGTACCGCCCGTAGCCGAACCTGTCTGAACGGTTCACAACGTTTAAGTCACACATCCAGATTTCAACCATGCCCGGCCCAACGGCATGGCCTCCAACCCCGCTGTAGTTGCAAAAAACCCGCCCCCAACCATGCAAACGGGAAAAAAGCGGGGTTCAGTGGAGTAGCCTGAAAAAGGAGCACGGCTGGAATAAGAGCACTCCATAGTGCAGCATATTATTACAGCAATTCCCTCTTGCAGTTTGCGGCAAAGAATCGTCACTCCCCCCGCCCCGAAAAGCGAAACGAGGGTCTGTGGGAACCTCAAATCTCCTCCTCCAGCAGAAGGCAGCCTACTCTTGCTCTCTCTATGGAAACATGGTAGGAGGAGCCGGCAGCCCTACCATAGAGATGCAGGAGGCGTGTTCCCGCGGGGACCGGAAGTGGGGCCACCTCTAGCTCTCTGCTCTCGATGGTGAGACGTGGCCTGGTTGGCGCTGCTGTGAGGGAGACGGGGCGGCGCGGCCCTTTCGGGCGGGAAGCGCTGGGAATAGTCGAAGGCGAGTTCAGGTCGGTTGTTCGATCTGTCCGGGATGCGAGCCGAGTGCCGCACAGCCGGTAGGGCAGTAGGCGGGTCTCCGAGTGCGGTTTGCCTCTGAGCATGCACAGAGCGCCACGCAGGAGATGATGCGTGGGGTTTTGCGGGCCCCGAAGACGGAGTTAAAAAGACACAACTCGAATGCATTTAATGTTTGTAAAGTGTTGTTGCTGTAACTATAAAAATACAGACCATGTAAAATATCTTTTATATCATGACTGTGTATGTAGATTGGGATATGTGCATAAATCACATTATTAATTCATTTACATACCGCCCAATAACCATGGCTCTCTGGGCGGTTAACAAGTTAAAATTAAACCGAATTTAAAATGAGAAACTGAACGCTAAAACTAAAAGAACAAAACCGCAACTGCAGTTGCTATTGCAGTATTCAGCACAGAAACACAGCGGTGGTACAGAAATAGAATATATGTTGCATAAAGTTCTGCTGGGAGATCATGCTGGGCGCTGGAGAACTTTTCTCTGTCCAACAGACATGGGACAGCAGCCTAAAAATGTAGTATCTGATGAAAGTGAAAGAAGAAAGTGCAAAAGCGGAACTGCAGCGAACATTAGGAAAACGAATTGCACATTTTTAAGGCAACAATGAAGAAATCGAAATTGTGAAAGATTTTGCTTATCATTGTTCAGTCAGCAGTTCAAAGGGAGGCTGCAGCCAACAAATTTGAGCAAGGGTTGCTGGCAACTAACCGTCCACAACAGCTGGAGAGACGGCCGCCCAGGGTAAGCGGCCGAGGCTCAAGGCGAAGTGGCCACGTCTGACCTTGTGCAGTCCCGGCACAGGACATCGCAGGGCTGCCTTGGGTTAAGCTGGGCATTCTGTGCCCCCCCCCCCCCATCGCCGGTTGCTGAGACTTTTCAGAACCTTGTGAAAAGTAAAACCAAGGCACTGTATGTGCAATCCACTGCATCTTGGACATGCAAGGAGGTTGGAAGAGTTTTTTCCCTGTCTAAGCAGGTATAGGTATGCATCCTAAATAACGTGAAAAATAGAAGATCACAAAGTCTTTGCTGGACTTTCTGCCCCCAACAAATTCCAATTTACTTTTTGAGTTGTGTGGAGCCATCAAAATGCCCTCCTTGCAATAAGATATAAGACAAAGCAAGACCACAGTCCTCTTTTAGTAAAATTCTAGAATGCCTGTGGGCATCGTTTATTGCAAATCAGTTAACCAAAAAAATACACATCATTTTTGCAAACTACAATCTTGCATGAACGTTTTTATTATTACAGAAGGTTGTCTCTTTTTAAAAAATCTCCCACAACACCCCCACTGATAAACTACACTCTAGTTTATAAAACATAAAAGATTTAACACCAGAGGGTGTTTTTTTAATCATTTGCTTTACAGTTGAAAATTTAAGGGGTGTTTATTCTAAAGAAACATGCCTTGGTAGACTTCTTAGGCTTGTTCTTTTGTGCACAAACTCCAGCGAAATGAACCATTGCTAGTGACTGGGACTCATAACTTCCCCTCTTGAGTAATATTCCAACACCTCTAAATCAGCACACTCCTTTCCATTTGACTTAATTCAGATTTTTTAAACAAAATCCACCCTTACAATTTTATTTTTGTTTTAAAAAACCCTTATTTACAGAACTTGGCCATAGGCTTATACTATATATATATATTTGCTTGTTTTTGTTTTTACACAAGGCCAATTCCCCTGATCCATTCTCCTGGCCTCCAAAAGAGCAAACATCCCATAGGAAAGACAACATGCCGTTATCCTGAAAATGAACAAGATCTTTTTTGAAACAACACAACTGATATCCTCAGAAGCCACAAACTTCAGCTCACGCAGAGGTTTTGGGCTGGTTCAAATTCAAGGAACATCAGAGGCAGGCAGAGGGAATTCTTACCGTGATCATGTTGAAAAATGGCTTCCCGGTCTTTGGAAGTGTGTGTGAGAGATGGGCCACAAAAAGGGCTGGAATTGCTGCCCTGGACTTCGGGGTTAAGTTTTCAACCAGGATACGCGTCTTCACAACAAAACACCCTTTTTAGCACTGTGACATGCCCTGGCCCAGTTTGCCTAAGCAAACACTTACCCATGATTTAGTTAACCATAGTTAATCCTACCCCTACCCAGGGTTTGTCTGGCAGATGATCTAACAAGCCATTTTGGCTTTGCAACAGTGGGTTGTTTGCTCTTTTCTTCTCTCTCCTCCTGCCTCTGTGTATCCCAAAGTCTCTGCAGCCCTGTCATACTGACATGAAAAACAGCTGCACTTTTTTAACCAGTCTTGCCTGCCACCTTTGCAACCTGGCAAACAACCCATGAACAATCAATGGTTCCAGGTCTATGTGTGGCAAGAACCCATGGTTTAAACAGCCCTGGATTCACAATTCCACAAGGAATGGGAGCATCCTTTGTTCATGTGGCGGTGCCCACCCATCATGCCAACTTGAAATCTAATAACCTAAACCACGGGCTCGTATAGCGTGAGAGCCGGAGCCCAGCCGCTCTCTCGGGTTCCCAAGCACGTCGCATGTTGGGGGCTCTGCGGATGCAGGGTGGGAAGGGGAAGGCAGGATCCTCCCTTGCTGGGGTCACTGAGGACAGCCCCCTTTTTCCTCTCCCCCGTGGAAGTGACTGCAACGTCAAGCCTCAGAGACGAAAACCCTCCCGCGGGGGCCCCGAGTGCGCACACCCCCTGTCCCTCCGGCCCGGGGAATCCGCCCCGCTGTGTCCACACACACACGGATGCACACACGTTGCCAGCAACAATGGGGGCATGGGGTGGATCCCAACTATTTGGATACGTCTTTTAAAGCAATACCCAAATGCTTGGGTATTGTAAGCACAACATTATTGCAACAGTTAAAAAAAAAAGGCTCAAACATGTTGGAGGTGAAGCTTAATTGCCCTCCTTCCGCACCAAATCCTTTTCGGGCTTTTGGTGCATTTTACATATTTGCAACAGGTGAATCACAAGACTTTTTTTTTTTTTTTTGGATGGGGGAGGGGGAAGGAAGCATCTTGATTTCCTTTGTAGCTCAGAACCATGATCTTGGTTTTTGATCATTGGCAGTATTTAAAATAAATTAAAAAACCATGCTCTGCTATCTTCTAAAAAGACAAGATGTACAAAACTATGTAATACTGAAACTTTTAAACAAAGATTCATGGCTGGAACTCTAAAATGTTCCCTGCTGTCTATCGTCATCCGAGGGAAAATTTTAAAGCACTTTAAAAACAATCCATCAACTTATATTTAAATTATCCTCTCAAACAGGTAACATTTTCATCAATTTGCCCCCATCCCACAAAAAAAGCCTTTTCCATACTTTTAGCAACAAGCAGGAAAAGATCCTGCTCAATAAATAAATCTAATTTTATAATCATGAATCTTTGCTTATAGCTTTACAGAGGAAAACTCTACATGGGAACATCATGATACAAAAGTTTTTAAAAGTTTCCTAAAAAAGAAAAAACATACCCCATTAATATTTTTTTTAAAACATTTCTCAGAGCACAGCAAATTTATCCCATCAAATTCTTAACACAAAATATAAATAAAAAGGCAGTGTTTTCATGTAAAATAAAAAGTACATAAATAAATACTAAAAAAAGCAAAAGGAAGAAACATTGGATTTTCCGCTTATCATGTATGTAAAAATATTTCTTTTCTTTGAAAAAGGGTCCCTGGAGTCCAACCATGTCTCTCTCCCCACACAAGGCATCCCTCCGGGGCGCTTGTGCACGAGGGATGATCCCTCCCCGGCCGAGTAATTCCTCCGCTCACTTGAAAGCTTCTGGGATCGGGCCCATCTGCGACTGCATGCTGGTGGGTGGGCTGGAGATGCCTTCCGACCAATCCGAGAGGTTGGAGTGCGGGGAGGAGCTGGACCACTGGTCGGGCGACTCCGGGGAGGGCGTCAGGAAGGGGTGGTCGGGCACCTGGAGCTGATGGCTGGGCGTGTGGTCCAAGCGGGAGGAGTAGCTGTGCTGGGAGGGCGGCGTGAGGAACTGGGTGGTGGCCATGGGCTGGGTGAGGGCCGAGGGCAGCGGGGTGGCGAGGGCCGGGCCGTCGGGGGGCAGGATGGCGTGGACGGCCAGCGCCCCGCCGCCGACTTGCTGCACGTCGGGCTGGCTCAGCTCGCCCGCGAGGAAGCTGGGGCCCCCGTGGGGGCCACTGTGGGGCTGCAGCGGCGGCGCCTGCAGGCGGCCGCTCGGGACGGGCTGATAGCTCACGAGCTGAGGCAGCGGGGTGGCGGGCAGGCCCCCGTGCAGGGAGGCGTGCGGCCCGTGCTGCAGCGGCTGGCCCGGTGGGTGCGCGGCCTGCGGCAGGAGGCCCCTCGCGGGGTTGTACTGGCCGGCCACCATGCCGTTCCGCAGCGGGCTGAGCCAGTCGCACGGCCCGCTCAAGCCGGGGGCCCCGCTGATGGTGAAATTCACTGGGGCACCCCCCATGGCGGCGCCGGGGCTGGAGACGGGCAAGTGCGAGAGGCGCGGGGGCACCGGGTCAAAGGGCGGCATCCGGTTGCCACACACGCCCGTGTCTTGCTTGCCCACCAGGCTGAGGTGGCTCATGCTCAGGTGGGCGTCGGGCATGCCCGGTAGGTGGTTCAAAGGCATGGGGGGAGACTGCTGGAAGGGAGAGGCCATCAGGGGCGGCGATGCAACGTCCGACAGGTACCCGCGGGGTGACTCCAGGGAGTCGACGGGCGAGAGGACGCCGGAGCCGTCCAGCAGGCACCCCTTGCCCTCCTGCGACTTCTTCCGGCGGGCCTTGAGATCCTTGGCGTCCTTCCCGTTGGAGCCCAGCCCCTTGGCACTCGGCTTCCGGGGCTTCTTGCCCTGCAGGGCGGGCTTCAGGTTGCTGATGTAGCTGCTGGGCGAGCACAGCGGCGGGGAGAGGGTGGGTGCCCCCAGCGGCCCGTTGTGCATGGGCGGGCTCCGCACCAGATTGTACTCGTCCAGGAGCCGCACGATGTCGTGGTGCATGCGCTCCTGGGCGATGTCGCGGGGCAGGCGGTCCATGTGGTCCGTGATGTCCCGGTTGGCGAAACTATCCAGGAGAACCTTGGCGGTCTCGTAGCTCCCTTCTCTGGCCGCCAGGAAGAGAGGGGTCTCCTCCTAGAAACGCAGGGGGCGGGGCTTCAGTTGTGAAGGGAGACACCGCTGCGGGGCCCCTCCTCAGCTGGAGGAGGTCGAGGGAGCTTCCCCGCGGAGCCAAACATTTGCATCCCAAGCCAGCCCCGTGCGCGCAGCCCCCCATCCCTCCTCACTGAAGGTGAAGCACGGTTTTAATGCAAGGAAACGACCCTCGGGCAGCATCTCGGCCACGGACGCCACTTCCAGGGGAGCTTCCGGAGCGCCCAAGCACTCGCGGAGGTGGGGCACTGCAGGCGCTCAGTGTCTCCAGGCGGATGGACACATTTGCACTCGGGGAGCGCTGTGGGCTCTTTCACACAACGGCTGCCCTGCGGGCCCCTGCTCTTTTGTGAAGTGGCTGGCACAGTGGGCGAGGCCCGTCACGTAACGCTCGCTTCCGAGAAGGCACGCTGGGGGGCGTGCCAGACCACCCCGTGCCAGAGAGCAGAGGTCCGAGCTCCCAGGTGGAGGAGCACCCTCTGGAGCAGTGCGGGAAGGCAACACTTTGTCTCCTCGCTGAGAAAGGAGCAAGTCCAAGGAAAGCCTTCCTCAGAAATGAAGCCAGAAGGGCAGGCAGCCGGCTGGGGCTGAGAGGGCTGCTGTGGCGGCTCCCGGCCGGCCGGCCGGCCAAGCGGAGCTGTGGCATCGCGCGAGTCCCCGCCCCGCCCCGCCCCGCCCCCACGCGCAGGCGCACGCGCACGGGCCCTGCTCCGGCCGAGCTGCCCACCTTGTTGTTCTGCATGTCCTTGTTGGCCCCGTTCTTCAGCAGCGCCACAGCGGCGTCCACGTTGTTCACGGCAGCTGCCCAGTGCAGCGCCGACTTCCCTGCAGGGGGGAGGCGGGTGTTCAGGCAATGAGCTGGCAGCCCCCGCCCGCCCCCGCCCTCGCCCTGCCCCAGGCACGCGAGGCGGCCCTACCGAGATCGTCCACCGCGTTGACGTCCGCGTGGCAGCTGATGAGGTCCTCCAGCATGCCCTCCACGGCCAGGCGGGCAGCCAGGATGAGCGGCGTGGTGCCATCGTGCATGCGGGCATCCAGGTCGGTGGCCCTGTTCCTGATCAGAATCTGCCCCCAGAGAGACAAGGCGGGTTATTCCTCGTCCGGCGTTCGCTGCACGGGGGCTGAGCGTGCTGCTGCAGGGGCCAAGGGCAAACAGCTTCCCACAGAAAGCAGCTGGGGAGGGGCACGGAGGGGCTGGGGGCTTTGCTTCCCGACACTGCGGCTCTGCCACCCGGGGCCGCCACTTTCGCCCCTGCGGGGTGCCCAGCCCAGCTGCTTCTTGCCAGAGCCCAAATTCCCTATCGGGGGAGCTCTTTGGAGCCCCACTGCAGGGTGGGAAGGACCAAAGGTAGCCTGGGGTGGGGGGGCACCAGGAAGGAGCACATGGTTTAAAGCTCTTTCTGCCACAGCGCCGTCTCCACAGAGGGACCTCAGGGGGCCCCAGCAGTCTGGATGGAAGGCTCCTCCACCCCGAACCCTGAGCACAGTCCTCCCTTGGAGCCAGATGGGTTGGGGATGAGGCGCGTTTCGTAAGAACGCTGCTCTCAGGCAGCGCCCATCAGAGCCGTGCTCCCTCCTACCTTGCCCATATTCAGCCGCTGCCAAACGGGGACCCCCGTTCCCTTCCTTTCTCAGAAGGCTTGGCCCCGCTCCTCAGGGGGCCTTGCCCTCCTGGGCCAGACAGCCGGAATGGCCACTTGCCTGGCTTGGTGCAGGCTCAGTGGGCGAATCGGTTCACTCCCCCGCCCCGCTTGACCTTCCCTGTTCTACAGCGTCTCCCCCACATCTGCGGTGGTCGGTTCTCAGTGGATGCTCCTGCATCTGCCCCACATTCCAACCCTTCTCCACCTCCACTTGCACTTTCTAACTGGAAATGCTCTTTGGAGAGAGACAGGCCCCTTCTCTGCATGGGAGGGACACCCATGTAAGAACAGTGGAGACAAATGAAGGATCACTGTGAAAGCAGCAGACAACTGGGGGAAAGAAGTGGGGCAGCAGAAAGAGGTGGGGGGCCAAGGCAACGGGGCAAGTCCCCCAGGCAGGAGCCCAAAAGGCCATGCAGGAATACCGGGATGGCCCAACCTGCCCTCCAGTCATTCTTGCTGAGAGAGCTTTGGGCAGCCACGTGCTGGACTAGTCTGTTATTTTGGTCTCCGCTCTCTGCCTTCCACCCAGCCCACTCTGGGATGCACCCCCCAGGCCACCCCCCCAAGCTCAGTTCAGCCCTCACCACTGCTCCAGGCCAGGGGTCCTGAGAGGCAGCCCTCGCACCCCTGGGGATCTGGGGGAGTCACACTGCCCTCACCTGGAAGACACCCTGAGCGTCGGCTGACACCGCGGCGTGTAGTGGCGTCTTCCCCATGTGGTCCTGGACATTGGCGTCGGCGCTGGCTTCCAGCAACCTCTTGGCGGCATCCGAGCGGGAGTAGCGGGCGGCCAGGTGCAGCGCCGTCTCCCCCGTGCGGTCTGTCTGATTGTGCAGGTTGGCCCCCTGGTAGATGAAATCCGAGATGACGGCAGGGGCATCCTCCTCCTCCTCACTGTTGCCGGTCTCCAGCCCTCCCCCGCTGCACGAAGCAATCATCAGCGGTGTGAACCCGTCTGCAAAAATACACGGGGAAGGGGCACATGAGCCAGAGCGGGGGCACACAACCCTACAGGAGCGCCAGTCGCTCGCATGGCCTGGCGGACTTCCTGGACCGGCGGGGCTGGCTCTGGCAAGCATCCCCAGGCCCAGCAACGGGAGCCGGGGTGGTGGCAGAGAGAGATGCAGTGCACCGCAGCCCCGCAATGAGTTTTGTGCAGGACGGCCCGTGGTGTGAAAGCTCGCTCCTGCTTGGCCAAAGACTGCTGGGAGACGCAGCAGCACAGCAACTGAGGGTGTCGGCGGGTGGGGAATTATTTTCTTGTTGCTGTCATTAAGCAACTGAGAAGCAAGAGCGAGTGCCAATCCGCTGTCATTCACCCAGAGCCGTGCCGCGCACCCACCTGCCCGCTCTCTTGGGACAGTCCTCAGGCCTGGGCACAGCCTGAGGGAGCTGCCGCCGGCCACAAGCTGGGCACGGCTGTCCCAGAAAGGGCAACGCAGGCCTGTCCTGTCGCTCCGCAGCTCCGCAAGGGGGCCGTGGGCCCCGCTACAGGGACCCTGATGCCCAAGGAGGAAAGCCAGGCCTCGCGCGGCACTGCATGCTGCATCCATGCAGTCGGGGGGGGGGGGGGCTCGTGCGCCACCTGGTCCTCGCACGTTGACATCCATGCAGTCTGCGTCAATTTCCCCCTGCGGGGGCGTGGGGGCCATGGCGGACATGCGCAGGTCAGCCGCGTCGAGGTGCTGCTGCGTCCACTGCCGGTGGTCTGTCTGGTCATCCACGCCGGGCAGCATGACCTGCTCCTCCACCTGGACGGGAGGAAAGGGAAGCTTCAAGAGGATCCGCTTGAACTAGACACGCATGCAGAGAACACGCCTGTTGCGCAGAGGCGAGCATGCAGGACACACACACCGTCATCTGCCTCGCACACCAACAAAATAAAAAGTGAACTCCTGAACTATACATTCGGTAACCAGATTTGCAACAACCGTTTCCCTGAATTATTTCCTTGTATATACTGGCAGGTTGCCTTTGAACAAAACGATTGAAGTGGTAAACGCAAGAGCAACACCGTGACTGCTGGCACTTCGCAGGGAAGCTGAAACGATCCCGACCAGGTCACACCGTGGGGAAAACCTGCCCGAAGGTGGGACAGGTGCGGGCAAGAGCAAAAAGGCACACTCTGCCTGGGGAGGGGAAAGGAGAAGTGCAGCTATTTCAGGGTCTTCCTTCCCGTGGGGTGGGGAGGGCAGGAGAAAGGGGCTCTTGGCGCAGAGAAGCCCCCGCCCCTGGCCACAGGATCCGGAGGCTCCTCCCACGCCTCCGCCTGCAGGGCCCCAGTGCTGAGCGCCCCACCCAAAGGGAGGCCACGGCACAGCACGCCACGCCACGGGGGTTGCCGGTAGCGGGCTCTCCGGGCAAGGCCATGCACTCCACAGCCACCCTGCCACCTTCCGTCCCGCTCCCTGGATCCGACCCCGTGGAGGGCAGAGCTTTCCACTGGCGTACCCTGTACTTTTTGGTGTCCAGTGTTTCTTCATCGCCCCATTCATTCTGGTTGCCGTCCATCAAAGTGCCGTTAGACGCATTTTTCAAGGGTCTGTTGCATGGAGGAGGAGAAGGAAGAATGGTTTGTGAAGGTCGAGTGAGGTAATGTGCCCACAAGCTCACTGAGGGGACGGGAGGGGAGAATGTCCGACCGAGGGGGGATCTCAGTCCTCGCCCTGCACGGTCCTTCTGGAGTTAACGGGATGTGCCCGTGGTTAATGTTTCTCCAGACACTTTGGAAAGCAAGCCACAGGCCAGGTGGCGTCCTGGCCAAGAGCCTTCCTGAGCTTCAAGAGCCTTGGGAGAAGCCTTCTTGTGGTCCCTCCCCTACCAGAGGCAGACCTTGTGGAGACGGGAGGGGGCCTTCCTGGGACCACCCCCTGCCTCTGGAACCCCCTGCTGAGGTGGCTCGATTGGCTCCCTCTCTGTTTTCCTTCTGTCAGCAGGCAAATGCATTTTTATTTAGCTCGGCTGATGAGCTGATGGTCACCTAAGCACTGCGTGGCTGAAATAATTTTTAATCTGGTATGAGCTCTTTCCCCCCTTTTTATTGCTCTATTTCTATCAGGATGTGTTTTTATCTGGAATGCCTCAAAGTTCTATGCTGTCATTAGCTACCACAAGCATTAATTTTAGTGGGAAGGTGGGATGTAACTTTCAATAAGTCCATATGGTGCAGTCACAGATCTTGAGCAAAGTTGTAAGTTGGAGGACGTGGAGATTTCCTCGCCCAGAAGAAAGTAAGGCTGCAGTGGAGCCCTTCCCTGTGCCGCCCACCTCCAACAGCTGGGAGACAGGCTGAGCGAGGCTGACCTCCTCCCCAGACGGGACTGTGTGGGAGAGCCGCCTCACAGCGCCAGAGGCAATGCAGAAGGGGACTTGGGACAGGTGCACCCTGGCCTGCAGCAGGAAGGTGGCATTCTCGGCTTGACGTGGTGAAGAAAAAGCAAAGGAAATCTGGAGGGAGGGAGGGAGGGGGTGCCGGGCAAGCAGCGGGACAGTGGCCCACCTCTCTGAGCCATTCACCCTGCCAGTTTTCCCCACTAATCGCTTTTCAAGCTCACCCATTACTGTTTAACTGGAGCAGAGGAAGTGGCCTTAAAAGACAGAAGACCCCTCGGCCCATCACACCCAATATTCTCGGATCCAACCAGCAGCAGCTGCCCAGCCCGCGCAGGGTTCCCAGTGGGGTTCTGTCCCAGCCTTGCCTGAGGAAGCCACAAACGACCCTTCTGCCCGCAAAGCGGGGTCTTTGCCAGGAAGCCACGGTCCATCTCCAGGCAGTGCCAAAACACCTGTGCCTAAGTGGGGCCTGGAGAAGTCACGGGGCATCCCTCCGAAAACCTAACGCCCTCCTTCCTTTCTCTGTAGAGCTGCCAAGCCAAAAATATTTGAATCGACCTTGTGTGTGGGGTGGAAATCCAGGACAACCCAGGAAAGGGAAGAGAATCTGGGCCCCGTGCAAGGCGGGGGGGAGGCAGGGAACTGTCTTTCTCAGGCCAGGTGGGCAGCACAGCGGCAGCCGAGTCCAGCTCTGCGCTGCTCCGCATGTCAACGCAGAAGGGATTACTCACTTCAGTCCCACAGAATCCTCCCCCAGCGGCTCCCGTCGCTTCTTCTTTTTGTCCGTCACTTTGAAGCCCTCAGGGAACCAGAGCTGCCCATGTTCTCTCCGCCGCTTGCGAGATGCCAAGACTCCCACGCCGATTAAGAGGAGCAGGAAGAGAGAAGGCCCCACCACGTACATAGGATAGAGCGGGGTGCTGATCGGGTGATCGGTCGTTTCACCTAAAAAAGCGGGGAACGGGGTGCACCGAGAGCACACAGAGTTAAGCTTCCATAGCAAGTCAGAGGCAGAGTCAAAATGAAGCAAAATTAGTTAATAACTGTCCGTCCGGCTCATCTAATTCTCTCCCCCACCCAAACCACCGCCCTCCCAATCTCCTCCAAAGCCCTCTGGAGGAAGAAGATGAAGAAGAAGAAGAAGAAGAAGAGAAGGTCATTTTCTCCACGATTCATCAGAATTGCAAACTCTGAACTGCTTCTGCGGCTGCACTGGGGAAAGAGGCTTTCCTTCCTTGAAGGGAAAAAAGGATTAGCAAACTTCAAATCGTTGCATTGGCATTGAGCTGTTAAGTCAAAAGGATTGAGGGGGGATTTGGAAGATGCAAACTTCAACACTTCGCATGTCATTGATCGATTACAAGGTTTGGGTTGCGGGGTTTGTTTCCCCTCCTCTCCTTTCTCCACCCCAGCAGTAATGATTTTGAAATAAGCTCTGGATGAGAAGCAAAACTTAAAAGGCAGGTTGTCTAAACACAAAAACAAAACCAAAATAAAGAATGTCTTCAAGAGACATTCAATTGCTGCATTTTTAATTATGTTTATATGGATCTGTTTTTATGTTATGTTTTAATCAAGATTTCAGTTTGAATGTATATTCTAATGGCCTTTAGTGCCATTTTTGAGAGAAAGATGATATAGAAATTAAATGATTTTATATTGTTAAGTATGAGCACCAACCTGCATCCCTCCACTGCATCCCCTTTGACACCACTATCTAAAATATTGTCCTTAGACCTACAAGTGGATGCATATGGTTTATTTTCTTCTATGTATTTATTATATATACCTTGCCTTTTTTTCCTTCAGGGAACCCAAAGCAGCTTTTATAGAACCCATTTTATCCTCACAACAGCCCTGTGAGGTAGGTGGGGCTCAGCTCAGTGACTGGCCCACGTCCCCCAGTGAAGCTTCGCGGTGAAATGGAAAATCCGAGCCCAAGTCCCGGCCCAACCCTCCCCATCCTGGCTCTTCCAGCTGTGTTGGACTACAACTCCCAGCATCCATTAGCCAGCCACACTTCAACATGGGACTAAGGCTAGCATTTTATGCTCAGTGGTTCCCATTTTAAGATCCATATACTATGCAGACCTTTTAAACATATAAATCAGAGGCGCAGTTACTGGTCACTCTCATAGAAGTGACTCCAACTCCCGTGGAAGCCCATCCCATCTCCAAGGGGTCCTAACTGTCAGGAAGTACTTCCCCACATCCAGCCTGAAGCCCGGGTCCTGGCACTCTGCCCCACTGGAGTTCATCCTTCCCGCCACCGCACTGGGGAACAGGCCGTGACCCTCCGCCGTGCGACACGCCTGCACACGCCCGCACTCACACTCTGAACGTCCTCTTCTCCCCGAGGGGAAGGGTTCCCCAGTTCCCTCACTGCCCCCCGCATGGCATCCCGCAACCCTCCTACCGTCCTTGCGACCCTGTGCTGAACCGAGCCCAACCGGGCTGTTTCCCGCTCGCCACGTGGAGCCCAGCACTGGCCACGGGGCTCCGACTGGGCGCTCCAGAGACTTACAGGGCAACTGCCGCCTTCTGGCTATGCGCCCAAGGGTGGCGCTCGCCCTCTTGACTGCCGCGTCACACTGCTGGCTCGTGTTTGGGGTGCAGCCAGCAAGTACCCCAAGATCCCGCCTGCACCCCCATGTGCCTGCCCACCTTTAAGATCAATGAGGGGGCATCCTCAACCACCCAGCCACGCTTTGTGTTTGGGATGCCACAAGGAAGGGCTGGAGCTGAGTTGCAAGAGAAGTGGCTAGTCCTCATGCGGCACAGGCTTCTTGGGACATTATCTGAATCCCATGCGGGTGGTTCCGGTGCATGGCAAACTTACTCTTAACGGCTTCGATTTTGTATGGAATGTCCAAGTTGCCGAGTGAGGCCAGAGCGCCCAGGAAGGCCGCGACATCCGTGGTGCTCTGGAAGCACTGAGACGAGGACTGGAGGCACTGCCGGTTGTCGATCTCCAGGTGCACAATGGAGCTGCAGGTTTTGAAAGGAAGGAGGGCAGTTATGCAGCTGGGACAGGACTGGAAACCAAACTCTGTCTGCCAGGGCAGGCCTTAAGGGCTCCTTTGACTGACCCGGGGCTGTGCAAAACGGACTCAGACCGTATTGCGGGGCTCCAACGAAGTCCTGGCAGTAGCAAGTGGGGACAGCACCCCTCGGGGGACACTTCAAGGGCTTAAAAATGGGCCCAGAAAAGCAGATGGTGGCCAGCTGGCCACACAACCCCATTTGCAAGTTATCTGAGGCGCACTGACAGCTCAGAAGATGGGACTGCAAGTCCGTGCAGCAGTGCAGTGGGAGAGGGGAGGGGAGGGGAGGGGGATCCCGCGGATGCAACTGACAGCCCCGTCAGGTTTCCCTCTTCATTCCCCTTCCCTTTTCCTCGTGTATTGTGTCTTTTTCACCATGAAGCCTGCGAGGGCAGAGAGACTGCTTTGCTCCACTAATGGCACGCAAGCTACACAGAAAGCCTCCTGGATTGAGGAGCAAAACAAATAAATAAGGATGAATAAATAAAGCAGCCAGCAGCTTTTCTCGTGCTTGTTGCTTGGAAGCAATTCCTGCTTGCTCCAGGTGACCAGACAATATACAGGTGCCCTTCGTATGGAAGGCAGCGCAAGCACCCCCTCCCGCGACGGTCCTTCGTCCCCCACGCTTCCATCCCCCAAACCCCAGATGCAGAGGGGGAGCCCTTCCGGCCCCTGCCCTCTGAACTGCCCGGGGCCCCGGCTGCTTTTCGCACTGGGAAGAGGGGGCGCCCCAGGCAAGGGCCGCACGGTCGTTTCTCTCACCCGATGACATCCACCTGGTCCAGCTCTCGTCTCTGCCTCCCACTGACCCTCGGAGAGAGAGACGTCTTCATGCTCGAGAACATGCTGGACACATCTGGCCAGCCCTCCGCCGACCTCTTCATGTGGTGCTTCTTCAGCTCCTCGGGGTTCCCATAATAGGGGAAGATCATGTACTCGCCCTTGGCGTCCCTCTTGAAGACCACGTTGGTGTGGAGCACGCGGCTGAGCTCCCGCAGGAAGTTGAAGGAGATGTTCCGCAGGACCTCCGGCGTGGTCAGCACCACCAGCACCAGGGTGCCCTCGGCCAGCCTCTCCGGCGAGCTGGCGCAGTCCAGGCCGTCCCACTCGCACTCGGCCGTGTTGCAGCCTTGGTCGCAGTTGCCGTCGGAGAAGTGGTCCTTGCAGTACTGGTCGTACATGGGGCTGCACCGGGGGAGAGAAGCAGGAGCCGGTTCAGCGGGGGGCTTTTCGCGCCGGGTGGGTGTCCCCACACAACGGGTAACTGTGAGGGGCGCCCGGCAGCGGGACCGTGGGAGCCTGGGGTCAGGAGGGCCCCTGAGCGTTAGCCTGCCCCCCCGGCCGTGCCGAGCCTGCCCTGAGCAGCCAGTGGCGGGGCAGCTGCGGAGCTCCCGTCAGCCCCACGATCCAGGACTCTCTGGCACCCACGGGGCTCTCGGGGCTGCACGACTGAGGCGGAAGCCGTGCCGCAGGCAGGCTTCCGCAGGCGCTGCCCCCTCGTCTCCGCTGGGACCACGAAGCGCAAGCCTGGGCCAGCGACGTGTGCCCCCTGCCTGCGGGTCGGAGGGGCCCTTACTTGCACTGCACTTCGGCCTTCTGGCAGTCGAAGCCGTCGTACAGGCAGCCCGTGTTGTTGCACTGGGCGTCGCACTTCCCGTCGTTGAAGTACTTCCAGCACTGCAGCGCCTGCGAGCAGCTCTTCCAGGGGTCGCTGAAGTTGAGCGAGCAGTCGCCGCCGTCCCAGCTGCAGGCGTGGTTGTTGCACCGGGCGTCACAGACCTTGTTGCCGGCGTGGCTGGCGCAGATGGGGATCTCGCAGCTCTCCTCGAAGGCGGGAGGGAGGATGTCCTGGCCGAGGCCGCCCAGGAACTCGAAGTCCAGGACGTGGCAATTCAGGCCGTTGAAGCTGGCGGGGCAATTGCACCGGTAGTGGGGCGGCTCCTTGGAGAGCTGGCAGCTGCCGCCGTTGTAGCAGGGGCTGGAGTGGCAGGGGTTGCTGGTCGAGAACCGGCACTCGGGGCCTGTGAAGCCGGGCGCGCAGATGCACCTGGGGCTCTTCTGGGTGGAGACGCAGGTCCCGCCATTCAGGCAGCGCAGGGTCCCACAGCTGCGCAGGTCGTTCTCACAGGTGGCACCGTCCAAGCCCTGCAAAGGAAGCGCAAGGGACACTTACCTCCCAGGGAGCCGTGGGGGGCACCACAGCCTCTGCTCATCCCCTGCCCGAAACCCCTTCCTTCAGGCACGGGAACAGTTCCAAGCGAGCCGCCCACGCGTTCCCCACCTTCCTTCCCGCAGCGAGTCCAAGCAGCTTCCCCAGAACCCCCCCCATGGTCTGCCCACCCCCCCCCCCCCCCCCGAGGAGAGTCCAGCACGCACAGGGGGGCACCTGCAGATGAACCCACGCTGAGTGTTGCTGGCCACAGCACAGGTCCCACCATTGCGGCACGGCTTGCTTCGGCAGCTGTCCACCACGGTCTCGCAGTGCCGCCCTGGAAAAGTGTGGGGGAAAGCCCTGTCAGGTTGCCACGTCCTCACAGCGGAGAAGAAATGCATCCCATGACAGCTCACATGCAGCTGCGTGCGTGTGGAGGAGACTCTGATGCAGAAACAAGGGCGGGAAAGGGAGGGTCTGCTCTTGCCATGGGGGAAGCCCTCCCTGTCTTCCCACCCCACAGCACAGAATCCTGTGGAACCGAAAGATGGCTTTGCAGTGCTATGGAACATAGTTGTGCTCTCTTCTCCGCCGCCAAAATCACACAATAGCAGGGTTGGAAGGGGCCAGAAGGCCACTGGGTCCATCCCCCTGTTCCTGCAGGGCACCGTGTTACACCACCGCACTCAGGTAACTGTCCAGATGCTTTCTGAACGGCTCCAGCAAGGGAGAGCCCACAACTTCCCCAGGAAATGGGTTCCATGGTCGTGCTGCTCCGAGAGCAAGGAAATTCTTTCCAGCATCTATTCTAAATCTGGTTTCTTTTAACTTAAGTCTGTTATTCTGTGTCCTGTACTCTGGAATGAATGAGAAGAGATCCTGTTCTTCCTCTTTGTGACAACGTACGAGGCACTTGTGGAGGGCTATCCCGTCTTCACCTGGCCTTCTCTTCTTGGGGTTGAACATGCCCAGTTCACCCAGACTTTCCTCCCAGGACTTTGCCACCAGTCCCTGGATCACCCTTGCTGCCCCCTCCTCGGAACCATTTCCAGCTTTTCTGCATCTTTTTAAAACTTAGGTGCCCAGAATTGGACACAGCACTCCAGGTGCGGTCCTGCTTTCTTTTGCTTGCTATTCGTTTCCTATATGATTGTTTCAAGGGCATTAATTTGCGTCCCACCCTGGCTGCCTTTTCTGCACCTAAAGGCAGCTGGTAACGAATGGTCACAGTAAATAAAAGCAACTCCTCGGGAAGTCTGCGTGGCCGCCTCCTCCAGATTCACCCGGGGGGCGGGGTCTGCATCCAAAGGACGAGGGCCAGCGGCACAGGCCCTCTGTCAACCCCAGGGTCTGGTCCCGTTTTGGAGATGGCATTCGTGATGGGCTGCACCTTGCAAAGGATGGAAAGCATGTGCTTGACATGACACATTCAATAAGGACACTGGACAAAGCTCATCCAGAGGGTCTTAAACTGAAACAGGCAGGGGAAGGGGAAGGGGAAGGCAGCAGGCATGCCATCACCTGACAAAGACTCACCTATTTCAACAGAGAAACAACCCCAAGCAGGGCCCAACACCAGTCTCCCTAAACATGTTGGAAGAAAACCAGGGCACAGCAAGAATGAATGTTGCTGTCTACACCAACGCCCAGCATATGGGAAACAAATGGCACAAGCTTGAGCTCTTGGTAATTTTGCCCTTAGTTACGAGGGCAATTTTGATCTTATAGGAATAACTGAAATTTGTTGGACGACTCACATGACTGGAATGGTAAAACTGATGTATACAACCTGCTCAAGAAAAATAGAAAGGACAGAAAGGGAGGGAGTCACACTGTACATAAGAGACACGAGCATCTGCACAGAAATACGGGGAGAGGAACTTGGTAGCCCCATTGAAAGCATCCGGCTTAATTTAAAGGGAGTGAAAAATAAGAATAACATAGTTACTGGTGTCTGTAACTGACCACCCAGTCAAAAAGAGGACAGGAAGTAGAGGAAGGAACGAGAGTATCAGCTATCTTGATTTAATACTAACAGGGATTACCTGGTTGACAAAAGAGCAGCCATGGGAACTTTCATGGAGAAAAGTGACTGTGCAATATTGAATTCTCAATTATAAAACAGACAAAGGGTAACTGCAGCCAAATACGAACGCTGGACTTCAAGAAAGCCAACTTTAACGAACTCAGAACAATGATAAAGAGGCGCCACGGCTACTCACTGTAAAGGGAAAAGGAGTCCAAGAGGGGTGGGAAATCTTGAAAAAGAAGATTCGCCAAGCACAACTACAAACAAAATTGTCATCAAGAAAAAAAGTGTAGAAGACAACAGAGGAAGCCCACATGGCTCAACAAAAAGTCAAGTGACAATCTGAAAGAAAAAAAGAAAATGTGCAGGAGGTGGAAACAGGACCAAGCCACAAAGGAAAAATATGAAGAAATAGCAAGGAATTGCAGGGATGGCATTAGGAAGGCTAAAGCAGGAAATGACCTGAGAGTAGCAAAGAATGCAAAGAACAACAAGAAAGCCTTCTTTGGATATGTCCAAAACAAAAGACAGGTGAAAGAGAAAGGTGTCCAGGTACTTAAAGTGGATGGCAAAGTGGTAACAGATGACCAGGAAAGGTAGAGGTGCTCAATTCCTACTTCACCCACAAGAACAGCTACAACCAGGAGGAGGTACAAGCTGGAAGTGAGAGATGGCAGCCCAAGATTGACAGACAAATGGTCAAGGAATACCTAGATGGAATAAACATGATCAGATCTGTGGGACATGATGAGCATAATTATAGCTAGCACCCTAGAAGACAGAATGAAGATCCAGAGCAATCTTGATCAACTTGAACACTGGGCTGAAAGCAACAGTATTAGATTCAATAAGGACAAGTGCCAAGTCCTGCACCTAGGAAAAAGAAACCAAATGCATTGATACAAGATAGAGACTATGTGGCTCAACGGGACTGAAAAAGATCTCAGAGTAATTGTGGACAAGTGGAATATGAGCCAACAATGCAATGCAGCTGCAAAAAGGGCAAATGCTATTTTGAGATGCATTAACAGAAGTTTCACTTCCAAACCACGAGATGTAGTAGTTCCCCTGTACTCCCCACTAGTCAGACCTCATCTGGAATCCTGTGTCCAGTTCAGGGCACCAAGATTTAAGAACAATTAGAAAGGGTCCAGCGGAGGGCAACAAAAATGATCCAGGGGTTGGAAACACTGCCCTGTGAGAAGAGACTGAGAGAACTGGGCATGTTCAGCCTTCAGAAGGGAAGACTGAGGGGGGACAGGAGATCCCTGTATAAGTCCCGCAAAGGCTGCCACAAAGAGGAAGGCCAAGATCTCTTCTTGCCGATTCCAGAGTGCAGGACACGGAATAATGAATTCACGCTGTGACAAGCCAGATTCAGGCTGGACACCAGGAGAAGCTTCCTCACTGCCAGAGCAATACGGCAGTGGGACCATCTGCCCGGCGGGGTGGGGGCTCTCCCACACTGGAGGCATTCAAAAGAAGCTGGGCAGCCCTCTGAGTGGGGTGGTGCGACCTGGTGGACCCAGTGGCCTCCCCGGCCCCTTCCAGCTCTGCTCTTCCGTGATTCTATGATGCCAGGGCCCCAGGTGAGGCGTTTCAGACCTTTTGAGTGGCGGCAGTGAAACGCACAAAAGCCAACTGGTGGGGCAAAAGTTTAGGGCGCCCCACGGGCTTGGGTGTGATGCCCCCACTCCCTGGCGAGGGGAAGGTGCTCTGCTTCTGGCACTCACCGGAGTAGCCCGGCCGGCATTCACACTGGTAGTCGTTCACCCGCTGCACACAGTTCTGGGTCCCGTGCAGGCTGCAGGGGTTGGAGAGGCACTCGTTGACGTCCCCCTCGCAGCGCTTCCCCACAAAGCCCGGCAAGCAGGCGCAGCTGTAGCCGCCCACGCGGTCGATGCACTTCCCGTTGTTGAAGCACTTGGGAGCCAGCGTGTGCGCGTCCGCGGCGGGGCTGCAGTCGTCCACGTTGATCTCGCAGTGCACCCCTGGGGCAGGGGAGGGAGCGGGGGGTGAGGAGGACAGGCTGGAGGGCCCTGCGGCGCCGCGGAGTCCGGCAGGTCTTCTCCCCCGTAGGGCGAGGCTGACGTAGGGCTGGCCCCACAGCCCAGGGTGCTGCGGCTGAAGGAGCCCCTTCCACCGGCCAGTGAATACGTGAGGGGGTGTCACACAGGGGTGGGCAGAGACCTGCTCTCCCCTGCAAAGGGGGGCAGGAGGCGCTCCAACAGAGCGAAGCTCAGGAAGCCAAGGTTCAGTTTGGATACCAGGAAGCACTTCCTGGCAGTTAGGACCCCGAGGGTGTGGAATGGGCTTCCCCGGGGGGTGGTCGCGGCCCCACCAGTGAGGGTGTTCAAGGATAGGCTAAACATGCACATGGTGGGCATGTCGTGAGCGGAGCCGGCTGGAGCCGGGGGTCAGACTGGATGGCCCGGGAGACCCCTTCTGGTTCTCTCAGTTTCTCTGTTTCTGTCTTTCTATGAATGCTCAGGGTCTGGGCAGCGGCTCAGACGCCCCAGGATGGGCCTGATGGCACCCACTGGGCGGAGGTGGCTCACCGCTCGTCCTGTTTGTGTTTTTGAACAATATTTGACAGCTCAGACGCACGTCTGCGGCCACAGGCCCTTCTTTCAAGCTTTTCGCTTAAACCCGGTGCTGCCCTTTTGTGCCACAAAACGGTGCTCGCTCCCGAGGAAATGGGTTTGGCGTTGGATCACGAGCCGCAAACTCCCATTTTATTCCGGGAATCATGGTTTTGCTTCCCATCTGTGTAAGCAGCCACAGAGCCGGGAGTCCTGATTCCGCCGCTCGTCACTGGGATTTCCTCGCCCCACGTCCTAGACAACGTCCAGTGTTTCCGTCTCCTGCACCTGAGCTCTGTGCAGTCACCGCCTGCGCGAATACTTGAAGGGGTCTCTTTGGGGACCCCAGATCAGAAACGTGGGCTTCGGAATGCGCAACTGTCGCGAGCCCCCGGCCTCTTGCACACATGGCTCTGCCTGAAACGTGCTCCCACTGCAGGGAGGCGAGCCAGCAAGTTCCCAGATTGGGCCAGGAGGTGACGGAATCTGCACGGCCAGCTCCTGCCACCAGAGGGGGACAGAGCTCCACCCTGCCTCCCAACTGTCCCCATAGTTTTGACTGCCCACCCACTCAACTGTACGTGGGGCATACGGCCCTCTGCCCCCTCCTCCCACTTCCTGCTTCCTCAGATCTGCAAAAACCCAAACGCTACAATCCTGGACTCGTGACACAACTGAAATGTGCTCCTGTCCTGATGGACAGCTCAACCAATAAGCAAGAGCTCAGGGAGGGGCCCCTGGCTTTGCATGCCCGAAGCTGCAGCCCCACCAGCCTCTCCAGACCTCCTGCCTGGATCCCCAGAGCGCCACCGCTGCCAGTCAGTGTCGACCGCACGGGCTGGGTGGGCTAAACGGGACTGAGCCATGATCTGGGTTTCCTGTGATCTGCTTTGAAGTAGCTGCTCTCTCTGACTCTTAAGGACAAGAATATTGCTTGATGTTTAGGCCAAGGGGCCAAAGCTCCCTGGTACTATCAACGCTCTGTCTTCAGAAAGCCCCCTTCCCACCTCTGGCAGCATCACCAGGGAAAGCCAGAGAAATGCCTGCCTGAAGCTCTGCGTTAAGTGCTGCCAGTCTGTGCCTGACGTCTGCATCTGTGTTCCAGATGATCCATCGGCGCCACACTGACCGTGGCTCCCGACCAGGCGTGTCGGAGAACTGAGCAGGAGCCGGCTGGGAGAGGGGCCCCAGTCCCTGCGCGCAGCGGCTTGGCTCTGTACCTTGAGTTCCCGGGGGGCAGGAGCACTTGTAGGTGTTGATGAAGTCTATGCAAGTTCCTCCGTTTTGGCATGGATGGGACAGGCACTCGTTGATCTCCTCCGAGCAGTTCACCCCGTGGTAGCCAGCGACGCACTGCAAGGAGGGAGCACGGCGGGCTCAGCAGAGGTTCCCGTGGGCGCGGCGGGGCCCCCCTGCAAGCCTGGCCCGGCCCCCCCCCCCCGCCCCCCCGCCAGTCTGTGTCCACGCGGCCGTACCTCACACGAGTAGCCGCCGAGGTAGTCGGTGCAGGTGGCCCCGTTCTGGCAGGGGCTGGGGGAGCACTCGTCCACCTGCTCCTCGCAGTAGCTGCCCGTGTAGCCCGCCTGGCAGTGGCAGCGGTGGGTGTTGCCGCTGTCCACGCAGAGCCCCGCGTTCCTGCAGAGGCGCGCGACGTCCACACCTGCGGGCGGCAGAGGCAGGGAGTCACGCGCGGCGGGCGGCGGGCGTGCGCACCCAGCGAATGCATGCGACGCACTGCGGGAGAGGGAGGCGCAGGGCTGCAGTCGCCCCCCGGGGTCTGCGGCGCACGCCCTTCGGACTTGGTCGCGGGCGGCAGGCAGCGCAGCCTCTGCCTTTGCCAGGGCTTCTGTTGCACAGTGGCTTCCCGACACGCATGTCCTTCCCTCGCAAGGAAGCCGGGGTGGCGTGCGAAGTTCTTTTATGTGCGTAACAACTGCCCCGTGAGGTAGGCTAGGCTGAGGGTCAACGACTGGCACCAAGTCACCCTGAAAACTTCATGGCCGAGCTGGGGACTAGGACCCAACTCGTTCGGGTCTAACACTTGAACCAGGACTCCGTGCTGGCTGAGTGATTTTACTGCTGCTTACGGAAGCCCTTCTGTTGCTCCCTGGCTCAGGAGAGGTACTGACGGAGCACCGCTCCCCAGAGGAACCTGCCCAGGTGCCGTGTTCCTCACTGAAGGCCTTCCCCCAGATGCCCCCTCCTAGGGAAGCTCAGGGAGTGGCCACAAGGGGCAGGGGTCCCCCTAATGATGGAGTGACCACAACAAGGTCTGTCCGAAGCCAGCGTTGCCCAGTTAAGACCTCCTTCCCGCAGGCATTCGCCAGCGTCTGGCGAGCCTTCCACAGGGACCCACCTTGCTGCCGAGCGGCCACCTCGCAGGAGACGTTGGGGACATCGCAGTAGAGGCCTGTCCAGCCGCTGGTACATTCGCAGCGGTACAAGTTCTTCACCTGCCAGCACTTCCCGCCGTTCTTGCAGGGCGAGGAGTCGCACCAGCGCACCATGTTCTGGAGACACAGGGAGGCACGAAGAGGAGCATGCACTACGTGGGTCCCCGCCCCCCCCAAGGGGACTGAACTGCAGAGGAGGGGGCATCAGACCCCGTGCCTCCCACCCCCTGGCCTAGCCTTTGCATGCTGCCCAGGAAGGCTGGAAACCAGCCAGAGGACGTTTTCCCTGTCTCCGCTACAAAGGATGGTGGGATTTCTTTGCTCTGCACAGGCCAGGACAGGCAAATTAGCAGGCATGAAAGCGAGAACGGTGACTGCTCTAATACATCAGGTGCAAACCTCCCAAGAAAGCGCCGAGAGGGAAACAAGTCCGTGCCATTCAGCCACGGCTCCCCGGGGGCCCCCGGGGAAGCCAGAGCCCTCCCCTTCAGCGGGGGCTTCCTGAGTGGATGCACAAAGAAATACCGGGGAACTGTGGCGGGGTGGGGGTGGGGGTGGGGGGAGAGGCCGCACAAAAGCCGGGAAAGCCCTGAACTGTCCGCAGCGAGCCGGGCGGAGGAGGGAAGGGCATGCCCACCCGAGAGGGCCAGACGGCGGCCCCGGGGCCAGGGGCCTTGCACCCAGCTGAGCCCAGGCCCCGCGGGCAGCACTGCACCTGCCGGCCAGTCCCGCCTCACCTGGCAGTTGAGGCCGGTGTACCCCTGCGGGCACGTGCACTTGTACGTCCCGTAGCTGTCCTGGCACGTGCCGCCATACAAGCAGGGCTTGGAGTCACACTCGTTGATGTTGTGCTCGCAGTAGATGCCCGTGAACCCCGGCGGGCAAACGCAGGTGAAGGTGTTGATCCCATCCACGCACGTCCCCCCATTGAAGCAAGAGCTGAGGAGCAGAAGGAAGCACGGGGCTCGTTTGCTGACGGACTGCATGGGCCTCGCCCCGTGCCCAGGCGAGGGCTACGGTTCTGGGACCGGCACCGAGGCCCGGCCACCCTAAGCCCAGTGGCTTGCATGCCTTTCCTCGCGCCAAGTGCCCCGCCACCGAGAGCACTGGTGGGAGGGAAGATGCCTCTGGAGGTGGCACATGGACCCATGACCTAGCTAGAGTCCGCCTGGAGGGCAGAGAGCCTTCACTGTGGTGGCCCCTTCCTCTGGGACGCCCCAATTCTGGAGGTCTGGCAGACTTCCAGCACTGTGCTCTTTTCAGCACCGCCTGAAAACCTCTTTTCTCTGGGAGCCTTCCTTGATTGGCTGACCTTAATTGTACTGATCCCCCATGTTAATGCTTTAAAAAAATCTTTACTGTTCAACACTTTGGAGTCTGTTCAGAAGTGAGGCAGTACACAGAGGCTGAAAACAGATGCAAAGAAAGAAGCTGGCTCACCAAGAGGTTTGCACAGTGCCAGGACTTGTCCAAACCCAGAATGCAAATCCCTGCACACAGATTACGTGCGGGAAGCGGTGGCTGCTCACAGCAGGGGAGGCCTCAGTCGATCACTAGGCCCTGAATAAAGATGCCTTCGGCAGGCGGCAGGTTCCACGGGGAAGGAACCGCGGTGCAGAGGTCTCTGCTAGGAGCCGGTGGGGGCCGCACTGAGCTCTGGCACCGCCAGCGGATTCCAGGTCGGGGGGGGGGCATACCTTTCCGTGCAGTCGGGGGTGTTGTGCTCGCAGTGGATGCCGCTGAAGCCAGAGGGGCAGGTGCACGTGTAGCTGTTGACGCAGTCCGTGCAGTTGGCCCCATTTCTGCAGGGGCTGCTGGCGCACTCGTCAACATCATCTTCGCATCTGGGGCCCTGGAAACCGGGCAGGCAGTCACAGGAGAAGCTGCCGACGCCATCGGAGCAGGACCCTCCATTGTGGCACGGATCTGGAGGGAGGAAGAGCACGCGGCGGCTGCACTGCACTGCACTGCACGGCCAGCCAAGGGCCGAGGCCCGGGCCGGATCTCCCGGGCGGGCCGGGCCCCGGGCAGCGTCGGTGCAGCGGCACGCCCCGCTGGAGCTTCTGCGGCCGCGCCCTGCGAGCGAGTCCACCACACGAGCGGCTGCGTGCATGCAGCCCAAGCGCCCGCTCTGGGAGGGGGCCGTTTGCAAAGGGAAGTTTCTTAATGGCCCATCGGTGAGAAAAGCACACCCGGATGCTGTGTGGAACCACAGAGGCGAGAGGGTCACAGCCCTCCGTCCTGGCCGGCACAGCTCCCTCTGGGCACGGTGACGGGGAGTGCCGCAGCCCAACTCGGGGTGCAGCAGGAAGGCTGAGCAGCAGAAGCAGAGAACGAAAGGGGAGCATCAGGCCCCATGGGACAACCCTCTGTTCTCACAGCGCCGTTCTGCTGCCCCGGAGCCGGACAGAAGGGCACTGGCCCATGTTCCCCAGGAGCTGGCTCCGGTCCTGGGGGCAGCACATGGCCTCAAGCCCAGGAGCCCCCGAGGGCCTTCGCTCTCGACGTTTTGTGCGAGAGGCTTCCACGTGCTGCACGAAGAGGCCTCGCCTGCTCTCTGCCCCACGGGGGACTCCTCTGGCTCCCGGTCCGCTTCCTCCCTGCCAGGGGCCATTTTTTACACCCCGGCCGCATCTCCCTCCCGCTGGCAGCCGGCTACTCGGAGCGCTGTGTCCCGCTGGCCCGGTTCCACTCCATGGGCTCCTCGGCGGGCGCTGTGAAGCGGCACCGCCGGGGCCAGCAGGGTGGGGGGAGCTGCAGAACAGAGCCGAGCGGCCCGGCCCAGGCGCCCTTACTGGGCTGGCAGTCGTCGATGTCTGTTTCGCAGCCGCGGCCCGTGAACCCAGCTCGGCAGACGCAGCGGTAGCCCCCATCCGTGTTCTGACACGTGGCGCCATTCTGACAGGGGCTCTTGACGCACTCGTTGATGTCGATCTCACAGGTTTGCCCTGAGAAGTGAATTTAGACACACAAAATTGAAGTCCACTGACGTTCAAACCAACAAGTTCTTTCATCTGTCAACCGCTGATTGATATCATGCACTTTCCTGGTCATTTTTAAAAACACTTGAATCACAAGGACGTATGTCATACATGTTTCAGTAAATATAAGCAGGAACGAGGGAGGCAGGATTGCATCCTCCTTTCCACACCAGCCGGACTCCCGAGAGAATCCTCTCTGCTCCCCCCACCCCCTGGAGGCTGCCGCCTCGGGGTCCGTGGTGGGCAGCGGCCAAGGGGACGGCCTTTCCTGCTGTGGCCCCTCAGTCAAGCCACGGCCTTCCCAGAGAGGCTCCTTTGGGGCGCTCCCAGCACTGCACTCTTTCCAGTGCCAGGTGGGAACTTCAGGGCCTTTCCTCCTTTCAGATTCAAATCGGTTACTCAGCTTCAAATCTCTGCATCCTTGCTGGATTATATTTTGGAGTTTGCAACTGTTTTACCCTGAAGTTTTAACCATTTGTATCGTATGCTGTATTTCATGGTGGTAATTGACTGCACAGGCAGCTTTGGCTATTGGGTGCTATAGAAGATTAACCAATAAATGCCATCAGCAGCTAAAATGATGCACATAAAAGAAAAAACCTTGGGCCAGACAGGCACGTTTTCACATGGGGCAAAGGCTGTCGCCTGAGGCTGAGCCTCGCTGGCTGCAGCTTTTGACAGTCTGAGGGGAAAAGCCCCAGAAGGCCTCGATCCACAGGCAGCCTCCCACAGGACCAAGCGGGCTTCCGGGCACCTGAATGCGCATCAGCGATGCCTCCGCAGGGATGCCTCCCACCCCCGATCTGTGTGGGGGATGATGGGCACTGTAGGCCTGAACTCTGCCCATGCTGGCTGGGGGTCATGGGAATCTGAGTGGCACCCGATGGAGGAAATCCAGGCAGGGAGGGGTAGAAGGAAATGGGGAAGGAGCTGCCGTGAACCGCACGGTGAGGCCTGCAGGAAGCCGGGTGCATCGCGCCGGAAACGTCAGCAATCAGTCAAGCCGCTGCAGCGGGAGAGTCTGCTCTGGGAGCCCATGCAGCGCATCTTCACCTGGAGCGGACCCGGAAGCCGACCGCTCTCCTAACCCCACGCCGCCAGGGGGCCAGCTGGGGAGCTCCCCCTGCCCTGGGCTGGCCAAGCGCAATTTCAGCCGCTCGAGCGATCCTTCAGCCAAGGCTCTCTCATCGCCACCTGGTTTCCCCAGGACTGTCTCTGTCCCCACGGAACGCGTGTGGCAGCACAAACTCGGGGGCACCCTGAGCTGCGCCCCGTGTGTGTGTGAAGGGCAAAGAATGGCGGAAACGCCGCAGCCCTACCTTGCCAGCCCAGAGGGCACGTGCAGGAGAAGCTCCCGTAGTCCTCCGACTCTCGGCACTCCCCGCCGTTCTTGCAGGGTCCAGGTGCACAAGGGGCCAGGATCTCCCTGCAGGTGGGCCCTGTAGTGCAAAGGACCCAGAGTCGTGCTCACCTTTGGCTGCGGCCGACTTGCCAGCCGGAGCGCTGCGGGGACAGCCATGGCTTTTCACATGCCGGCCGACCAGCAGGAGGGTGGAGGAGCTGGGAGCCTGGCAGGGATGGTCCTGGCAGCACAGCCGCCCTGCTCAAGGGCCGAGGACTGCGGTGGGACAGGGAGCTGCTGTGCGGGCCTGGATCCCTGAAGCATCTGAACCCAGCCGCACCCCAGGCCACGCGTGGCTCGCCAGAGTCACCAGGCCAGGCTGCGCCAGAGTCGCCAGGCCAGGTTCCCCCAACTCACAGTCGTCTCTTGACGCAGACCGGGTCTGCCCCTTTCCTCTGCACTTCCCTGCAACCCTCACAAGAGCCGGAAGGAAGCGGATCTTTCCAAACACAATACGGGGAAGCAACGCTTTCTAGGGTGGCTCAGTTCTGAATGGGTGGCTCAGGCCCACGCACTTCTCAGAAGGCCTGCTCCTCGAGGGAGGCAAGAATCGCTGGCGCTAGTTTTCGTTGAATGCATGCAGAGAGCCACACCACTGCCCAAATTTTTGGATGCGCCGCACGGTGGGCGCTGCACATCCAATGTGTTGCGCCCTAAAAGTTCAAGGAGTCGTGCACAGCCAGCCAAACCGGTGAAAGGGTCAACCAACACTCCATTTCACAGTCATCTTCCGGGCTGTGTGTGGCAACGGGGCCTCCTCTGGAGCCTTTCCAAGAAATCTCCTTCTGAGGGAAAGCACTTGCCCGTGGCGACGGACATTTTGAAAGGGCGGCTTTCCAAAGAGGCAGCGGCCTCAGCATTTGAGATGCTTACATCTGCCAACTATTCAGCTGGCCCAGAGGAGAGAAAAGGCCCACCTATGTGTGGACTAGGGGAAAAAGTGTGCTCTGACTTGTATTCCTCTCGTCCTGCCACTGCCCCCTTGTCCAGAGGGTTTTCCTGTTTACAAAGCCAGCGTTCCCAGCATATGTTATCTACCTTGTCAGCCAGTATCATCTAAAGGCCTTTTCTGTTTTCCAGGCCCTTCCACTCCCTGCACCCCCAGCCCTATCCCAGTTTGTTTCCGTAGCAACTGGCGAAGGCCGGAAAGAAGTCACGGCTTCCTCCAATTGTGCACAGACCGCCACTCCGCGCAGCAAAGGGGAAGCAGGAAGCAGGCGAAGAGGAATCGGGTCAGCAGAAAATCCCTTGCCCGGCCAGGGGAACTGACCGCCTGCATGCAGGAGGTCCAAAGCAGGCCTTTCCACCGAGGGGCGTGGTGGGTGCCAACACAGTGGTTGCAAAGGGAAAAAAGGGTATTTAACGGAACAAAGGCAGACCCAATCATTCAGGAACATTTTCTTTAAAAGTTTGTCAGGAAAGCTTCCAGTTGCGGGGAAAGAAACTTCTCCTGTTCCAGCAGACTAAAACAGGAGGGGTGCCAATGTTGTGCTCGTTCCCCTTTATGGTCAGCCACTGGGAGAACTGGTCTGAAGCAGCCTGCCGCTCCTGTTCTTGTGCACACGTGTGTGAAAATGTGGGATGGAGGAAGGAGAGAAAGGATTCCATCCAAAATGTTTTCAGACAGCGCCCTTCCTGACACTCAGGGCAGTCAGAACCTGTGTGAGCATCACAGCCCTGCCGACACCTGGACACGCATCATTCCCCTCAGCCCTCCCGGCTGGAAGGAAGGCGAGATGCCCTGCGGCACAGACGGGCACGGGCACAGCGGCGAGGAGAGCGCCGGAGAGCCCCTGCGACGCCCTTCTGCAGGCCTGGCTGCCCTCCATCTCCAGGATGCAGCACTATTTCCGGCCCCAGGACCGAACGCCACTTCCACGACGCTCAGGGAGGGGATGTGTCCCAGCAGGGCCACAGGCAGGAAAGGGCGAGAAGCTGCCAGCAGCTCCTACTCCTGGCAAATCAGCCCCGGGAAAGGAACTTCTGCCCTTCAGAAAAGGGTGTGTGTGTGCAATAGGCAGGAGAAGACAAAATGCCCGGGGTTTAGGGGAACCAGGGAGGAGCAAGGGGAAGAGGGCATGGCTTTGGGGGGCCTGGAGGGCTGCGGGGGGCCCGGGGCCTCTGGTTCTGCTCCCTTGCTCTGTCTGCAAAGCACCATGCAGATGAGAGGGCTTTCTAGGGGCAGGAAGAGTCGGGTGCTGCTGCTTCGAGGTCCTGCCGTGTCTGCTCGGAGTGGCCTGGCCGCCTCCAGGTGACCCCGGCTGGGGGCCGTAGGGGAGGAAATGAGGGCCCGGCCCCTTACCGGTGTATGGTGGAAGGCAATTGCACTGGTAACGAGCCACGTCGTCAATGCACGTTCCTTGGTTCAGGCAGGGATTGGAGGCGCACTCGTTGACGTTGGTTTGGCAGTTGGGACCTGGAGGGGAGAGAGGGCGTGGGTCACCCTGTCGAGCCCAGGGGAGACCGCTTTCCCAGGCCTCGGGGAGGGGGCCTTCCCAATCCAGCCTTGGAGAACTGTCTACGGCGGAGATGCCAGGACCTGGCCGGCTGCCTCCTGAGCGCAAAGGGCAATTTGCCGAGAAGAGCCGGCACTTATACAGCAGCTTTCAGTGTTCGAAGTGCTTCAGGTTTTATTGACTTACAGCACAATCCTGTGTCCATTTAGGCTGGGAAGCACACTGCTGGTGTAGCTACGCACAGCCAGCTGGGGATGCTGGGAATTGGAGCACCTTGCCAATCTGAACATTTCTGCCGCTTGCCCTGTCCGTCGGCCACTCTCACTACCCCAGTATGCCTGGCCAACAAGGTCTCGCAAAATGGCTGCCATGAAGGGGACCTCACTGGTCCATAAAATGGCGGCCACCACTTGTTAGAAAAGAGCTGTCTCAAAAGCAAGCAAGCGAGGATGAAAGGAAAATAACTTTCCTATGATCTAAGTCCAAGGCATAGCTCCAACACACAACACTGCAACTGAACCCAGAGTTTTCTGTTGTGACACATCCATTTCACAGAAGGGAAACTGATGAGATGCAGAAACAATTTCTTGGCCAAGAAACTGACTATGAGAGGAGGTTGTGTCTGAGCTCCTAATGCTAAATCCCTCCTTGCCCCCATTCCCATGTTGCAGAAGGCTAGCCCGTAACGCTCAGAATGCACACGCCAACAGGGCCTCCCAGTTAAAGGTCTGCTCTTCGCCAGAGAGAGACCGAGGCAGCAGCCCTCAGGCCAGAGTACCAGAGGTGGCCCATCCAGCAAACGTTCCCACCAGGCCTGGCCTCCCTTCAAAGTCTTCCAGTTTCTTAACGTGACCGGGAGGAGAGCTGCCACTTCCGTGGATGCAGGCCCTCTTTTCCTCTTGCCCTTTCAGGGCAAGTTGCAGAAACATGCAGCTGGAGGGGTCTAGGAGGCCATCAGGCCCACCTCCCTGCTCAGCGAAGGACTCAAGTCCCCCGTCCAAACCGGAACCAGGCCTGGCCCTGCTTGGCTTCTGACCCCGGGCAGGGTCCGGTGCTTCCGGCTACATGGAAGCCCGCCAGGAATCTAGCCGTGGGTCAACCCCCCTTTGCAGCTTGGATCTGCCCCCCACCTACCGCTGAATCCTTCTTGGCAGCTGCAGACGTAGCCACTGGTCATATCCTTACAGGTGCCGCCGTTCATGCAAGGGTTGGAGTCGCACTCGTTGTTGTTGACATCGCAGTTGGTCCCGCTCCAGCCAGCGTTGCAGTCGCATTTGTAGCTTTTTGGAGAGCAGAAGCGGAGGGTGCGTTAGCCGCATGGTGGCGGCACTCTGATGCTGCGCATGCGCGTCTGCAGCGCCCCGGAGCATCAACTCCAAGGGAAGACGCTGGAGGGCCTTGCCAAGTATGTCGGTTAATCATGGAAAAGTGGAATCGGTTGGCTTTAGCTCAATGGTCAGGCTGCTTCAGTGCAAACCCGAGCAGGCAGAAAAAGGGCCTCGGGCACGCTGGGAGTCGCTGGCCATTCTTCTCCCAAGCACACAGGACCGTGCCCACACGGAGCTGCCAGGAGCCCGCGTGCTCAGCCCAGGCCCGCGGCGCCAGGGGCCCACGCACCACCTGCCGGGCTTGGCGCAAAAGCTCAAGGGCACAGCTCGTTCGGGGCAGCACCAAGTCCGCCCCTGAAGAGGAGGAGGAGAGCAGCTCGCCCCCACGGGGCAGGGGGGCGACTCCCGGCTCCTCACCCACAATGCCACGTAACGCAAACGGCTCCTGGCAGCCGGAGGCTACTTCGCCACGAACGGCTCGTCCAGGGCTACGGGAAGTGCCAGGCCGCGCTATTTGCAAAGCCGCCTCCAAAGCAAATGGGGCATCCTGTCACATACCCTCTTTTTCTGCTGAACTACTCCAAAATCCATTCCTACGGAAGCGTTACTATTCTGAGCTTGCTGATCTGGGGTGACCCTGTGCTTTCGGCACCCGAAATTCCCCTACAATCACGACCATGGTTCTTCTGTGCTGGTTCCATTCTAAAGGAACCCTCCTGTTTGTGGGGGGCTTGGTTACGGCCCGAGTCTTTCCCCACAGGTCAAGGCCCACGGCTGCTGCCAATCGGGTTCCTCTGGCACCATGCCCGGTAAGGCAACAACTTTACCCATCTTGGTACTTCCCAGTTACAAAATACCCTTGACTTGAAACCATTTTTCTGCCTTCAGGGCCCCCAGGCAGACCTGGCTCAACAATGCAGTGTGAACAGTCATTGCATGCGAGACTCGTTGGAGAAGAGAGTTCTGCCAGGGACAGTCAAAGGTGGAGGAGGAGGAGGAGGAGGAGGAGGAGGAGGAGGAGGAAGGTCATCTCGATGACATGGACCAGAACCATCAAGGAAGCCACAGCCCTGTGCTGACGGGGCAAAGTGGAGCAGGGCTGTGAAGGACGGGCCCTTCGGAGAGCACACGGCGATCGGGTCACCAGAGGTCAGAGGGAGGGAGTGCGCGACGGAGGTCAGCTGCTGCAATGGCGGGTGCCTGCAGCCCCTTCGCCGGCCTGAGCAAGCACCGGCCTTCCCTTTCGGGCTCTCCTGGCCCAGAGCAGCAGAACGCGGCCCCCTGGCGTCGCCCCACCCACAGCGCAGCTCGACGGCCGGCTGCAACGGACCGGGCCGGGCCCTGCGAGGCTCACCCGTTCAGACCGTCGTTGCACCTGCCATGGATGCAGGGGTCGCTGCTGCACTCGTTCACTTCCGAAAGGCACGTGGCACCGTGGTAGCCTTCCGGGCAGACGCAGGTGAAACCGCTGATGCCATCTTGGCAGGTGCCGCCACTGTGGCAGGGGTTGCTGGCGCACTCATCGATGTTGATGTCGCACATCCTCCCTGAGAGAAAGGACACGGCAGGTCGGCAGGTGGAGGGGGGGAGGGGGAGAGGAGGGCAAGCCTTTCCCTCCCACGCGAGGAAGGACCAGAGGAGGCGGGAAGAGCACATGTGCTGGAGAGCTCTCTGTAATGCTCAGGGCAGCACAGGCCTTCTCGTTCCCACACATGCTTTATGCCCCACATGAGTCCTCCAGGCTTTACAAGCGTTTCCCATTCCCTGGTGCACAGGAGGACGGGTGTGATGCGCAGTCTTCGGCAGGGCACCAGTTTGGAGGAAGCGACAAGGCTGTTGTTTATTTTGCGAGCTGGCCTTTTTATTTTACAAAAGGACACAAGATTCTTCTTATTAAGACAAGCTTTTAAGAACAGCCTCGCTGGGTCAGCCAAAGGCCTGTAATCCAGCATTCTGCTCACCCAGCGGCCAACCAGCTGCTCACCAGAAACTCACAAGCAGGACCTGAGCACCCCCTGCCCATGCTCCTCAGCAACGGGCGTGTGGAGGCACTCCGCCTCTCTGATCCCGGAGACTGCACTTGGCCACTGGTAGCCACTGGTAGCCAAGGACAGTCTTCTCTTCCTTCATGAATTTGCCCATAAAGTACAGTACAGTACAGTAAAGTAGCGCCTGGTCATCTTTCAAAGCAGATGCCCTCTCAAAGCAGCTTGAAAAAGTAAAACGTGTTTTAAAGTCATCCACACTGTCAGCCATTACAACACCTTTTCTTAGCAAATCCCAGAGATTAACTCTGCCCAGCGGGAGGAAGTCCTTCCTTTTACGTGACTCCCACTGCTCAGCTTCACGGACGACCCCTGTGGGTTCTGGGGTGTCGAGAGTGGGAGAAAAGCGTCTCTCTGTGCAGTTTCTCCACACCGTGAATCCGTCCGTTGTCCCTCCCTGGGAACAGGCTGAACCATGCCAGGTGTTGCAGCCCATCCTTCAAGGCCCCTGGGTCATTTCAGCAGCTCTCCTCTGCCCCCTTCCAGCTCTGCAATACCCGTCTTTGACAGGTGGCGCAGGCTTCCCAGGCTGCTTGCCCAAGGGAGCTGCTCAGCTCCAGGGCAGCAGGAAGCATGGCAGGCCGTTGCCTGCTTCACAGAGAGGCTGGCACATCATTCCCAGCCGCTCCCCCACTCCCCCGGCCGTTGCTCACCTGTGTATCCAGGCTCACAGGTACATTCATAGCCGTTGATTTTGTCCACGCACGTGCCCGAGTCACAGGGGTTGCTGGCACAGTCATCCACATTGACCTCACAATGGGGCCCTTCCAACAGAAAACCCGGCAGCTTCAGTTTAAGCCAACGGAAGCACTGACGTGAAGCAGAGCAGTCAAAGCAGTCAAAGGGGGAATGTAGGGGCTGAATTAAAAGATGGGAGAGCAGCACCATGTTCCGAGTGGGCTACGCTGGCCGGAACGCTCACCGCCAGCGGAAGGAGGACGCCGAACCCTCAGCGGAGAGCTGAAGTGGGCTGCCAAGGCCTGCAGCGCGGTCGGCCTGCCCCTCCTGGGAGAGCTGACAGAATTGTGAAAGGGGCCCCTTGGTGGCCTAAGACCTCTGCAAGGCTGGGGAGACGGCCTCATCCTCTGAGCCCGATGAGAGCCAACAGGGCTGGGGCCCTGACCAAGAAGGCCCCGAGCACAGTGCCCAAGGAAGCTGCCCGAGCTGTGGCCTGGGCTCTTTTGGACCCGAGGCCCACGCACGCCACCACAGTGGCTTCGCTGCAGCAGAAGAGGTGCAGCTGGCGCAGGTGTGTGGTCCCGACCTGTTGTTCCTCGGAGGCACAGGCAGGTGTACGCGTTGTTCCTGTCCTGGCACGTCCCTCCATTCTTGCAGGGCTGGCTTTGGCACTCGTTGATGTTGACGTCGCAGCGGTGGCCGGTGTAGCCGGGCTGGCAGAGGCACGTGAAGGTGGCGATGCCGTCCTGGCAGGTCCCGTAGTGGCAGGGGTCCGGGTCGCATTCGTTGACGTCCGTCTCGCAGTGGGGGCCAGAAAAACCTGGGGAGGAGGGAAGGCACCGAGCATCAGCACACAACAGCCTGCTCCGAGGAGAGAGGAGGCTGAACGCCAGCCTGATCTGCGGGGCACACCTGCCAGGCCACCGTGGGTAGCTGGACTGGGTCAGGCCACGGGCCCCTCGCACCCGGCCCTTGGTCACGCAGCAGCCAGCCAGCCAGCCCTCCCAGGCAGGACTGGAGAGCAGCAGCTGTCCTGAGCAGGCCCTCTGGCTCCAATGCCGGAGGAGACACGGCAGCCTCTGGGGCCAGCAGCCTCCGGGAGCGCCTCCTCTGGGAACCTGCCAGGGTGCACCCCAGCTGTGACCGGCCTGCTCCCCGCTGCCACTGACACAGTGCCCCATCCTTCTGCCCACAAAATGGCACCCAAGCCCAGTCCGCAGCCGGAATCCGGATGAGACACAAAAGCACAGCGGGGGGCCCAGAAGGGCCTCGGTCCAGCCCCCCCGAGCAGATGCCCCTTGGTGTTCTGGACCTCAGCAGCCGGCTGTTCCTTTACCACCACTGGCCTTGCCTGCCAGGGCGCAGGCAAGTCCAGAGCCTCGGCAGGGGCCTCGGCCTGGGAGGCCCCTTCAGTCATTTCCCCCGAGCGCAAGCCAGCAGAATCCCCCTGGCCCTTCACATGTGTGCTGCACGCGCCCCCGGAGGCAGTCGCCGCATTCCTAGCTGGGCTGAGCTGAGCTGAGCGGCCTCGTTTCAGGGGCTCCTGGTCCAAAGGGCTCCTGGCCCAGTGTGCTCGGCGCCCAGGACTCATCTGCTCCCCGGGGTGCATGGCTGGGTGAGGTTTGCGGCTCTGGCAAGCCTGCGCAGGTCCCCAGGAGCCCCCGGGTGAAGCGGGGCAGGCGGTGGCCGAGGGCCTCTTCTGCCACAGGGGCCCCGTGAAGGACAGCAGGCGCCACGGAACGCCCCCCACGTGCTCTTTCCTGGGCCCGTCGAAGCCCCTTTTGGGTTCCCACCCATTTCAGCCCCCGGTTTCTGCCGTTTTCAAATCTGCTAATTGCTTTTTAAATCTTAGCACTGCGGCTGGCTCTCATGCTGGTTTCCATGTTTTTACTGTATACCCATATGCAAATCCAGGCATAATGATGAGGGTTCCTTTACATTTCAGTAGCCAAAAGAGGAGGATTCGTTTCTGTTCCAAATCATTCCAAGAAAACAGGCTCTTCCAGCAATTTGCACCTTTCCCGGATCATCAGAGGGAAAAGGGGTCCCCACTCGCCAAGCTGAATGGCAGAGGCTCTTTCTTCTTTTGTGTTGGTGCGATTGCAGCACCTGGCCAGGTAGGGGAGGGTGGCGATGCACTGGCACAGCAGCTCAATCTTGCGACGGGGTGTATGATGGGACAGGTGTTTCTGTCAACCGTCAGCATTTTTACTGAATTCCTATTAGCTACTTGCCGTGTTTTAAATCTGCTACACTGAAAGTTTACACTGCGGTTTATGATGTGTATTTGGGGCTTGCAAGTCTGATTTGTTGAGAAGCGTCCGACTTGCTCAGGCCACTGGAGGTGCAGAGATGAGAAACACACAGAGAAATGCAAACAGGTTCGGGGCTGGGGAGCGGTCAGCTCTCGGGGATCACCTGCGACGTGTTGTGGGCGATTCTTCAAGCTGCCCATTCCCATCGCAGAGGGTGGAACCCCCAACCCAACGCTGCGAGCGCCACGGTGCCGGGGGACGTCCGAAGCACGGCCGCTTCCGGTGACACCCTGCGGAAGCGCCCCGGAGACGCCGGGCACAGGAGCAGAGCCAAGCGCGGCCCCCAAGCCGCTGCTCCGTTGCGGGCCGGCGCAGGAGAGACTTGGAGAGGGCCCAGCGCCGAGTGTGGCGGGGGGCAGGGATGCGGGGCGGGCCGGGCTGGGCAGGGCGCAGGAGGCGGCGGCGGCGTGCCCGCGCTCGGAGGCAGCCCTGCTCCAGGGCGCAGGAGCCTGGCTTTGTCCCAGGACGGACATAATGGCTCCCCTCTGACAAACAGCCCCTTTCTTTCTGGCTCCCGAAAGAGCGGCTCTCCGGCTCCACTGCTCGTCTGCAGGCAGCTCCAACGGCCGGCTGTGTAATCGAAAGGGCCGGGCCGGGAGGGCCCGGGTGGGGTGGGGTGGCGGTGCGTGCCCGGGGACAACAGCCGCACGCATTATCTGCCGTCCTCCAGCAACAGAGACGCGTTGGGCCAGCGGGAGGAGGACAAAGAGGAGGGGGAAGGGGAGAGGGAGCGGGGGGGGGGGCGGAGAAGACAAAGCAAAGCTTTGACTGTGCCCTTCGCGGGATCCACATCGCGGCTTTTCATCGGCGCTCTGGCCGACCAAGGCGCTCATTAGGGACTGTTCAGCTGGAAGATTTCTGGCGGGAGCGACGCCACAAAAGAGTCACTGTTCGCTGCCGGGGCTCACGGCGTTGGTTTTGTTCGAGCACAGCTCGAGTTTCACTCCTCGGGCACACAACCTTGTGCCTCGGGAGGGGGCTGGCCAGCCCCCCCTTTCCTTCTGGGGCCTGCTTTCCTTTGTGGAGGCAAGGGGCCTTGGGAGAGGGCGGGCGGCAGCTGGGGGGCCGTCCTTCTATCAGGTGCCGGGCACAGAGGAGCTGGCCGGCCTCCTCCGCTGGGCCTCAGGCTCCGCATTTCTGCCGGCCTTTCTAGGTTCAGGGGGAACGGCTTGAGACCCACCAAGCCCCAGCCCACCTAGCCAAACCAGCCAGGGCGCTGATAAATGCCCGTGTGTGGTTGTCTGCCCCTGGGGCCGCACCGCTGCTTTCTCCCACGGAGCCTGCCTGGCTTTTCGGCTGCGGAAGGAGCAGCCCTTCTCCCGGTCCAACCACCGCCAAGGCACGCCTGGTGGGGTGGGAGAGGGTCCTTCCAGGGGCCACTCCTGGGTGCTGGGGCTCCTCGCCGAGGGCGGCTGGTGCACGGGCACAGGCATCTTATCCTGGCGCGGCCTTGGCCTGCGAGCTGAGGACGTTCTTCCACAACAATTGGGTGGGCGCTATTGCTTCGTTCTATTGCCATGTTTTCCACTTGTTGGTCGTCACGTTACCTTTTAATCAAGGCGGCTGTCTTTAACTGCATTTTACCATCTGTAGCCACGAGCAACACGCTCCGGCAGGCAAGCAGAACAGGCAGCCGATACACATTCAAGAGGGAGAACCAGGCGAGCAGAAGATGATGCGCCTCCACCGCTCCCACCAGGCCCTGCCCGGCTGGCCACGGCGGCCCGAGTCGCCCCGCGGCAAGCAGCCCCCTCTGCTTTCGGGCTGGGGGGCCGGCAACGACCCAGCGCAACCCCGTGTTGAGGACCGCACGCCGTGCTCAGTACGCCACCGCTTCACGGCTGCAGGACCAGCCAGCATGGGACGAGCCGGCATCGCGGGCGACGAAACGCAGCAAAAGAAGGGACCCTGCCACTGTTTCTGGGCATGCGCAGCCCTCCCAGAAGGCTCCAGGGACGAGCGCCTCCCCTCAGCCCTGCTTACCTTCGGTGCACTCGCAGGTGTAGGAGTCGGGGCCGTCGACACACCTCGCTCCATTCTTGCAGGGCGTGCTCGCGCACTCGTCCATGTCATGCTGGCACAGGTGCCCGGTGAAGCCTGTGGGAGCGGGCAGAGGGAAGGCTGGCTCTGGCCGGAGACCGGACGGCACGGGGCCCTCCTCCCCCCCTTTCGCAAAGCTGTGCTGTGGGAGGAGGCGCTCGCAGGCGGCACACAGGGTCTCAGGCAGAGGGGGCTTCTTCCACCTCCCGTGACCTCGCCTGCTCTTTCGCTCGAGCGGGGAGGTTACAAGCCCACCCCTGCACTTTCCCACGGCAACCCCTCCGCCTCTGTGCTGCCACATGCATTTATCGGGCTGACCCAGGGATGTCCATTCCTCGGTCACAGCCTTAATCTGAGGATGGGATATCCTCTCTAGATTTTCTGCAGAAAGCAGGGAGCAAATTCAGGGTGAAATCAGCCACATTCCTTGGAAGTATTATGTTGCGTATTTCCAAGTGGCCATTCCTACACTCATGGGAACAGATCCTCAGACAACAGTGGAGAAACTTCTGCAATTTCCCATGTCAGTCTTTGAAGGAAGAAGCCTTTGAAAGTCCAGAAATACGACATGCAAGCCAACAGGCAGCCCCATGGCTCCCGGGCCCCCGAGGGCCTTTTCTGTCTGCAAAGCTCACCCTGGAAATGAGCTGCCGGGCTCCCTCCCTTCCAGTGGCTCCACTTGGCCCCTTGCCTGGGGTGAGCATGCTGGCCAGAGGAACTTGGCCCCGGCCCCCAGTCCTGAGTGACGCGGGGGAGCTTGCGAGGTACAGCGTGGCAGCCTGACCCGCAAAACCGCAGGAAGCGAGAGGGTCTCCTCTCCCGTACCTGCCGCCCTTTGGCACCATCAGAACAGCATCCTCTGGGGCGGGGGGAAGCGAATGGAAAGACGGCCGCCCCAGACGTGAGCCCCCGGCTGGGGCGCACGCACAAAGAGGGCTCTCGTCCTGAGCGTCTGTCCGGCAGCCGCAGCCGCCGGCCTCACACTTCTCGTAGAACCACAGAAGAGCAGAGGCGGGAGGGCCCCCCGGGTGCGCAGGACACCTGTTGGCCCCCTCCCACTCAGGCGGCTGCCCGGTTTCGCCCTGACCGCCCAGCGTCTCTCTTGGCAACTGGTCCCACTGTCGTACTGCTCTGACAGAGGAAGCTTTTCCTGATTTCTGCTGTACACAGAGGGAGACTCTGGTCCGGTGAGGCAAGAGGCTGCTCTGATGCTCTGGACCGTGCCTACTCTGGAGTAAAGCGAAGTGTGAGAAGCTGTTGCACCCAGACGCACGCTTAAGGCAAGGCCTCCAAGTGTGACAGCTACTACACTTCACAGTGCGGGGGCAGCTCAAGTCCTCGGCCTTGGTTCTGCCCAGCAGGGCCTGTTCGGCCCCCGGCCATGTTTCTGCAGGCCAGGCTCTCCATCTCCATGGAGACAGAGGCCTGGGTTCTGCACGAAGCCGCGGCCAGCCCTGCGGCTCTGCGAGCATTCCCACTCGGCAGAAAGCCTGGTCTCCTGGCTTCACACGGCTGCCTCACGGATTAGCTGGCCCTCTCCCCACGCCCCCAGGCCCCCTGCACTCAGCCTCCTTATTTAAATCCATCCCCAGCCTCCTCCCTCTTGCCTCCCAACCAATTCCCAAACTGGGAGGGGGGGGGCTTTTCAAGTGCAAAACTTCAGTCTTTCTCTGCGCTCCCCCAGATTTGGGGAGGGGGTGGGAGGCAGAATGCGGCTTGACTGTCTCTTTATGCTCAGCAGTCAAGATGCATTCTGTGGGTGGGAAGAGACCGGCCGCCAGGCCTTTTGGGTTGCACCTGGCAGGGCTTCCGCACACTTGCCCCGGATGGACATGCGGAAGGCTCCGGGCTGCACTGTGTGTGGGGGGGGGCAGGGGCAGGCTTCCCCGGGGCCAAGAGGCACCCACGGGGCCCCACAGGAATTCAAGCACCTGGGTGAGCGCTTGCGGTTTCTTTTCCAGACCGCCCAAGGAGCTTTGTCTAATGGGCAACGAGGATGCAGAATTGGTCCCTTGTCTGTGTGGTCCCAACCACGTCTGGCTCACACATGCGCTTTAAAACAGACCGAGCGTGAGCAGGCCCAAGACGCTTCTCGCTCAGCTGTCCTGCAGCAACCCCTTTCATGGGAGGTCAGAACTCCCCCCCCCGGAGACCACCCCCACGGTCCTCGTCCCACCAGGCGGCCCTCCGTGGCAGGAAACGCCTTCCCTTGTCTGTCTGCCCGGGGCCAGGTGCAAATCCGTCTGACTGGAGCAGTGCAGAGACGTGCTCTCGCAAGGAGAAGAAAAATGGCGAACCGTCACCCGCCAGGTCAGGCTGCTTTATTCCGTCTCACCGCTACTTCTTCGCCTGGCCCGGATGTCTCCTCCCTCTAGTCTGCCCTGCCGGGCTCCTCCATCACAAGCAAGCGCAAGTGCAGGCCCCCACAGAAGCCACGGCCGCCTCCCACCCCCCCAGAAGTTTTGAGAGCAACAAGTGGCTGGCCACAGTCTCATACAGAGGAAGTTAAGCAATTCAGAGGCCCAGGAGAATGGACGGGTTTTGCAAGGGGAATGTTACAGCCCAGGAAGAGGAAGACGGTACAGCTGCCAGGATCACAGGCTCCTGGTAAAGATCTTGGCAAAAACACACTTCAAATAATCTGGGGACCAGTTCCAGTAGCTGCCCTAAAAGAGGGTCTTAAAAGTTGGGGAAACAGCAGGAAAGGCTGGGAGCCACTCCCCGCTCAGGGAAGGTCACCACATTGGGGTGAGCAAGGAGAGAGAAGAGAGGTGTGCAAAACTGAGGGTGACGCAGGTGCTGTCATCCCAGAACCCAAACGGGCCATCCCATGAAGCTGACGGGGGAGAGTCAGGACAGATCGAGGGAAGGGATTCTTCCCACAGCACTGGGTTGAACTAGGGAATTCCCTGCCACAAAATTCTGTAAGGCTGCCAATCTGAACAGCTTTCCAAGGGGGATGGACCCATCCACAGAGAGGAGGTGATCTGACCCTCACGCCAGAGGGCAATGGGCAGTCTTCTGCCTGAAGTCCTCCAGAGGAACTACAGCTCCCAGCATCCCCCAGGCAGCCATGTTTCTTCTGTATGCAAAGGTGCATGTGCTAACAGCACTCCGTTCAAGAAATGTTCCAATTTTAAGCTCCTCTGCCCCAAACACACGCACATGCTTCTTCCAACTTTCTAGAAGCAGAAAGCAGTGTACAAGAGGGCCGTTATTTCCCCGAGCTGCCCGCTTCGACTGGGTTTAAATCCGCCAGCCTAGCATCGCCTCTGGGCGGTGGATTAACTCTGGCTCCTTTTCCACTACAAAGGCTCTGTGCTGAAGGCGAGGCGAGGCGATCGATCGATCCTCCCGCCCCCCCAATAAGTACCTCTGGGGCACTCGCAGGTGAATTCGTTGATCTTGTCCACGCAGTTCCCGTTGTGCAGGCAGGGGCTGCTGGCACACTCGTCTGTGTTGATCTCGCAGTACACACCCTCGTACCCTGCCAGGGCATCAGGGAAAGGGCGGTGAGGCCCGGAGCCCTCCTCGCCACATGCTGCGCCAGCATGCGCCGGGCCACCCCAGCTCCGCCCCTGCGAGGCCGCCTGGGCCAGCGGCTCCTGTGGCTCAGGCTGCCCCAGCCGCCGGGCCCCGCAGGGGCAAGCCACGCCACCCACAGCCCGCAGGCTCCTCCTGCTCAGGCTCCCGCCGGCCACGTCCTCCTCACTCCGCTCCACCCCAGCCCCGCAACACGCCACTTTCGCTGCCCAGCTCCCTTTCCACTGGCCGGGTCCCTCCGAGCAGAGTGCTTGCCCACCGCCAGCCCCGTTGGGCTCCATTTCCAACTTGCTGGACCTCTCAAGCGAGCAACCGGGCCACTCCAGGCAAACACCACCTGCCCCTGTGGTTCGGACACGTTACCTGGCATGCAGATGCAGTGGAAAACCCCAATCTGGTCTAAGCAGGTGGCATCGTTCTGGCACGGGTTCGAGGAGCACTCGTTCACGTCGATCTCGCAACGGGGGCCGGAGTAGCCACGCTGGCAGTCGCACTGGAAGGAGCCCTCCGTGTTGATGCACTTCCCAGCATGCTCACAAGGGTTGGCACCTGAAGACGCGAAGCAGGGGGTCAGGCGGGCCCGTTCCAGCTCATTCCGGGCTCCGCGCAGCAGCTGCCCCGCGTCCCCCTTGCGAGGACAGCTTTGCCTCCCAGCCCGGGCGCGCCTCGGCACCGAGCCAGGTAGCCCAGGGGGGCACAAGCACCGCGGCGCTGGCCACCCCTGCCCTTCCGTCCTAGGGCTATGCGCACTGTGCCCCGCTTCCTGGGCCTGGCCCTCGACCGGCGCTTCCCTTCCTGAACCGGCTGCAGCCTTGGGCTGGCCACCAGCCCCTCCCTGCATCAGGGCAGCTGCCCCCCAGGACGACGAGGCGTTCCCTGAATCCGCCCCCCATGTGCACCCAGAGGGACAGAGGGTGGCGAGAGGAGAATGTGAGGCCATTTCACCAGCCCAGCTGAAAGAGCGCTTCACGCTTCCTCTTTCTTCCCCACCTCTTTGCCCTCGTGTGTCATCTCTCTTTAGTTTGTAAGCCTGTGGGGCAGAGACTGTCTTCTTTCCCTGACTGCACGCCTGGGAACTCCCTGGCTGAGGGAGAGGGCTACAAATACTGCAAACAAAGCAGCCAACCTGGAGTGCAGCTGCAGGGCCGTTCCTGCCTAGCGCCTCCCGGTCTGGCTCCCCGGCCACCCTGCCCGCCACCCGACGCCCGCGCAGGCCACTCACCCAGCGAGCACTCGTCCATGTCCAGGCTGCAGGCGGGCCCCGAGTAGCCCTGCGGGCAGGTGCAAATCGCCTTCCCTGTGACGGGGTTGGTGTCGCAGTTGGAGCCCTCGTTGCAGGGGTTGCTGATGCAGGCGTCGTTGAGGTGGCACAGGAGCCCTGGCGGAGGGAGGGCGTGAGTGCGGCAGGGGAGCAGCAGAGCACGGCCGCTGCGGCTGGGACCGCGCGTGGCAGCGCCTCGGGACACGGAGCGCGTGTGCGGGAAAGGCCCGAGGGCACCACCTGGGCCTGCTCCAGAGCCACGCTGAGCGAAGGGTCCGGGTCTCCTCCCGGCGGCCAAGCCCTCCAGCCCACTTCCCCAGTAGTGGCGAGCTTACGATCGAGCCCGGCTTTTTGCCCGGGGCCCCTGAGCATCTGTCTTCTCCACCCCAGTTCTCGGATGTCCTTCTGCAGGAATGCGCCAGGCCAGGCAGGAAACTCTGCCGCCGCATCCACCCCAAACGCACCCACGTCCGAGGCAGCCCTCCCTCTCGGAGGCCTTGCAGACTGGGCTTCGGTTTTGCAAGAGCCGCCACCACGCAGGCCATCCTCCTCCCATGCGATGCCGCCGCAGCCCCCAGCGCGCACCTGTCCGCCCGTGGGGGCATTCGCAGTAGAAGGAGGCCACGCGGTCGTGGCAGGTGGCACCGACGAAGCAGGCCGCGCTGGCACAGTCGTCTATGTTCTCGCCGCAGGCGTCGCCCGTCCAGCCGTTGACGCAGACGCAGCTGTAGCCCCCGTGGGTGTTGTGGCACGTGCCGCCGTTCTGGCAGGCGTTGGGGATCAGCTGGCACTCGTCCACGTCCTCTGTGCAGTACTGGCCTTGGGGTGGTTGGAGAGAGCGGCGCGGTCAGCCTTCTTGAGGGGGGAGAGGCGGCAGGGGGACTGACCGCCGGCTTGGCCTCCCCCAGGCAGCTGGCCTGCAGCGCCAACTAAGTGCGCTCCACGGGGTGCCCCTTTGCCCGGGTGAAGGCTGCGGCCAGGGCGGGATGCAGCGGCCACCCTCTCCGCGAAGTGCCTCTGCCAGGGATTGCTCGGGCTGCCAGGAGTGGCAGGGCCATGCTCGAGGCCTGCCCGCTGCCATTCGGCGCCCCGAACCACCGAGCAGCAAGGCCCCTGGCTAGCTGCCTTTGCTCCTGCAGCCAGTTCGGGCCAAGCTTCTCCGCAAGGACTGAACGCTTCACGAGCAACATGGTGTTGCCAGAGCGGCGCCTTCCTGGAGGGGCCTCTCACGTGGGTGGCCGGAGATGCGGGCGCTGCAGAGAGCTTTCGGTGCTTCTTGCAAAGAAGCGGAGCAATACAGCACATGGATACTTGGTTGTCCCCTGGCTGCATCTGAACGGGGCACGCCAAGCGGCCTGCTCACATCTATTCGCCATAACTGCGAGGCAGACAGCTTCCGAGAGCCTAAAAGCCCAAAATGTGCACGTACCAAGTAACAACCAAGCCAAATGTAAGCAATAAATGCGAACAATAAATTATTGTTTGTTTTCATTAGCATCTGTGAAAAACCAAGTCTCAGTCTCAGTTTGGCCTGTCACATGACGAGTTCAGGACAGCTTTACACTCTCTGTGCCTTCTGGCGGCTTCCAAGAAGAACGGATAGCAAATGTGGAAAAGGTAAGGGACATGGTGGAACAAAAATGTGAGTTGTTCAGAACTCCAAATGTTGAAGCGTGGCCCCTAAGATGGCTTTTGGAAGCTGCCAAACTCAGCCAGGGGAGTGCAAAGACCCCAAACTGGAGGCATTCTGCACCAACCACAAGCTTTTTACAAGCAGTGGCAAGCTCTGAATGCAACATCCAACCTCCTCAAGTAGCCCACGCAGAGCAAAAACAGAAGTGGCTTTGGGCCCGCTCGGTGCCCTGGTCCAGTCCGCAGTCTCCGGGAAGCACCGAGCCAAGCTGCTCCCAGGAGCCAGCCCCGCACCCTCTCCCACGGTCAGAGCGTCCGCCTGTTACCTGTCCATTCAGGGAGGCACTGGCAATTGTAGGTGTTCACGCCATCCACGCAGGTGCCTCCGTTCTTGCAGGTGTTGCCTGGGCAGTCATCAAGATTCTGCTCACAGTTCTGGCCAGCAAAACCTGCCGGGGGGGGGGGGAGACACACATCTCCTGCGGTGGGTGCCGAGGGAGGAGCGCTGGCCCTGGGCCGGGCCTGGGCTTCGATTCAGAAGGCTCAGGCTCAACGGCGGGCTCCCCTCTGGAGAAAGGAAGCACCAGGTGCCCAAGACGCCCAGAACAGCCACCTGCCCGCCCAGGACAGCGACCCCAAACCAGAGTCCTGAAGTGTGCTGGGCTCCCGGAAGCAGCAGAGGCTGCGGGAGAGAGAAGGCAGCCTGCAGGGGGCCGGTGAGGCCCTCGCCTCGGGGCCGACGCAGCGGGCTTTCTTCTGCAGGCGCCCGGAAGAAGATAAGCCACTCCAGATGCGACAGGCACCTCCAACGGCTCTCCAGACCCTCCTTCCTCTCTCCTGCTATTTCTGTTGCTCCTGAGCACCTTCCACACCTGCTGCTTCCATCTTCCCCAGCCGCCTGAGCAATGGCCCATCATTTCTGGAGAGCTCCATGCATGATGAAAACAGGTGTGTGTGAGCTTAAAACCAAAGATCTCCTGCCAAACCAGGTGCCCTTCAGATGTGTAGCCAACCCACTCAGAATCCTGGGAACCACAGCCCAACACGTCACACGTGCCAGGTGAAGGAAGTCTCGGACGGAGAAACTGCTGCCAAGACTTTTCTTCCCAATTCACCTCCCACATCAGCTTGCTGGATGGCCCAGGCAAGAATCGAACCTTCTACAGCCACAATATGGGGGAGCTGGTCTACCTACCAGGGCTGTTGTAAGGATTGAGTTGATATGTATGAAGTTGGGAAGTGGGCTATGTTCAACCAGGGCTGTATCTCTTATATATTTCTTACATTTCCCTACCACCTTTTGGCCAAAGCTCACGGGGTGTTCACAAAACAGAGGTACAACCCTAAGACACCATTATAATGTAGAATGTGATATATAAAAACTGTCAGTTCAACCAAGGATAAACCCAAAGTATGAACCAAGACAGAGGAAAGCAGGAGTGCTCAAAGCTGAAAATGCCCCAGAGAGATGGTTTATCGCAACTGAAATTGGAAGGGAAAGAAGGGGGTCTTCGCCAGAAGAGCCACAGGCACCAGGCCAGCCTCTCTGGGGAGAACATTGCACAGCCGGGATGCCGCCACCAAAAAGGCCCTTTCTTCTCTTTCCCCCTCACCATATCCAACCTCTCAGGATGATTTTAGGGTCTGAGCAGCTATATATTTGGAAGGAGAGGTTCTTACTTTTGTCCTGCTTAAAAACTAGTGGGACTTATGTTAGACTTGTGTGTTAGACGGTTGCACTGGGATTCAGGAGAAGAGGGTTCAAGTCCCTGCACAGCCTAACCTACCTCAAAGGGTTGATGTGAGGCTAAAATGGAGAGGAGGGCCAGTTAAGGTACCTTGGGCCTCTTGGGGGGAAAAGGCGGACTATAAATGCAATCAGAAAATAAATGCTCTGTTATCTCCAGATATTTTCGCGCTTTGGGGTTGGCTGCAGGAACGAGGGTCAGGAATGCCTCCTGCAGAGTTCGGCACAGTGTTCGATGGATGGGGAGTGAGAGAGCACGATCCATGGCATGCTAGAATGGGATCAACGAGCGCTGGGCCCAGATCCTGCAAGGCAGGAAACTCCACGCAGGCGCAAGCCAGCAAAGCATAAACTCCTTTCGAAAATCAAGCCATTAAGCTTTGCCTGCCTTGGCACTAGTGGGGCGGGACACTGGCCAGCGCTGGGGTGGGCGAACGCGATGCCCGGATCTTTGCCAGGCGGGACTGCCACCTCCCCAGCAACCTCCCATGATGCTTGGCCTCCTAATCTGGTGAAAGAGGAAGGAAAGGCATGCCCTTGATATTGATGCCGTTTGCTTCCAGTACCGGCTTTCCCACATTACCAGCCCCGAGCACAGTCAGGGCCTGCGACCCCCCCCAGCAGAGACGGGCTGAAGGACGCTTTCTGAACGTGGCCCAGGAACTGAGTTCCAGTCTCTCCTCAGCCACGAATTCACTCCAGCTTTCTCCTCTCTCAGATGAGATGCTTTCAGCCAAAGGTTCCATGCACCGTAAGAAGCCCAACTCCTCTGATCTAGCATATCTTTAAAAACTAACAGGCTCCTGCAGCTGGAAGGGACCCCTGTTCAGTCCAGCAAGCCAGTTCCAAGCAACCATGACAGAGGGGTGCCCAGTCTCAGCTTGAATCCTTCGGGGCTGGCCGGCTCACCGGGAAATCCCAGCGCCTGCCGGCACTCACCTTTCCTGATTTTCAGCCAAACCTGCTTTCCTTCGTCTTGCATCCTGGGTGATGAAGCACCCCTGCTGGCCTTCCGGTGACAGCCCTTGAGCCACACGTATCGCTCCTAAGACTCCTCTTCTCAGGCTAAGCACGTCCCGTTCCTTCCACCCTCCTACACTGCCCTCTGGCCATCTTTGCCGCCCGTCTCGGAGCGGGATCCAATCTCTCTGGCTCTTCCTTAACAGACAACTCTTTTCTTACAACAGCCAGGCTCGGTTTGCCCAGGCAAGTCCTCCCGTTGGCATCTTAACAAATATAGCCCAAAAAGGGAGGCCTTTCCCCTCTCAGCAAAGAACTGGATCCAGCAAACTTGGGACTTTCTGAGGACTTTAATGGTCTAGACGAGAAAGCAGCACGGGAAACTGGCTGATGCAAAGTCGGCCCCGAGTCCATCTAGCCCAGTCTGGTTCACATGGACTGGCAGCAGCAGCTCTCTGGGGGCTCAGGCAGGAATTTTTCCAGCCCTCTCTGGAGACAGAGCTGGGGCACGAAGCAGGGACCTCCTGCATGCAAAACTGTGCTCCTTCCCTATGGAGGGACGGTGGACCCCAGGGCCTTCTGGAGGCCCGTCCTGGATCCACTATTCTGGTCTACGATACAAAGAAAGAAGGCAGGCGCCCTTCGCTTGAGGGCCAGCACATCTGGTCCCCTGCACCATCCAGCCCAAAGCTGGCTTTTTCCCAGCTGCCGAAACTTGTTCTCACTTCAGGAGTGAAGCTGGCTGATCGGTAGTAAACCAGCAAGAGCAGAAAAGTGCTGTCTGCAAAGGTGGCCGAGCTGCAACCCAACAGCCTCACAGACAGCTTGTCTTTATGCAAAAGTTTCCAGTGAACCTCCAGGAGGAAGTGGCAGGCAAGAGCAAACCTGCAGAGGCTGAGCAAGGAAATACTCTGAATCAGATAACGGCCAGCCAGGGACAATCGCAGGCCGAGCTCACTTGCAGAGAACAACCAGCCAAGTAATGATCGACGCAGGAACCTCTCTGTCAAGAAAGCTAGATCCAAACAAGAGGGGGTGCTTCTAGTCCTCATGGCGATGGGGAAACAAAAAAGCAACTCTTATCCACTTGCTGGGAACTAAATAGCTTGGCTGCCTCAAATCTTTCCGCTTCTTATCCAAGGGCCTGGCTTTGCCCTTGTTGTTTCCTTCGTGCCATCCCAAGTGGGGGACCTCCTGGTCAGCCACCACCTGTGCCTCTTGCTTTGTCACTGTGTGTAGCTGTTGGGTTGTGAAGTCAGTCTACATTTTGTTCAGGCTTCCCCAGTGTAGTCCAACGCATCTGGAGGGCCCCAACTTGGGAAGGTTGGGTTAGACTGGCTCTCGCTCACTCACATCCCCTCCAACAGCTCTAGATGGCTAATAACCACAATAGGATTAGTGTGCTTGGAAAAGCGGCTTGGACACATTAGTCCGAAATCCCCCAACTTCACCCTCCGTCTTCCAAAGCTGGCCACTAAGTGGCGAGTCGCAACTTTGGGCTTCAGCAGATCTCTGAGGAGACCAAGTCCCCAAATTTGGGAACAGCTTCCAAGCAATCCCAAAATCAGGGTGCAGAACCCCCGTGGCCTGGAGGCCCAATACCACTTTGGAGCAGTTCTTGGGGCCATGTGGCACCGCCTGCCCAGGCATCCCAGTATTTAGAAACAGCCGCATCATTCAGCTGGAAGCTGCTGCCAGCAAGGGCAGCTGCAGGAAGGGAGAAGGGGCCAGGACCGTCACAGGGGCCCCCAGGGGGCCCCCAGGGGGCCCCAGTCCTGAGGTTTTCCACCTTGCCCTAAGCACACTGGCTCAGAGCACTGCCGTAGTCTCCCTCCAGCTGTGCCTTTAACAGCTGTGTGCCAGCAGAAATGTCACCCGTGAAGCTTTTCCATGTGAGGACAAGCAAAGACAAGGAAATGACCAATTTCTGCCTGACTGGCTACTTTTAGGGGAAAACCATCAGAACTTGGGTTAAAGGAAACATAAAAATGGGAGAAAAAGACCAGACTGGGCTGCCCAGAAGAAAAAAAAATCCACAATAGGGCAATAATTTTTATTAGGCCAGCCAAAACCTCAGAAGCAAAGAAAGCGGAAGGCAACAAAAGGGGAAGTTGTATATCACAAGAGGTGCCTGGAAAAGAGATTTCTTGTGCCCAACATGTTTCAGCAGTGAGACTTTCCTTTGTCATGGACTGCCTGTCTCTTTTTGGATATCCCAAGAAAAGAGACCTCCTATCACCTCTTCTAGGTTGAAATATTCTTTAATAGATTTAAGGGAAATGAAGAGAAGTGACAAAGAGAACGGATCGTGCTGGTTTATATAAGAAAAACAATCCCAAATCCATGATGGGGCAGCAGCTTTGTATTTCGCCAACCCAAAACTACCAAAACAAGGAAAAAGCTTGTATGTTCTCCGGGAGTCTTTGTTAGGCCAGACCAAATGGCAGGCAAGTGTTTGGACTACACTTCCCATAATCCTTGACCCTTAGTCATGTTGGTTAATGTATCTACCAACCTACAGCCAATGGCCAACCCTTTTGCCGGTCCAAGTGAAGATCAGTTGGGGGACCCACCCACCTTCATCTCAACAGCAACAGGGCTAAGATTAGATTAGGTCACAGCTGGGATGGAAAATTAACGAGGGGAGACTTTATTCTGAAGCAAGCAACCTGCTTCTCATGAGAAATAACTTCACTGGCCTTTTGGCACATGTCAGGATCTGATAGATGTGACCATTGGTGCATAGGAAACATCCTGCGCAGCGCTGAGCACAGCTTACAGCAAGCGAGGGAACACCAGGCGGGTGAGAAAACAGAGAGCTATCAAAACATGTCAAAGGTGCAGATTTCAGCCTGGGTGTGACCAGATAGTAGCGAGGCTGCAAGCACTTCCACGAGGGAGGTCTAAGCACTGTTTATTTCCAGCCATTTGGCAAAACAGAGGACTGGACGCCCAGGGATGCGGACACCCTTGGCTCCGAGCAGTGCTCCTGACACAAGGAAAGACCAGGAAGGCATGGCTGTGGGAGAGATGGGGAGGGGTGCGAGGGAGGCGGTGGCCAGCCCTGCCCGCACGGAGCATTGGGCTGCAGGGGCCGCCGGGCAGCAACCACCACTGCCCCAGAGCCCCCGCAGGGTGAGCGGACCGGGCCTCTGCCGTGCACACGCGCGCCTGCCAGGTCCTTCCCTCACACACGTTTCCTACTGCAGTGGAATGTTCCAAGGGGAGAAAAACGCCTCGCGTCGCAGACCACCTGCCTGCACGAGGCTTCGGAGCAAGCAGAAAGACGCAGGAGGCGCTGCGCTGGTGGAGGACCCCTGTGCCCGTGAGGCGCCAATGTCACACGGCACCTGAATGTCAGCCTGCGCTTTAAAGGGGCCGTTGCTCTCGCTGACCTTATGGGGACGGGTTTTGGCACGGTGGATAGGCTCTTGGCATGCAAGCAGAGTGGAGGACACCAGAGCATCCACGCCGACAAGGTGGACCCGTCCCTGGCGGGGTGTGTCGCGGGGGACAGAGGTGGATTTTAAATATTTCATTTGGACACCCCCCCCCCGCCCCCCATGAGGGGATTCAGCACCGGGCTCCGAGTAAAGCCTGAGCTTCAATAAACTCATCTGCTGCCAGCCAGACCAACACTTATCTCGCAGTACCCATCACTCTCAGGCTGCTCTCTGGGCAAGCCGAGGAGGGGTCCAAGGAAGTGCTGCCCCCCACGAGCCCGTCCCAAGGCAGGCTGCCGCCAGCGACCTGGAGGACGCAGTAAAGGCAGCCTCGGCCCGTGCAAGAAGCGCGTCCTTACCTGGCAGGCAGGTGCATTCATAGGCGGTGTCCCCCGTCTGGCGGCATGTGCCCCCGTGCAGGCAGGGGGAGGGGCTGCAGGGCACGTACAGGTGCTCGCAGTTCGGGCCGGTGTATGCCGGCCTGCAGTGGCACTGGTAGGAGCCGACCTCGTTGACGCAGAGCCCGCCGTGTTTGCAGACGGCCGGGCTGCGGCTGCACTCGTTGATGTCCTCCTTGCAGCTCCCGCCGTGGAAGCCCGGCGGGCACTTGCAGACGTACGACGAGTCGAAGGGCACGCACTGGCCGTTGTTGGCACAGGGGTTGGAGGCACAGGGGTCCGCCTGCTGGCAGCTCTTGCCTGCGGGCCAGGGAAAGAGGCAGGGCTCATTCCCTGGGAAGTCACCTTTACGAAGGAGCAGGCAGAGGCAGAGACCCGGACGCTCGGAGGGCAGGCCCGAAGCTGGCACGCAGAGCCTGCGCTGGGCGGCTTCCATGTTTCTTGCGGAAGCCACCTGGACGGCCGAGCTGTGTGGCTGGGCCGTGACCAAAGGCAGGGCCCAGAGCCACATGTCGTGCCCCCTTCCCCTTCCCCAGCCCCACCCTTTTCCCCTGCCTCCCCACGCACTTGGAATGGCCGGAAAGCCCCCACAACAGCCCTGCGACCAGTGCCGAGAGCCTCAGGGGCCGGCGGCTGCTCTGCTCCCCTTCTCTTGCCCCCGCTGGGGATGCCGCCCCAAAGCGGATTTCAGCCCAAAAGCGTTCGGCATCCCTGCTCTGCAAGGCGCACGATGCCCGCCGTAGGCGTGGCCTGCTCCTCACCTGACCACCCAGGGGGGCAGCGGCATTTATACTCCGTCAGCGTGACGAGGTCGCAGGACCCTCCGTTGTGGCAGGGAGAGCTGAGGCAGGCATTCTCCTCGGGGGTCAGGCACAGCTTGTCGGTGTAGCCCAAGGGGCAGGCGCAGGTGTAGTCCACGAGGCTGCCCCGCACCACCGGGTTGCAGGTGCCGCCGTTCTTGCACGGGGAGCTGCGGCACGGGTTGGGCAGCTGGCAGCGGTCGCCCAGGAAGCTGCTGGAGCACCTGAGAAGGAAGAGGGCAGGGTGAGGCCCCGGAGAGGCAGGGCGACCTCAGGAGTCTGCGGAAGACCTCCCCAAGAGGGCACGCGCACTTGGCCAGGGCGACCTATTTTATATTGTAAACTTGTTTTATATTGTTAATTTATTGTATTTTAATTGATTTATTTGTAAGCCGCCCCGAGGCTTCGGCGAATGGGGCGGCATAGACATTTTATAAATAAATAAACAAAGGCCTTCCAATGCTGTGCCCATCAGGGACCAGGGCAGTGGGATCCGCAGGCAAAGTGCGGTCAAACCGGGAGCTCCCGTGTCGGCTGCTCCCCTGGCCACTTTCTCCAGCCAGTTCACGGTAAGTCTTACGTTGCACTGTTAGGCAAAAAATATTCCCGTAACAGCTTTGCCCTTTGATGCTGAAGGAGCAGCGTTACATTTTTAAAGCAGAAACCCTGCCCGGTCCCCAAATCCGTCCCAAAGGTCCTTGATGGTGAGCAACGCACAGAAAACAGCAAAAGAAACTCGAGCGGCTCCCGGCAGGCCAGGAAGAGGCGGCTGCAGCCAAAAGGCGACACGTTCTTTAAAGATGGAAGCGCCGCCCCACGGGGTCGGGCGGGGGATCCTTTTGCCCCCTTTTTACCAGGTGGGAGATGCTGCCTTGCAGTCACCTGTGGTTATGGGTGCAGTGCCCTGGAAAGAGGGTGGGGGTCTGCAAAGGAACTGTGGCTGGTGGCGGACTGATCTGGCTTGGGCCATCCTCCTCCTCCTCCCCATTCTGTCCTCCCAGCAGCCCCGGGGCAGATCATCTTGCCGGGCTGTCCCCTCCTGCCCTGGACCTGCCTGATCCCTTTTCACCCCTCCCAAAGCAAGGGTCCTTCAACCGGGCAGCGAATTTCACTGGGTAACTGCGCATGAGCACGTCCCCAGACCTACTGCCCAGAGCACACCCTTGCACGGCTGTCCCCCTCCCAGCACCACAGCGTGAGAGGGGCGCACCGTGCGCTGCAGAGCTGGCCTTCCGCAGGGCGGAGGCGCTGCCCATTGCTCCCAAGGCGTCCACCGAGCAAGCACGACACCCCAGTTCAGTGTCCAAGCCGCCAGCTTCCTAGAGGCCTCGCGAGCCCATGGGAATCCTTTCTTCACGCGCCTCCTTGCCTGCCTGGCCATATTCCGCCCCCCCCCCCCCCCCCCGCCGGCCCCACAGCCACCTGCCTTGGCACTTCCCAGAGCCAGGGAGGGCCATAAATCTTCTGGATTTCAAAGAAGCTGCTCTGTGGTTTCCCTGCCGAAGATCAAACAGAGACCAGCCTGGGAATCGCACCCTTTGCTTCGATAACAAGCCAGATGCAGGTTCCACATGGAGGGCCGGGGTAACCACATCGTGCAGAATCCGAAACCCATCTCTCACAACACCTCCATGGGGCCAGCGCTTTGCACAGCTAATTGGAGACCCAAGCATGCAGCAACCACCTCCTTCTTTGGGGGGGCCCCTGCTGTTCTTCCAATTGAAGAGGAACCCGGTTTACTCTTAGCAGAAAGGATGCTTTGATGTAGCTGCAACGCAAAGCAAGGGGCTTACAGGAGTTTGGAAAGTTCTGAAACTCACAACAGCCCTGCAGTGCATGCAGTCTGTGGCATGTCATGCTAAGGTTTCTGTTTCCTTCTTTTGTTTTGAAACCCAGAATATGTTTCTCTCCTTAACAGAGCATTTGGAAACAGGCTTGGGAAGAAAAGTCACCATGAATATTTTAATCAAGCAATTCTTGCAAACTTGCATGCACTTAATTTGGAAGCAAGCACACACAACAGCTTTGGTGAGAGGATTGACGAAAATTGGCAAAAACAGAACAAAACATTTTGTAATGGCAGATATTTTGACAGTTCCACAAAGCCATTAAAATGTCGTTGCTAGTGTTTCAACTGAGAACTGGTAGAAGGAACTACAGATGAGTAAAACTGGTTTTCCTAACAAGCCTGAAAGACACACATACAGCTTTACAAGTTTCTAGACCTTATGGTTCCAAACTGAGGCGATACTTTCACAAATGGTCTAAGCAGGGTCTGATTCCCATAGCAGCTTCACATACGGCTGAAGTGAAACCCTGAGCACCCACTCAGCCTGTTGGCAGGTGATCTGGAAGACAAGTGACACCCCCTTGTGTACATAACCCTCCAGTACAACCTATTCACCCTTGCCTTAAAAGATAAGCTCACTTTCCAAAGGTTACTATCAACAGCAAAAGTGCAGGGCAGGGCAGGGCAGGCCTGCCTCCCAAACCCACATGCTTTAATTCTGCTCCCAGCGTGACCGGCCTTCGCTTAGTACTTGTTTTCTTTCTTTCCTTTCTGTTTTTGAAGACACCCTCGCAAGAAAACAGCCGATCCATCAAACAGCCAGCAACGCGGCCATCTGTTACCAGAAACCAAACGGGTCCCTGCCACTGGTCGGCTAAAGAACACGCCCCGTCCCCGTCCCCCCGAGCCATGAGGGCATGCACACGCACACTCCACCTTCTGGAGCAACTGGTGGGAGCAGCCCAGAGCAGAGGAGTGCACCCACCTGCCCGCCCGCATCCAGCCACCCCGCCGGTGCCCCATGCTGCTTGCTCAGGACAGAATCCATGGAGACGGGCAACCTGAGCATGGGGGGTGGCAGCACGGGGGCAACGCCTGCCTCCACATCCGCCCACAATGCAGAGCGGGAGCTTGGCCAGGGAGGGCAGGAAGGGCGTGTGATGCCGGAATCCTCCGGCCAGGCAGCGCCACCCCTCCCTCCAAAAGCCCATCAACCCTGACTGGTTTCAGTCTTCAGATATTTAAAAATTCTACAATTCCCCTCATTTCAGCCGGCGTGGCCAGTGCACAAATCAAAGTGGTCTGCTGGGAATTACCCTGCATCTGGAGGACGCCCGTGGGGGAAGGCAGGTCTCCAGGCAGTCTTCCCAAGACCCCTCCTGGCCCTCAGGAAGGGAGCATCCTCCTTTGCTGGTTCCAGACGAGAGCCTCTTCCCACACACCTTGTCTTAGGGATGAGGCAGTGAGAAGAGCGGCAAAAGCAGCTCTGCCCAGGAGCATGACATCCCAACCAGCCGGAACGCCAGCCGCTTCATTTCGGTCCTCTTTTCCTCGCCCCAAACTCCACTTCCAGGGGGAGCAAGTGGCTGTTTTCACGGTAATGGAGGAGACCTGAAAACAAGCTGAATGCCCTTCTGCTCAGAAATTATGGCAGGGGTTCAAAGTGTTCGATGCTGGGCAGTCTGCACCCAGCATTTTGAAGATGTCTGGCTGGGAGAGGCACGCTTTGGAGCGGCTCGGCTGCAAACGACGAGGCAGCAAACCAAGACCACTGAATGGCCACTGAACGTGCGGTGAAGGGAGCTGCGCCACGGGCCGGCCGAAGGAAAGCGAAGTCCCAAAACCCCTGTGTAGCAGGCCGAGTGAGCAGTGCTGGACAGGAAAGAGAAGCACGGAGATGGCCCCTGCCCTCATTTTCCTTCGACTGCTGTGCCCAACGCCCGTGCTAGGAGCTGCCGAGAGGCTCTGCAGCGGCCTGAGGACATGCTGCGTTGATGAGAGGGCAAGATCCAGACCCCCAAGAAAGGGAAGAAATGGGCATAACAAGCGGCTCAGGGCATCTGCGGGGCAGACAAAGGGTTGCCGGGAGCAGGTGTGCATGTTAATTAGAGGGCAACAGCTGCTCTGCCTCCCCCCAGCCTGTGCGGGGAGGGGGGTCGCGGGTGGCGGGGTCACCCCTCTGCTTGGGAATTCCACTGGCGGCTTCGGCTGCAAGCCCGCTGCTTGCAGGAGAGGCGCCAGCCTGTTGGAAGCAGCCCTCCCCGAAGGCACGGGAAGGACGGCGGCCGCATTCCGACCGGCGCGGCCCTCTGCGATTCCTCTTCCCGCCTTCAGCGCTTCCCACTGAGCTGCCCCCTCTCCAAGCGCTCCGGTTGCCTGAAGTCCCTTCCAGGGCTTGTGGCGCGAGGGGAGGAGGAAAGAAAGGTGCCTGCGGCTTCCTCGCTCGAGCACCCGCAGCCGGCTAACCGGGCCCGAGGCGCGCTGCACGGCCGGGACGCTGCTCAGGCGGCTGCCCTGCTGGGCCCGGCACACCCTCGCCGGCAGGGCGCCGCCGGATGCCCATCCCCGTCAGCCACGGACACGCCACTCTCTCAGCCAGCCGCCCGCAGCCTGGCCTGGCCTGGCCTGCGGCCCCACAAGGGCCCCGCGTGGTCCACGACTTCTGTTCGGCAGCGGGCTGGGAGGGGCTGGCCTGGCAAGCAGAGGAATGAATGGCCGCGGCCAGGTGCGGCTCGCGTCCCCGCGGCTCAAAAGGGGGCTTTGAGGGCTGGGCAAAGGGCCGGCCGAGGCAAGCAAAGGGAGGGGCCGGCCGGAGTAGCCTCCCAGGAGGACTGCAGCTGAGCCCGGCTCACCTTAGGGAGCAGGCAGAGCGGGAACGCAACAGAATTGCACAAGGTGCTGTGGGCCAAAAGAGGAAAATGGGTGGCAAGGCATCCCGCCTCCCCTGCTAGATCCCAGAGGGAGCCGTCTCAAGCAATGGCTTCTGGGGGAGCCTTCCTCCATGCTGGGCACAGCCGTGGAGCCACGGCATCTGGGGGGGGGGGGCAATGGCTTCCGGGGGCGACGGGAGCGATCCTCGGGCAGGAAGCAGCCAGCCACGGCCACTCATCCCGGCGACTGCAGGATCAGAGGCAGCACGCTCAGGCACTCCAGCTGCTGTGGAACACGGGTAGGAGGGTGCTGCTGCTGCTGCTGCTGCTCTCCAGTCCTGCCCGTGACTTTCAGCAGGCGGCTGGTCAGCTCTGGGTGAGCAGAAACTCGGCTGAGGGGACCCTGGACTGCTCTGCAGCTGCTGCCGTCACCCGCCGTGGCGGGTGCTCAGCACCGTGTCACCCAGTGGCAGAATAATGCTCGCGTGCAGGCTCACGGAGGGACAAGCGCACTCGGCCGAACCCGGGAATGGTCTTGCCAAGAAAAGCAGCGCCTGCATTGTGA